AACGACCATCTTCGTTTCTAGAAAGAGAGTTTAAAAAATTGTTCATGGGCAATTTCTTCCTCAGCAGCGTTAGTTGAATTCTGATGAGCATCTAATATTCCGATCATTTCTAAGCTCCAAAAATCGGAGATTTTAAAGTCGTGACCCACTAAACTTGCACACAAAATGGAAGCATCTTTATCTTTGTGATTAACAAATTCCTCCGATACACCACAAACTGTCCAACCAAGTTTTGTACAAACTGCTGTTAGTCCTCCTTTTAATTGTTTTACTGATCCCGTGAGAATTTTTCCATAAATATCACTACCGATGAGCATTTCTATTTTTGGACAATCTGCTCCCAGATCCGACAACCAAATGTTGTTTCGTTTTAATTCTTTTAATATCGGACCCTTGGGTACCCGAGGTATATCCCCACATATTATGTCTTGATCTAAAAATTCAAATTCTAGATCTGAATACTTACGCGGACTGGCTGAACATAATTTTACCAAATATTTGTTATGCATCTTTGCCTCTGTTCTGGCACCTCCAAATAAAGTAAGAGCAACATTTTCTTTGGAAATAATTGGTAATCCCAATTCACTGACTAATGATTTCAAAATATACGATTTTGAAATATACGATTTTATACGATTTACCACAATCTAAGAGTACTCTAACATCTTTATGCTTTTTGACACCAGCTACTCTTACGCATAAAGTCATTAAAGCTACGTCAGCGGTACAAGTTTGCCTGGCTGTAGCCGTATGTATGTTGTCTATTTCTGATTTTTCTGTAGGAGGTTCAGTTTCATTATTAATGTCCGGACACAAAATAACTGAGTGTGATTTACCACAAGCAAAACACCTAACAAACTGTTTACAGAACTTTGCCATATGATTTGGTTCCAAGCATTTTAAACAGCATTTTTTCTCCTTAACTTTAGAAATCCTTTCATTAAGAGATAATGAACGCGCATCGTAACAATTTTTACTATCATGCATTTTACCACAAAAAATACATGCATGTTCTCTGGTTGTAAGAAAACCTGTGGCAGTGGGAACATTTCCCTGTTTCTTAAATTTAAATTTACCTTTTGTTTCCCTCTTTGCTTTATCATGATATCCTTCTTTACGACTAACACCATCGAGTCCATTACGCGCCAATTTTAATCTCTCCTCACCCTCCACTTCAGACTTTAAAAATTTCATTAAGTTGGTAAGGCGAGAAAGATCAGTTCCTTCAGGCTGGTTAAAGAGCGAACTCCTTTGCCACGCCTTTAAAACATCCTCTGTGAGACACGATTCCACCATCGGAAATAACCACGATGTGTTTTCGCTCGATTTAAGACCTAAAGACTCTAAGGCTCTCAACTGAGCTTCAATTTTATCATACAGTTTATCAAGAGGTAATTTATCCTTTTGATCTGCCTTCACATTAGAAACAATTAATTTAATTAGTTCCCTAACATACACTTCTACTAATAATTCAGGTTTCCCAAAACGTTCCTTCAAAGCTAAAACAGCTTTATCATAATTTTCCGAAGTCACCGGATAGCTTTCAATGAAATTCTTTAGCACGTGATCCGGGCTTCATACACTGAATCAAATAGGAAAATTTGTCACTTTCATATAAATCAGGGTCAGTGTGAATTTTCTCAAACTGCGACCAAAACGGTAGCCAATTTATCAATTCCCCATCAAACTTCTTAAGTTCGATTTTCGGAAGTCTATACTGTTTAATCTTACTACAACAAATACCAGCACCATCATTTGGTCTTGTTTCTAAATTGATTTCATCTGAAAATTGCAATTTTTCATTAATTTGCCGAGTTAGTGTTATGAAATCATCAGAATACACCTCGCGACTTTCGATTTCTTTAGTAACATCATCCTCTAAAGTTTTCCCGTCTTCAGCTAACAAATCAAGAATTTTATCATCTACATTTTTTATATCTGAATATACATTTTGTAGTTTAGTAAGTTTATCTCGTACTAAATCTACAGAAAAATCTTCTTTTACTAACTCCGTTTTTAAAATATTAGCAGTTTTTGCAAAAGTGCGTAAACCTGCCCGTTTAAGTTTCAGAGCCTTTAAAGCTTCCATAGTTAACTTTCAAAATAAAACAAACTGCTTTACAAAAAATAGTTTCGAATTTAAACTTAATTATACTTAAATACATCAAAAACTATCATTAAATTTTAAATTAAACCATTAAAATAATTTTTTTTAAAAAGTTTATTTCTTAGAGTCCTGTCGCGGGACGCCACTTTATGTTATTACTAAAACATAGTCTTATCATTAAATATCATTAAAATAAAAATACTTCCTTCACTCATCCCAGATACCGAGCAATCCAGAAAAACTAAAGACAAAACTTGCTCACTTACCTGGGTAGTGTGATGTTGAATCTGAATAAAAACTCTAAGAGGTTGGTTGATTTATCTAATTATATTCTCTCTATACTACAAAATATATACATTTTTTAACAATTGTCGGGAAATTTTTCTGGCCCCGAAAGTTACTACACATCTTAATCAGTTCACGTCACGAGGTCGAAAGGGAAAAACCCTTTTTTTCTTCCTACTTCAATGACAGCCAACGCCATCTGTGTCTCGTACATCAAAATGAAGAGATTTGTTTTTAATATTTGTTAGATACAACTAATCAGTTTCACAACAATTTTATTAATACCTAAGTCAAATTAAGAATCGGGATTCTTACTATTATAGAAAGAAAAATCAAATGTGCATGGGTAAAGCATGCAAAAAAAAAAGTTTGTGGCTTTGAGATGGCCACAAATGATTTTGAGATGGCCACAATGACCATTTTGAGATGGCCACTTTGTGGCCCTTTCCTGATATTGGACGTTCGGATCTCGGACTTTGTACTGTATAAAAAAATACTGGTAATACCAGGTATAAAAAGAATCCATAGAAAATAACTATAACACAATATTAATTATTAACAATTAAATACTGCTTTGTTAACAGACCTAGTCACTAATGCGTACATAATGTGGTACTTTCTTTTATATCTCATGAATACAGCGAAAACTGTGCAATGTTTAACATGCATAATGCCTAGGTATGATGCAAAATGTTAACAATTCTTTGATTTTTTTATGCAAAAACAGATTGCTCTGTATATGATGAGAACAAGCCACGTACACAGTGATCTGTTTTGTTTTTATTTTTTTTAAAAGAAAAAAAAGAACTGCACAAATTTGGCACTATGCACAGCTAACACTATATTATACGAAGCATTACTGTTACTGTGGGTTCATTTATTTCATGAAACTTTAGATATCACCAGGATTGTGGCCATGTAGTTAGATTTAGTGCCAATGTTAAGTTTGGTACCAAGTGTTCTTAGGGCAGCCACTTAACTGTATTTTGGTTTTGGCAACTGCTTTGAATCTATAGTCACAAAATTCTAGTGACAATCTAATTTCACAAAATATTCTCCAGAAAAAGAAGCAAAAACTCGCTAATAAGTAAATTTATTGATATTCAGAATAAATATTAAGTAAAGCATAAAAATATCTGTAATAACATGTATGCATGTAATAAAAAATTTTTTTTACAGTTATAAGTCATTATTCTTTTTCTGCTGTAAAAGATCATCGAACAGGCCAAGGTTGCACTAAACATAATAACTAATCACTGAAATTTGTTTTAGAGTTATTTATAACTTTGCAGTATATATTATGTGTATATTAAAAAGTACTACATCTTGTAAGACAATATTAAATAATATCTCTTTAAGCACATATTAAGTTGTAAACCAAATCATCAATGTTACTTATCATTACGTTCTTCCATGTTATTTTTAAGCCAGCCCATACTTAAGCTCAAATGAAATTATTTCATCATTATATAAAACAATAATAGAAGATAAATCACTATGCGCACAATAGGAATGAAATTGGCTAACACTGATGTAGAATGTTTATAAATTCGATATTAATATTGTCTAACTCATTAATGTACAATTTACATGCTATACCACAAAACTAATTCGTGGTTGCATGAACAGATTAAAATACTTATCTTCTCTGTATTGTCACACTGTTTTTAACAATTACACTTTAAAAGTTTTTCCTGCATAGCAGATCACCTCACTTATAAGTTTCTAGAAGCTATCTTATATTCCTTGATTGCATATTTATTTAGGTTACATTATTTTTTACAAATTCTTTCTTTATTATTTTAATAAAACAAGTTTTATCATCAGTTTCAGTTTCGTTCTTGTACATAATTCTAATAATTTGATCGTTTTGTTAAAAATTCATTCATTTAGTATTATCACACAATTTCAATCATTTAAAATGCCCAGTAACATATTACATTTTTATGAAATACGATATGACCTAAAAGTGAATTGTTTTGCATCACTAGCGTATAACAAACACATAAGATTAGAGCTGCACATAAATTGTGAACCTGTATTGTTTTTAACCTATATGGATCATTTGGGTTATTTTTCGGTGTTTACACTATACCAAAACAGCTGAATATTTTCTGAGAGATGTTTCCAAAGTGCAAACATGTAGGCGAGCGCAAACCCTATATAAATCTGAACTTTCAATACTATCAAATAATTAACATAAATTCAATGTTATACAAGTTACAAATAACAAGTTATAAAAATAAGTTACAAATGAATCAAGTCATTATGTGCAAAAAATTTGTCCTTTATCAGCAATTTTTTATTATATATAAAATCTGTTTTCCAGGTGATTATTCGTTTAAATATATAGCAAACAAATTTTCATCCAATTTAACAATAAATCATGAAAATTATTCATTCAAATCTAAAGAACAGCAAACTTAAAATTCACTCGCATATTAAACTATATTTCTAACCTAAAGTTTCTAAAAACCACAGAAAAAAAAATATCAGTAGGCTGTAATTATGGTTTCCACTCCTTTTTTTTTTTTTTTTTTTTATAGCATTTTATTTTCAAACAAAAGGGATTTTCCAAATGTCGGCTTTGAATTTAGGAAGTACTTACATCTCCTCTTTTTACCGGAGTTTTTAAAATGTCCACTTCATAATTAATCCATTTCAACTCTTCGACATTAAATGTAAATACACAATGTATCACAGAAAGAAGAATAACAGCCAAAACAGAATACATATTCAGAACACGTAACATTTCATAATCCAAAAATGAATTGTGTACATTTCGCAGTACTGATTCGTTCGCGTATGTTTTGATTTTGGATATGCATGAGAGCATGCGCGAAAAATGTGTTAAATGTCGGTTGGCTTAAAAAGTGACGTGTTTTCCAAATGACGTCCCAATCAAACGGTGAAACGAAAAACAGTATTGAATGCAATTCCTATTTCTACTTAAATTACTGTAAAGAATCGATCGAATTGCTGGGTTATTGTCTGAACTTTACTTTAATCAAAAGATACATATTTTGCTTTTGAATAGGCTGAATAATATTTAGTGTGTCACAGATCATGTTGTTCTTTATGTAATAACGCGAATACTCTTTTCTATTTTCGATCGGCAGAAAAAAAAAATCAAGCATCTAAAATAGTAATTGCTGGTATATATAATAGGATACCTCTTCGCAAATTTATCGGCACTTAGTTTGGACTACTGAGCATGAAGGTGTGCTGTACCGTCGCTCCGCTTTTTATCTCATTGCTTAGCCTGCACTTTGTATTTTTCGCTGTAGTTCACTACTAGGGTTTACAGTAGGTTTGTGATTTGAACTACAGTTCTGAGCACAGTAAAAGGCTTAGTGTCCGTAACATAACCGTAACATTTCTCTTTCTCTGATTTTATTCGCCTTTAAGAAAATTTTGCCATGATTGAGAAATTGCTTGATGCTTTCAGAGTTCTAATCACTGAACTTGAAGAGCGATTTGATGATCAGCCTCTTCTTTCTGACAAGGAGAACATTGTTCTATGAAGACATCGAGCGACCATTAACCAGATGATAACTACTGGCCCTAAAAATTCTGACGAACTGAACATCGTAAAAATAAATTGAAATACCGAAAAGTCAGTCCTTGAAAAAGACGCTTCAGTCATCGACTCCATGATCGTTTATGAGTTACACCACAGCTTCAAGCGTCCACTTAGTCCATCTACTGACTATAGTATCAATGTATCGAATCGTTACCCTTTTGCTGGCAAAAGGACATCTCTCGATGTTGACAGCTCAGATAGCGACCCATATTCAAATTTTAAAAACATATCAACAGGGGCGTAGCTAGAGTTTCCAGCGCCCGGGGACAACTTAAGAATTTGCACCCCTTTTGTGTGCTAAAAATGGAAAATATTTCATTAAAAATTTCGTAGCATCAATTTGGCGCCCCTTGGATGCTGCGCCCGGGGACAGATGTTCTCCCTTGCCCCACCCTAGCTACGCCACTGCATATCAAGGTAATCAAGAAGAATGAACGAACAAAGACAAACTCCTGCAACGACTACCGCCTGCACAAAGATGTCCGGCTCCTCCCCCAAGTCAGAAATTTCAGGAGTAACCAGCACAGATCCCAGCACCTTCTCAATGGTCAACTAGCAATGCTGCTCTGAGCGAAACATCGAACCAACAGACACATCCAAACAGACACATCCGACAGACAGCATGACACATCCCGCTGGAAAGACTGTAAGCAAAACATCGATTATTGTCAAAAATGATTGGCATAATTGGTATGATTTAATAAAACTGCTCAAATCACACAACTTCAGCTAAAACGACTACACTGTCGAGATGCTTTGGGACGCAATTACAAGTCTGGTTTCAAATCCAAACATCTGCAGGCTATTCAAGATCTGCAAGAAATAACCATTTTTCTTTCTCCTAATAAACTTACAAAAGCGTAACCGAACTTTACGTTGCCAAAGCTATTCAAAAGCGGCATGCTTTTATTATCTTTCGAAGATGCAGAAAACACTCTTTACAGAAAACAATTACACAAATTTCCGGTTTTACAATGTCAAACTAGAATGAAAGGCAACAATTTAGACTTGGTTCTAACACAGACAGATGACCAAGATCCTGTGTAATGAAGATGTTCATCTCAAATTCTTCCCCCTCCACTAAGGCTCCTCTAAACCAGGCTGAATTACCAACTTTTCTCTCTTGGCGAGTAAAAGAACGCGCTTCCAATTTTGGCGCGTTTATCGCACACACTGGCTGAATGTCTGCTGTTTTTTTAAAGATTGATTTTATAGACGCGCGGCATTCAGCGCATATAAACTTTTCGGGTAATATATTAATCCTCGAATAGTATATAGACATTTTCACTTAAATAAAAATTTCGCGTACATTTTGCAAAACATATTCAAAATAACTTATGCTTTAGGTGTTTCAGTTTAGTTAGCAGACTAAAATAAATAAGATATGAATAAAAACTTTCAATAGTGTCAAATGGGGAAATAGTTAAAGCGTAGAGTGTGCAAATAAATTTATCTTAATGACATTTTAACAAAAATTTCCATAAAAACACTGTAAATTCATACTCAAAAAATAACTTAAGAATATGTTGTCATTTAAGTCTGAGGTATATGGAAATAATTGTGCAAGACTCTGAAGAAACACTTTCTTTTAAATGTGTGAAATATTTCATAACATATATGGAAGAAGAAAGTACAGCATTCTGAGTTTTGGATGCTTTATACCAAATGTAATATAAATACGAACTATAAACCGCAATAAAAAGTCCTTCCCCTCCAATCAGATCACCTTTGTGTTGTATTGTATTTGTAATACTTCTAAAAATCCAATCCAAAAGGTATTAATTATAGTAAAATACTAAAAATCCATACAATCAACAAATCGGAAAAAACTCGCCCAAGTTAGATTTATTTAAAAAGCATATTTGTTCTACATTGCCCAGCGAAAGTCATGTGTAAGTCACAAAGCGGATTCGGCTATCCAAGTTACGTTATTTCATTTTCAACTCAATTCTGCTACACCCACTGCGATGGGCATTTTTTTTTTTTTTTTTTTTTTTTTTTTTTTTTTTTTTTATGGTGGGAAATGTACTGAATACTTCATAATGTGAACTACGAGTAATGAAAAAAAGTTACTGCATTTAAGCAGAGTTTTTTGCGTTAATTATCTTCCTAAGAGTAGAATCATTGGGCATACCTTTTAGAATCCTATCATCCAACTTTCTATCAGCGAAATCAAAAACTTTCCGTTTCAAAGGAAATCTAAATTTATAGCAAGAATTTTGGAACAAATTGCATCCTTTTACTGCAAAGCTTTCATTTGTTATGAGTTCTAAAACCATCTAACTAGAATATGAGAAAAGATCTTGAAATTATTTTGTGCAAAATCCAAGCTTCCATATCTTACCGTTTCATGAGTGGTTAACATTACTGATTACTGATAGTTCTGGTGTTGACCTTTGCTGGTTCTGGTGTAGCAAGTGAACATATTTGTTAGGATTTCGTCAGGTTTGCTCCCACAAAACAGAATACTATCTACTTTTCTTTTAAAATTCCTTTCCCAAAAGCCCCTTATGAAGTAGTTAATCTTCGATAGCCTCTCCATAACAATTGTAGAGATCTCGAGAGTTAATCAAATCGCATTACAAAGCTGTTTGATTAGCAGAATCTGTCGCTCTTTTGTAACAGCAGTATGATATTTGACTGCCATATAACAGACCCAGGATCGAGTCCCAAGAAAATTATCCTCTTCAAGGACATGAGGAAACTCTTGTGCTGCTGTCTTTCTGATTGCAGCTAATAGATGGCCGCGTGAGCAAGCAATAATATACCAAGGAGCACAAAGCGATTATAACACCACGTGATCGCTGCAATGGTGACCCGGAGAACTACACACACACTCAGTGGTGTCACTGAGGAAAAATGACGAACTACTTCAAGCACGTCAAGATGCTCTTTCATATATGTTCCATTACATTTTACTGCGGTCACTCGCAAGAAGGAGCAAAACCTAACGGCGACACAAATTCCAACGAACAATGCTCTTTCAACCATGCTCCACCAAGTATCAACGGAGCCAACTGAGCACGTTTACACACTGGAGCCGTAGCCACAGCCCATAAATGCAACGATCAATCCCATCAACGCACTCGACTCACAACCCCGTCCACAACGTAGGTTTAGTTCACAATGACCAATCGTATCTCCTCATATCGCATCAGAAATGCATAGGAGAGGCCTGTGCAGCAATCTCTACAGCTAATAACATGCTCGCGTTACAAAGGAGTTTGAATATTAGAATCTGTCGCATGGAAGTTCTTTTGCAAGAGAGGTTTGAGATTCGAATGCAACATAATCTTAATTATACTCGTAATTTTATGTGATGTGTGTGTAGCTTTCTGCTTAAATTTTCTGTTATATATGGAGGTATTGGAAAGAATGTACTCCTCTGTTGAGAAAGTTATCGAAAATTATTTATACTGCAATTTCTTTTGAAATGTAAAATGTCTGATGTAGCAGCACATTCCTTCCCGTGATTACCATGTTTTAAATAGCCCGATTGATGGTTTGTAAACAAAATCTAATTTCTTGTTCTAATAAATAGGAAGGACTGTATTATGAAATTCTGGATTATATTTTATTAGATTTAATATATTATAATATATTTAAAACAAGTACTTTGAAACAACTACCATAACTTAATTTTGTTTCGTGTTTTTTCTATAATATCAACAAATCTAAATTCATTTTGATCCGCATGTATTTCCTCGCGATATTTAGGAACCAGTAAAAAACGCTCGCTGTTATAGTCAAGTAAAGTAACACTCCGGTTCTCCATCAAAAGTGTTATGGGCTTTAAGTAAAACATTGTCTTCGTTTATTCAATTTTACTCAAAATTTAATCAACTCATTATATGAACGCAAGAAGTTTAAATAAGGAAAAAGAAAATTTTTGGACGTTTCACATAAGATTTATCATGGGCGGAACTGTTGTCACAGTCGTACATGATATCGTTCTAAAAACAGTAAAGATGTTTTGTGGAACTCTAATTCATGCTTATTCACTGAAAAGTCACTATCGAACATTTGGACCAAAATCATTACCTCCCTTACTTATGTCCTTTAGTCTGTGACAGATACTAAAAGTACATTTTTCCAATACTTCCATGAAAAGGCACAGGCACTAGAGCAAATGCTTGTATTCCGACAGATGTTAACATCTAACTTAAAAATAATTAGTCTTATGTCTGGCCAGCCTACAGACTGGCGGAACCCTTCTATGCCTTTCTATTGTAATACCCTTCTATGGCTCTTAACAAGTTGACTTGAAAATAACATCTGCCGGAATACAAGCATTTGCTCTAGTGCCTGTGTCTTTTCATGGAAGTGTTGAAAGAATGTACTTTTAGTATCTGTCACAGACTGGCCTCTGGAAAAGTTTGAATTTCCGAAAATATTAACCCTATAACATAATCTGCAAAATACAGAACAGCGAAGTCAGCTGATAAGAAATCTTGCACTAAAGATGCTTGTGGCATGATAAGATCTGTTTTTGATCAAAGAAAACTAAACTTCTTTGCTAAAACACACTTCAGCGACAGCACGTCACAGGATGAAAATTTTTATATATTGTAACAAGAAATATTTTATCTTTGATAATGCCAATTAATACATTTTGAATACAGAAAGAAGCTTAATATCTTTTAATTTAAGTATTACAAGATTCATAAACATAACAAGAGTTTTCTGCAAATATATTGAATATGGGAACTTTACTCAGGGCTGGAGATAACGTAGGAATTGAAGGACTAGTATAGAACAGAAAATTAGCACTTTTGAAAAGAAGAATTTCAAGAAAGGTGATGAAAAATATTGCAAAAATTACATGATTTATGTGCAATGATTTATGTGCATGAGGACATCTGCAAAAAATCATATTTCATGCATACATAGGTAGATCCAAATATTTCTGGCCTGATACATTTCTGAATTAAATGGAGAAAATTGTAACACTTTATTTCTGTACTTCGATTCATGTCGTTTAATGTGAAATTATATGCCCCTGAAAAGTAATCGGAAGGTTTGTCTGCAAAATGTTGTGTAACAGCTCTTTTCAGGCCATCATCTCATGTCTCTTTCCATGATGGTCAGATTTCAGGTTGGAGAACAGATAATAATCTCTTGGGGCTAAATCTAGAGTATAAGAGGAGGAAAGTCTTTAAGCTCTGAATTGCACTGACACGTTTCTGCTTTTGAGTTGTCTGAATTGAAGTCTGGATAGTCAAGCTTCTTAAAATATTTCAAGTACTTCTTTATTTCTTTTAAGCAACGAAAGCTGGATGCACAGGAGCATTATCATGGAGAAGATTGACATCATTCTACCCCTTTTCGTTTTAATCTCATTGTGCAATTTATGAAAAAGACTTGTTGTAGTATTCCCCATTAATGATTATGTTTCTTTCTTTAATCCTTTATCTTAAGCCCCCGACGAACGCTCGGAATTTTAATTTTACATAAACTTAAAAGCCTCAGAATATCCTTGTATCTTGACGATCTTTTTTTTTAAATTTAAACCCCGAATAAATTTGCTGTGTTGAGTTAGTTACAAGTGTGACTACGAGAAGCAAGAAGCCTAAACTTTAATTGGTTTTACAACTATTTGATGTGTTGTAAAGAGGTTTATGTTAGTAGTTTTAAAAACTATATACTCGCGTTATGTTAGATTGTATTCTGGTTATTTTTCTTTTCATCATGAAGTGTTATGAAGAGTTGGACATGGAATTTAGTGGATCATAAAGCGACACTTCTGATTCTGACAGTGTAAGTGAAGCAAAAGCATATCAAGAAAGTGATTCTATCGAGGTTAATTTTTCCAACATGAAATTATGGCGGAAAATAGACATGACAGCTGTGGTGCCTACCGTACCTCCAACCAGACCAATAATCAGAAGGAACATTATGCGAAGAGAATTAGTATTATGACTATTACTTTAAATAAAATATTTGCTTCTAGGACATTTTATTGGTATAGGGCATGTGATATTAATTTTTAAAAGCAACGAACATGTTCGGGATTTTAATATAATCTTTTTTCAACACTCTCTAATTACCCCTTAAGTGAATAAGTTGCCAAAATTGTTGTTTGCAATAACCTATATATTCATATCAAAAATTAAAATTCAGCAATAAAAAATTGGATATTTTGGACAATATTTTACAAAATAATTGTTATATTTTGGGGTAAAGTCTCTCAGGAGGATTTGTTGACAGTCGCGAAAATAGTGACCTTACCTTTCTTGTTAAGATAACCTTTGCTTTGAGTTATGGTAGGAATAAATATTATTAAAGTTATTTTGCTGTGAATTTCTTCATTTTGTTATCATAATAAACGACATTTTCTTTTTTTTTTTTTTTTTTTGTTCCAAGAGAATTTTTGTTGGGAATTTTCTCTTGTTAATCTCTTTTCCCTTGTATTTTTTTATTTGTATTTTAGTGTATATAAATATATCAACAGAATTTCGGAATTAATACTTAAAATTATTTGCTAGAAAATTTAATGCGCTATTCTTTTGCCATTTTATATATTATATTATGATCAGCATTTAATTTTAAAAATTGATTTTCTCTCTATTATTATAATCAGTAGAACCGTAGTACAGAAACAGCATAAATTTGCATTAAGAATTATTATAATTGATGAAAATAAAGTTAGAAAAAAATTACTTGAAGCACCGACTGACTAGGTTTTAAAAATGGAATTAAAATCTTCATTTCATAAAATGAAATGAAATATGAAGAAAACAACTGCTGAAAAGAGGTACTTTTTCCAGCAATAATTTTTTTCTCCAGGTGCCTCTGTTAACTTTTACAATACTTCATGTTTCATTACGGAAATACTTATATTTCTTTTTTTTTTTATCTCGGAGTTAGAGCATATTTAGAAAAAAAGAACAAGCAAAATTTGAACAAAAATAATGTACGACTATAAAAAAATTGTGCTTTGACAATAAACGTGAAATTTCCTGCTAATGAAATAAAACTGGAGGAGGAACGGAAGGAATCTACAACATTTTGGCAAATGTTGCAATTACGTGAAAGTTAAATCTTTAATTATCTTCCATGTGTTCTTGAGCATAGTGGACTTGTAACGCTATTCAACAAAGTATCTATAATTTATCTTTCACACTGAGAGTTAATATGCTCTTATTAAGAATGTTGTAATAACTAAAATATGTTTTACTGCTAATTGCGTTTATCTAAAACGGTGTACATGGAAATATTTGTAGATATATATTTTATTTTTATGTTTCCTATGAAACTAGTGTTCGTTTTCAACCTTTCACTGCTGTGAAGAACGCTTATATCGCCAGGAGAAATTAATTTTTAACAAAACAATATAACACAACAATTGTTATTAATTTTTAACACAACAATAAATAATAGGAAGAACATTCATATGAAAAAGAAAAATAATTTATTAAATCAATTCAACAAACGCACAATATACAATCTGTTTGGCAGTACGTGCGTTGAGCGCAGACACAATCTTTTTTACAACTTCAGGACGCTCCTGAGGTATTTATACAATAATATTTCTCAAAATTATTAATTTAAATTAAATATATTATTCCTGAAAAATAAAAGTAATTTAACTGAGGTTTAGTACATTAAAAATGCGTTAAAAAGAAGAGGTAGAAAATATTTATATTTTTCCTTCATAAAACAAAAAATATTGATGCATGTGTGGATATTCATGCATTTCACTTCATATATAATTTACATATATATTATATAAACAGATATATTAAATCTTTTATGACATTCATTTGATTTGTGTATTCTGCTTATATCCAATAAGTGAATATATTGCAGAAATATTAATAATATTAAAGAATATCAAACAACTTATACATCTTGAAAACTATAGATTTTAATTTGCAAGTGGACATATTTGTATTATTAGAGATGGGGCGATTCCTAAGCTTTCCAAAATCCGAATGCTTAAACATCCTCAAATCTCTTGAGTCCTTCATGTAAACATGCAATAATAATAATAATAATAAGAGGAAAACATTTACTAAATTTTAAAAGCCTCCAATAAAAGCAAAAATATGAAATCTGATTTTGCTGAAAAATAGATTTAAAACTGCAGTTTTTTAAAATTCACCTAAATTTTATTACGGCAATAGATATAAAATTTACTAAATTAGATATACAATTAAAATCGTTGAAATATGAGGTTCATTTTCCTGACATAATTTGACAAAAATTACTTTATTAACAGTCTAGACTTTTCATACTTTTCATGATATTTTGAAGTCAGAATATGGGGTGTGATATTTTGAGATTTAATACTGAATATTAAGGATAAAATGCTTATTTCTGCCCACAAAATTTAAGAGAGCAATACTCAGGTCACCTCTCAGTGATGTTGGTAACCCAAGCCCACTGAAATTATAACAGCATTCTTTTAACCTCTTAGAACTCGATTTTAAGATTTATGCATGTAAAGTATATCTGTATAACTCAGTCACTGATAAATGTTTTCATAAGCTCGTCAATGACGTTAAAACAAAAAATTCAGATTTTTATTTTTAGAGAAAGAAAAATTCAAATTTTAATTATGTTCAATAAAAACATGATTATGCCGGACTTTTGCTTTCCGTAAGACTCGATTTTGAGGTGCATAAATCGACCTCGAATTTTTATCCAAATAATCATTAAATTTAAATACATCCAGCTTATTAGTTTATTAGACGACCTTCAATGTGCAGCATCTAGAAAATTAAGTATAAATGAAAATCATACTCCATTAGCAGAAGATAAAATGCTTATTACAAAGATCTAAATATATCTTGAAAACAGTTAAGTACCAGAACGAGTTAAAACGTGAAGATGCTGTCAGAAGAAAAAAACAATTCCACTTGACAAAATGGGAGTAAATTGCGAATGCTTTCAAAGAATTCAATACTTCCGAAAATTCAAGATTTTAAGGGTATTATTTGTTGGTATAATCAATCTGTGGAAAGAAAATACAGTTGCAGCAGAAGATGAACATGAAATAAATGAATATTTTAATTTTAATCGTTGGCAACTGACTATAAATCTGTGTCTACGATTTAAAAAAAGATTTTATCTAAATAGATTTATTTTAAAAAAATGACAAATAATGGTGACTCAGAGAACCACCATTATCTATACATATATCACCATTATCTTTTAATAAAACTTTTATAGAATTATAATTTTTTTACAATTTAGTTAACTAAAAATACTGTTTCTCATTGTATGTTTTATTTACAATGATAAATATATAATTATTCATTTTTATTGAACATAATCATTTACTTAGCTAGTAAATATAATTGAAAGTAGTTATAATATATTATACCTGTACCTATATTGAAAGTAGTTATAATATATTAAGTTGATTACACATTACAGAATGTAAAGCTTGATTTTTACATTGGAGAAAATGGTGAAACTAGCCTTAAAGAGTTAATGAATGCTTCTATTGGACATAATAAAGCTCAGCTTTCCAAAGTTTCAAGTTAAAAGCTGAATTTGAGTTTCAGAATAAGATTCAAAGTATTCGAATGATGAAATAAGCATGAAGTGTAGAGTTTCCAAATTTCGAAACGTTTTCAAGATTTACGGGATCCAAGGACTCGCATACCCATCTCTATATAATACACAATTATATTTTATTCTCTTAATACTTTTACAAACTATCCTTGGAAGAAAAATGTCAATTTAAATTTTTATTTCAAACGTAATCCATTTGAAAGTTAGATATTAAGTAGCATGGATATTCTTGCTTAAAAGAATACACTATATAAGTGTTTGTATAGTTTTTTAAACACATCTGAAGTTTTTTGGCAGGAATTAAGTTTCGTATGGCACCACATTTCTAATCTATATACAGTGCTCCAGTAGAACCTTTGAAACGACATCTTATATAATCTCTTGGTATCCTGCTTTCACTTTAAATCCGAAACCCGCTGCCAACTTATTAAGTAGTACTTGAAAGAAGAGAAAGAATTGTTTCTCATTACTCTTTCTACTTTTTGTCAAAGGTTCTTTAACATCAGTCTGGAAATTACGATAGTTACCTATAATAATTCTAGATGACTTAGAAAAATCTCTTATTCATTGCACTCGTAGAATTCTCTGAGATTGTCTTGATTATCATTCTGTCAAAAACAAGATAAATTTAATATTTAACTCTTTCAATTACATCTTCTTTAGATTTCCAAGTCAAAGTAATTAAAATCATTCTTATCTGAAGGATTTCCACTTTTTAATAATTATTACGTGTCTCATTACTCATATTACATTATTACATTTTATCCTTCCTTGTACGTAATGTTTAAATTTATAAGAATAATATCTAGTTACTTTTTCACAGTTGCTTTAAAATTTATATCTAGTTACTTTTTGCATTTGCGTGCAGATTTTAATACGGGAAATACAGAAGAATTATAATTTTCGAAGAGCCTGCAAATACTAAGCTATATTTCATCAGCAGGTTTTAAAATAAATCAATAATATAGTTCCTTGTGGTATCACAGTTCGTTGCTAAATTCCTGCACAAGTCACAGTTTCATAAACATTCTTCTTCAACTGTGAAATATCTCTAGCTGGGAAACAGCAGCAGTATGTCATGAAAATGGAACAAATATACAGTTCTTAAGATTATTAAAAGAGTATGCGTCAGGGTGAAAGTTCCATTTCATGGCTTATCATAGATATCTACTTTTATTTGAAAATTTGTTTTTGCACATAGTATGATTTATCTGAATTTCTGAAATGTCTTCTCGAAACACTATCCATCGGGAACATCTTAAAGAGATATGTTATGTATAAGTTCTAAATTGCATATCACAGCATTCTAGTCTGTAGAACTTAATTTCAATATGTACACCTAAGTAACATCATCGAATTTCTAACAAATTCCTTTCATTAATAAAGCTCCATATATGAACAGAATATCTGGAAAGCTTTCAAAATAACAAACTATCATTTGCTTCAGAGTTCCGTAGTGTTTTCTGCTGTATATTTTGTCCTATGTGGTGGATGATGAGTCTCCACTAGAGCAACTTTACCCTCTGAAGAATCATCTCCTCTGGAAGATCCAGCTATTTCTTCAAGCCTATAATAATAAGTGTATATTTACTTACAAAGAATAATTTGAGGATCAGAGCTTTTATGGCACACAGAATATAATAAATAAATAAATAAATAATCAAGCTAAATTAGCTTTAAAACTTATTGATCAGTTGGTATTTTAGCACAAAATCTCTTAAAATTACTTATGCCAAACCTAAATCTATCATAAGTCATATTTCGAATTTTAAACCTTATATTCTCTTACATTTATAACTTAAAACTTACAACTATTATATTTATAAGCAATATATTATACAAGCCTACGAGAACATATTATATAAATTGCAAAGAACATATTATATAAATTTAAATTATATTATAAGGCCATATTATATAAACTTAACTTACAAGAACATATTATAGAAGCTGCAAAGAACATATTATATAAATTTAAAACTTCAAACTTTTATATTTATAAAAGACTATAAAAGGAAAATTCCAAACACCAATAAATTTTAATGCTAAGTAACAAAGAAGACAATCTCTAATAACAGTGTTAGTGAACAAAAAGTCATTATCTTGGGAAAATGAAAAATAAATCTAAACACATTCTGCAATAAATAGAACAACACATATTTTAAATTAGCTACCCTGTGAGTAAAAGGTGGCCATTTTTTTTTATTTAAAAGGAAGTTTTGACTCCTTTTAAATAATAATAAAAAAAGATTCAGATACTCACTGATCTGGATCCTCAAACAGAGGATTGGTGGCAGGAGCCATAAGGTCTCCTTGCTCCTCCAGAGCTGATGGTCCACTGCTTGTTGCTCTCGCAGTACTACTGTGGCCTAGAGAACTGCGGCTCTCATCCAAAGAGGAACCTCCTGTAGAAAAACTGTTATCCGTGTTGTGTCCACCAAAAGCAGAAGCGGATCCATCACGTTGAGACCCTCCACCGATATAGGCAATGCCTTCCATTCCACGAAGCGTCAAGGATAGATGGGTATCTTGAAGGCTTCCTCCTCCATCGTCATCAAGTGGAATGCTCATTTGTAATACCTGGAGTAAACTCGTGGTAAGAGTAGGATCTTAAAAGAATATGAGATTTCAACTTGAACTATCACTACGTTATGCACATCTTAAATGTAAATTACCCTGCACCTAAATAAATTAGCGTAGAAAAGGATTCCATATCCTGAAGAATGTTCTAGTGTTTTAAAAATGGTTATTTTATCTTGTTAATTCTCTGGCAGTTCAAGGATTTTACTCTCAAAAGGCTAAATTAACCAAGAAATTTATTTTTATCCATCACTATCATAACAAAATGCCTAATTCATTTTTTAATTGAATGTTAACGATTAGCACTGACATATCCAGAGCTTTCGCCACTCGGGAACGTATTTATTAGAACGCAGCCTTTTCATTACGAACAAACAAACAAACCTCAAAATACCTAATGCATTATAATGATGTAATTATATAAAATGGCATACATGGGAAACATTAACTCTGTGTTTTATTTTTTCAGTCAGCCTTTAATTTTAGTATTTTAAACAGCTACCTGGCTTGTTTTCTGCCAGCAAAATTGTCGATGAAATTATCTATTTTTTTGCCCATTCGCTGTTCGGTAGACAGTAAAGTTTCTGTTCATCTGTAGGACTCCTGTAACTTTTAATTCATTTTTATTTAGACAATTTCTTTTGATAAGGAGCAATAATTGTGAGGAAAATTACCAACAATATTAAAATATTTGGAACTGAGCTCTGGAAACCTTTCAGAACAGAAAACCAAAGTTGCAAAGTATTAATTTTAGGTCTGAATTTCATCTTCGTTAGCATTAATAGAAATAAAACTCTGACATATTCCTCTCACTACAACGAATTATTTTTTACTGATGTCATCTTTGACTTCATTATCTTTCACTTGAAAATTTTAATTGAGTTGTAAGGATTATCCTAATTTACCTAACAGTTAAATTTTGAGTTAAAGTTACTGTCATACCTTTACTTAATTTCAAGCTTACAACTTCCGGCCAGATCATATTATCAGAATCGCTTTTGAATGCAAATGAGGAAAATTATTTAACTGTGAAGATCTACTGACTTCGTTAGAGAGAACCAGGGATTCCGACTAGCGTGCGCTCGACTTTTTAGGCTGCTCTCTCTTAAGCTATTATTACCCTCGGCCGTACTTTAGGCCCTTGATAGCTTCGCCCGCTATTTAGAGTTAAGGGGCCAACTCTGTTAGAATCTTGATAGCTTCGGCTATATCTTTTTAGTTAAGATTAGTTTATTTAGTTCTTAAGTTCAAGCCCGAGTGTCGGCTTTATTGTAAAACTCCAAGAATGAGTTCTGTTAAACTTGGACTAATAAAGGGTAATTTCACCCTTCGTACGTTTTGTTCTCTGTCTAAAGAACTCAAGCGATTATTCGCTTATCAGTTCTTAAGATTCTTCAACTTTAACTGTAACTTTAACTGTAACTTAAAAGTACACAGGTTAGAATCTTACAGAGTAAGGAAACCAAAGTAAGAACATGAAGTTGTTGAAATCTTATCAAAATTTCTTTGAATATTTGATAAAGTATAAAACCATTCTTTTTCTCAATCTAATTTCGTAAGGCGATTTTCGTCTCGAAATTCATCAGTCATCATCAGTTTCTTCTTTCTTCCCGACAACCCACGACTAAGCCCTATAAAATTAGGCCTTATATATGAAAATTGCATTGCCAAAAATGTGCAGCACAGGACAAATTGTTCCCTCTAAAATATGAAATCTGTACCATGCATTTCCAGGTGCATGTACAACTTGTCAAATATACAAGGATAAGTATTTTCGAATATGTGTATAATTTGGAGAACTAAATATTAATTCCAAGCATGTAGTTTCAGTTACAAAATTTCTCAAAACAAGTTTAAAGATTTTTACAGGAATAGTCTCAACTCTGTGGGTGGGGAGTTTAATAAATATAGTTGATATTCCCATTTAGTAAAATATTCATTAAGCTATAACAACTTAAGAACAAAAATGTTCCATGTCTTTGCCTGAAAAATTTTGCAGAGATGTGTGTGATTAAAATTTTTATGAGATAAGATGCAATTTTAATCGCAAATGCTGCTTTAGTAAATGCAGAATCATTAATAATTAAATTATGGAAATTATTTTAGAATGAATTGCTAAATCTTGATTTCAGATCAGTACTTTGCACTGAAAAATGAATTAAACCAATGAATGTTTTCTCAAATATATAAAATTTTCGTTTAATAAAGAAGAAAACATTTTTTAAAACTGCATATAAAAAGATACAAATGAAATACGTAATTAAACTCTCGAATTCCGAAGTTAAGTTTGTCTATAATTTGAATAAAAAGAATACTCCAATATATATACAGGGATTTATATATATTTTAACTAACATTTTAAATTTTAAGTTCAGACTTTTCTATAAGTTTCTTTTCTTCATTCCCCTAATTGCCAGCGCCAGAATAGTTAAATGTTGTAGTGCGCGTGAACGCATGCATATTTTATAGGTTAAAGGAAGTAGTTAAAAGCTGAGTTTCAATAGGAGAAAGGGGGAGTTTAGGCTCTAGCTGCTGTCTCTCTGCCGCAGGTAAGTTTGCTTATTGCTGGTTCAAGTGGCTTAATTGCATTGTCTTACTGCCACTAGCTTAGAAGGGGGTTGAAGTTCGGGATCTCGCTGAGCCACGTAGGTTAGTTTAGCACTTGCTAAACATTTCAACTTTTAACTTTCAATTACCTGCTTTTCAGTTACCGCCCAAGTAGAGGTAAAGTTTGTTAGCGTCGAGTTGACGCAGTGTAAATTTTAAAGAGTTAATAAAGGGTTTGAACCCTTCTTCTGTGTAGTTTCCTGCTACTCCTGTATCCAAACAGAAGTTAACCCACCTGGACCCTACAAATTGTTCAAACCTTTCCCATTTTTCCAGAATATATTTAAATCGAAAAATTTTAGAGGGAGCAGTTATTTCAAGGATTTACATAGATAAACACTAAATACGGAACGCTAAATTTTCTGCGTTTTTAAAATTGCGGTACTACTGAGATTCCAACAATCACTTTCTTGTAAACGCTATAAAAATTTGTCAACCAAAGTAATATTTTCACTGTTTTAAATTATAATATTTAATTGGATTTTTAAAGGTTTGGATTCGGAAGACAAAATTTTGAATCTCGAACCTTTTTATAAGATTCGTGGGTTTTAAATATTTGAATGCTTTATTTCTAGTCAATAACATATTATTAAGAAATTATTGAATTTATGTTTTTCATCAAAAAATGTTTTAGAAACCTTAGAGCTCTGGATATTCTATTGCATCACAACATAACATTTTTATAAAAGGTCTTATGATCTTATAATGACCGATTTTATTAAATTATAAATCTTACTTCATTATAAGACAGCATTTGTTTAAAATTCTGACTTATGATGAAATAGAACATTTAGAATAAATTAATAAAATATTTTGTACTCATTAGAAGGACATTGGTAAAAACATATACTAAGATAGTATTGCTTGGATGTAACTTCAACTACCAGGGTGGTTGGTATACTTTAATGGTAAATTCTTGAAAGATTGCCGTTTGAATTTTGCTGTAAAAGCTTTCTGTTAAGAAATGCATGTATTCAGATAAGCAAGCAAGATGTTTCTGAGATGTCTCTCTGAACTCCAGAAACACAGTGCTTGACCAGGCATGAATTTAAAGCTGATTTTAATATTGACACATTTCAAAGATTACAGTTTGCTGCATTACATAACTAGATAGTGGTAGGTGCTCAATTTGTTTTCCTTCATGTGACTAATGAAAAATTTTCATCAGTTCTGAATGACCTTCACTTCTAAGTAATTGAAAATATTATTAGATGATTTTAATAAACGGAATTTTTAGTCACTTATGGCTTTGATTTTTATTCAAATATTTATCACCAATGTTTTTACGTTTTAGATTATTTTTTGAAAGTTGCTCTGAAACAGAGAAAAAATTCTGCCTTTAAAAAATGAGTAATAAAAACATTTTATTTATTTCCCGAAAATATCATGTCTTTAAAATCAACAAATAATAAAATCACTGCAATTATTTATCATATACAAGAATAACAAAATTGCTAAACTAATCAGTATTGCAAGTTAAATCAGCAAAAGTTTTTATCATTTTATTTATTTATTTCATTATATAATTTTATCATATTTTTTTTAATTATATGACACTAGTAAACACACTAACGATTTTCATTTTGCCTTCAGATGAAAAAGAGATCATTCTCTCTTCTAAAAGAAAGGATTATTCTATGCACTAAAATTTGTTTGAACAATCTTGAAGTGAAACTTTACAACGAACTTACATAGCCATTACACATTTAAATAATACTTTGATTATATATATATAAACCAGCATCCTTTATAAAATCTGGTTTCAATTAGAATTTTTTTTTTTTTTTTTATCTTGACCACACAAGCGACAATTCGGAATTAAGGCGCAATTAAATTCTTCTGTATAGAGTGGCACTGTTTTGGTGACATTTTGTGAACTGGCTCACCCAGTGACTTAAGTCACAGAAATAAAAGCAGAAACAGTGCTTTTTTAAAAGATTTCAATACTAAATTTCTCTTGAACAGCTGGCCATAGACATTCATTTTTCAAACTGCAAACCTGGTGATACGGTTCAAATTTCAGGTTAAGTGGAATAGTGAAAAGCACTTATTCAGCGGCCACTGGTGAGGTGGTTGAAATTTAAGAAATGAATGAAACAGTACCTGTATTCAGACTGCGACTAAAGACACATAAAGCCTTGAATTTATGTACAGACTCTCTGCAAGGGATATGTAATTAATACGCTACTGAAGATCTTTCATGGAAAAACGAGTTTCATAACATGTAAATGTGATGCTAAAAGAAAATATCAGTATTGTGTCACCTTTTTACGGACGAAAGGAAAGGTAGAATTGTCGATTTCAAGGGCTGTATAAAAACTTGAATTAACTGAAATCAAAATTTTGAGTTTTAGCATTTCTACAAATGAGGATTTGAAACCCGTGTTTCTATATTAACGCCTTGCGGATATTTTAGTATGATTTAAAATTCTTGTAAGGTTCTTTTTATGTTAATTAACCATTTGTTTTATGTTTTGGATGTTTACTATTACTTCTCCCCTTCCGTTTTGCCGCCAAAATGCAAATTAGTTCACGTGCATTTAAAGTTAGGGTTTTGGGTTGTATGAAAAAAGGGGAATTGGGTCTCTCGAGGCCATGTTACTAGATTGCTAGATTAGATAAGATTTGATCTAGCAACCTAGTAGCATTATAATTGCCGATAGTTGAATATCCTCGCCGGTTAAATTTTGAGCAACTTCGCGTTAATTCATCTGTGCAGCTTTTGGCTACTAGCTAATTTAATTTAAATTTTATTTTTGACTTATTGTTAATTTAAGTTTTCTCGCCACAAGTGGTTGGCTGAGTTGTAAGCACCAAGTGCGACTTCTGTTCTTATTTAGTTTCAAATAAAGGTTCATTTACGTCCTTCTCACGTTTTCAGTTGTTACTTTAGACTTAGTGATAATTCGTTGCCAGTTTATCTAAACTTTGGTTACATTTTTATGATAAAAAAAGTTTATAATCTTATTTTCAAATCTTAATAAGCGTAGCTATTTATGATAATATTCGCATACGGTATCTCCAAAATTAAAAATCACTGATACTTTCTTCTGGAATGCCTGTATAAAATATAAGTTTTTTTACTAAAACGTAATCACATAGCCAAAATTACAGTAATTGTTTTATTTCTTAAAATGCGAATGATAAATCTAAAACCATTCTTTCAAAATGGTATTAGCATAATCTTTTGAAGCATTCTGTGTAACTGCTCGGATATCGATATTATAACTATTTTCTGGACACTTCTGCAGGAAGTAAATATTAAAATGAGAAAATATATCTATACACATATGTTTATTAAAACCAGAAGTTTAATTTCTATAAAATAATCAAAACATTTTTATTGTAAAAGAAACATTACCTGAGTTTCGTATTCCTTTAAACTGGGCTCCACGAAAACTGGTTCGTACCGCGGGGCGACGTACAAGCGCTTTACTCTTTCACGATAAGCAATATATCTGGAAGAAAGAAAATTCGTTGGCATTTTAATATTTCAGTAATAAATTAACGTAGTCAGCTTCTGCTTAACTACAAAATACATAAAATGTGTTACCAATACCAAAAGTCAGGAACTACGTTTAAGAAAATTGTATTTCTACGAATTTGCAATTTATTGTGTTACCAAATCACCAAAGAACTGCTTAAAATTAAGATTTTTAAAAAAAGTTTATTTTGAATTTTTTTTAATTACAATTAGTTACAATTATGTTCAATAAGGTTCAATTTCTCAAAGGCATGATTTCTATTCAACATGCTACTAACGTTAAAGCATTCTGGTAAAATTCATTATAAAGATTAAACGGCTACTGCAGCCTTACGATCTTTCGTTCAGCTTTAGAAAATGAGACATAGTATAATAGAATAAGAACAGTTTTTACAGGATTGAAGAACACAATAAAGCATCTGTGGGAAATTGTTCTGTATAGTGAAAGATTAGCAACTGTGGATGCAGTCCCAAAACGACCCCCTTGTGGCATCATCAACGCGTGCAGCAGCAAGATCCAATTAAGTTTCACCTCGGAAAGATGCTGTTTCAGTGTTAAGATAGTTTTTGATGAAATATCATTGTAAAAATTCAACATTTTGACGAGCTTCTTGTTCTTGATTGGTGAAGTTGTACTTCACCTGAGGTTCACCTGTGGTGGATATAATGAAATCTAAAAAATTTGCGTAATAAAATTACCCTGTCGGCTTATAATTTCACTTATTCCTGACTTGATTGCATTACTGCCTGTGGCAAATTCTCTGACATTAAATTTCTTATAATATCGACTGTCTTTTAGATTATTTGTATACTTTGTTATCCGATACTCAGTTATCCAAACCGAGTGTGATAACATTAGTTTTCTGTAACTGATGTTTCGCATAATTATCTTCACCTCCCCCCCCCAATATATAAACTTTTTATATTGAGTTTTATCTACTGATAACTAAAATATGAGAAAAAAATGTGAAAAAAACACATAAATCTAGAATATTTCACATTATAAACTGCAGATAACTTCCTGTTTGTTTTATCAGTTGTTTTAGTAACTAAAGACTGTTAACTTGCTTTTAGCTGAAAGAATGATTATTTTTCCTTTTTAATTGATAGTTATGGATCACACACTCTTGAAACTGATTTTTATCTATCCTCCAAAACTGCAACAGATTGAATTAAAGAAGAGAGAGAGAGACTCTGTAATAACAAAATTGGAATCAGAGACAGAAATCTTAATTCAGAAATCAAAATGATTACTAAATGTCTTAATCCACTACCACGCACGAACTATATAATACGAACTGTTAACAGCAATTTTTCTAGTGATTTTACCAATAAACAAAAAAGGGGTGTTTTTCTGAGCGGTAGGTGAAATGCTTAGATTTTTCCTTTCTACTAATCAGTTATCAGAAACCAGTCATTCATTATCATCATTGTCCATAGCATGGGGTAAGTCACAGCTAAAATCAGTTTCCCTGGACCTGGTAATCCTACAATAGACCGCAGTGATTAGTTGATTGGTACCAGTGGTAACATGTGAATAAAGTGGAAATGTTTCACCAAAGTGCTGATTGCTTTAAATTTTCTTTTTGTGTAATATTAGAACTATATTATCCAATACTAAGAAAAGCTTTAAGAAGAATTTACATCGCTACACACGTATTTTATAATACAATTTTCCTTGGAATTTTAACTGACATCCGTCGAGATAAGTTCCGACTATATTTTCGCTTAATCAATCTTAAAGAGAGCTGATTTTCGCTTAATCGAGGTTCTGCTAAGTCAACATATAATTTCCTTTCGTGCTAAAATCATTTGAAAAAAATAGAAAATTTACTTACTTGGACCACATACAGCAATGGTAAACTATTCCAACAAACCCCAGGACAACAATGATGCAGGCAAGGGCGATCAGGGCAGCACCAAGATCGCTGACATCTCCTCCCGCAGAAGGTATCCTACTATTTCCACCGCCACCTGCAGTACGAACGATGACCACAGGAGGGGACGATTCTGCAGGGGCAGTTGGGAGAGGAGTCAAAATAGGAGGGCGAATCTGGACAGCCTGAGCCCCAAGTGTCCTAGATAGCTCTGACAATAAGCTGTCTGTTTTGCCATGTTCAAGAAGAGCCCTGAAATAAAAGAATCTGATTGTTATAACTGAGTCAGCAATATATTCTATGCGATAATAATCACATATATAAAAGAGCCAGTACTTTTACGGAAACAATCCAGGAACCATATATCCAGATAATTTATAACTATGTTCCGGCACAAAGGCACCAGCACAGTGTGTACGAGGATATTTTTTAATTCCTTTGCTGAAATTTCTGCAGTTGTCTTTAACTTAACATTTAATTTCAGGTAAACAGCGTATTTGAAACTATAAGGCTTAATTTAATTAATGCAAAATCTCTAAAGAATCTTAAAAACTGCTTTATACTCTCACGGTTTAGTGTACTCTCATAATAAGTAAATGAAAGGAGTTTTAAATAGCAGCAAAATTTAAAGTTAAGATAGAAGTTGGGAAAATTCAGCCAGCAGAAGTAAAATTCCTTTGTTATTGTAAAACATGAATACTACTGTGACTAACTAGTGAGTTTTTATTTTGATTGGATACTAAAACGTAGTCGTGCAGATAGCCGAAATAGGTGCTAGTATCTAAGTTTAAACTTTTAAATTTTCAGTTTAATTCATTGTTGTGTATAGGTATATTTGTTCAAAATGAATCTTAGTCCTTTGATTTCTGATGCATTTACTTAATGTGCTTTAATGTATTAATATTTAAGTATAGGACGCAAATTCGCCTGTTAGTCTAGAATATTTGACTAGTACTTAGATTAGACCAAATTTAGTTTAACCTTATAAAATTAATTTTTGACTCATTTGGTGATCTTAAGACTAATGCCTCAGGAGGCTGTTCCTATAATAAATGGAGCTCGAAACCAAAAACTTTATTAAAGTTTAACGCACTCACTCAGCAGCATTACGTAATTAGGGTTTTAACCCTTTCGCCGTCCTCTCCTGTCCACGAAAACTTCCCCCCAGCGGCCGTCTGTTTTTTGTAGCGTGTAATGTTGTTTTCTCTGTATATCATAACTTTCCATACATGACTTTCGTAGTGGATGAATGTCAATGAATATTAAGTAAAATTTTAAGGAAATAAAGCATAATGGAAAAATAATAATTATGGACTGTACTCATCAAACGTATATCCTTCTTGTCTTTCCAATTCACAATCTCATTTTTTCTCTTTTTCTGCTGAGTAGACCTTGAAGCCATATCTCACTGTAGAAGAACGCTTGAGGCGCGTTACGGCCGCCCTGCGGAAGTTTCGCGGAAGAACGCGCTAGACGCGTTACGGACGACCAAGAGGTTAATTCGCTTTTCTGATAACCTTTCAACTGGGAATTGAAACGTTTGGGTTTTGTGGTAGGTGTGCGATGACGGCTTTATCGTGCAAGCCAAGAATTTTCCATTACGAAGTTGGAATCGTTACGCAAGTAAAGCGATTTTGCAGAAAAGTACAGTCATTTTATTTCAGTCCCTTTTTATACGATAAAACTAAACCTTTTTTATAATGCTGCCAGCACCTTTACAAAGGATGCTGGATTCAAATTGAAACCAGACTTACATTAAGTTGATGGTAGCTTTATGCTGGAGTACTGTCGTGAAAGTTTTTGCACTAACATATGCTAGGCAATCTTTATTAAGTTGCCGGCACCATTATATGATGAAGCAGGATTAAAAGAATAAATCAAAATTTAGAAATCGCATAACCTCAGATCAAAACGAAACATAATAAAAATGTAAATTGTTAAATATAAAACAGCAAAGATAAAAATAATATTAAATAGATATAAAACAGACAAAAACGCAATTTAATTTTAGTGCACCTATACGAACTAGAGTGCAAAGAATAAATGGAAAATGATAGGAAAGATGTTATTGTCTGGGTTCGCGATTGAAATATCACTTTTAGGAGGCTTTTTCCGTTTATCTTCGCTAAGCGCCACTCAGTTTCCTACAGGCTCACTGGCCCTATGTTTCACTTAGCATTTGTTCAATGTGATTTGTTGCTGCCTACGTTTTAAAATGTTTCTACAGCGAGCCCTGGCACTGTCACTGAAAATGCGTACGTCGTAGCTTGCTACTGCTTTATCGGTGCGATATTGTTACGTGAAAATTTTGCATCATACCCAGTTTTGCATAAATTTCGCAGATCTGAGAAGCACGATAATTTTTCTTTCTTCCTTTTCTTTTGAAGACATTTCATCCTTAACTCTTTCTTGTTGAGCTTATTTTTAATGATCTTCTAGTACCTTCTCCACGTCTTCATTGTTAACTGCAAAGCCCATGGTTTTGCTTAGAAATATATTATCATAGATTAAAAAAAAGGTCTGATGTGTAAAGCGCTTAAAGCACAAAATCTAGACATAATTTCTTCCAAGCCGAATTCATAGTCCTGTAAACGACACTTGCTGCCAGGCTTTGTTAATGAGAATTAAGCAATGAAAAATATTCAAATGATATTCCTGGAAATAGTTATGCGAAGTAAGGTTAATTATTATAAGAAATGACACTACTTACATTCTAACTTTCGGATCATCTGCTCGCAGTATCTTCATTGATGCAGGGTCAACAGCGTAGAACCACAGGTCACTCCTAAGGAGAAGATACAGAATAACCAGATTTCAGATCTTGTAGGGTAACAAAGTCATTGAAAAGTATAAATTCTAAACTGACTGGAGATAAGCAATTAAAAACAAATTCAGACTTACCCTGATGTGTCAGTTTCAATTGTATTGTTTTTTATCATTTTTAGGGAGACAACTTTCTCCACGTCTGCTATTACACCTGTTCGGTCTTGTATTAGCCTGGAATTGTAAAATAATGATAACAAACGACATTTTAATAAAAGGTAAATTCACCTACATGAAGTTTTAATACAATTCATACTATTAAATTAATCACCGACTTTTATTTTGAAAACATTAAACTCCTATACACTCGTATTAACAACCCAGTAATAAACTTTCATCGTTTTGCCCTCTTATTTCAGTGCCAGAAAAATGCCACTAATTTCATTTAAAGAGATGATCTGCAGAAGAATGTTAAGCAGACGCTACTGAAAAATGAAAATAAGGAGTTTTGTGATTGCTATAAACTCACATTTTTTCTTTTGTAATGCACAATATCAACTTCAAATTTACCTCATACTACTGCACAACTATTCAGTCATAAATCAGGCATGTTTCAGCATTGCTGGGATCTAAATTCCATGGAAATCGGCTTAACATATATAATATAGTATATTAAGATTGAATTGGTAAAGCTGAAAGCCAGTAAGATTGAATTGGTAAAGCTGAAAGCCAGCCATTTTCAAGTCTTTTTTAAATAATATATATTTTTTTTTTCATTTTCGCGTAATTCAAGAGTAAATGTGCATTAAATGATCAAACTACTTTTGTATGTAAAAGTGTCGGATTGCGACATCTGTCCTGAAAATGATCTTTTAAGTTAACTATATTCATTGATGAATTACGTCAATTAAAATTTGCTTTCTAATACAAGATTTCTCTAAAAGTGTGAAAAAGTACAATCACAGCATTATCAAAGATTTTAAGAAATTATACAAATATCTTGTAGTACATCCCAGATGAATTTTTTACCATTCTGTAGGGACGGTGCTTATTTTCCATCCAAGATGACGAAATAAGCGTCACAAAGTAACATTTATATGAATCCTGTCATAAAAATTTAAGACTTTTTTGGCAAATGCATTTTATCTTCTTTATATAATTAAATAAAAAAATAAGCTTAAAATGAAATTTTTTATAATTTATTTCAAATGCATGAACTAACCACTTTTAGTCTCTTTATGAAAATCAATTTTATCACTTGTTACTAGAAATTTCTCAGTCCCAGGTACCTAGCATAGTGAGGGTCTGTTGAATAATGAAATCTTTTATTTTTATTTATCATAAAAATACATTGAATTTTAACAATATGCAAGTTATTTTTAGTAAGTAAGGATCTACAGTATAATAAAAGGATTCGTTTCAATTTATTATAAAATATATTTACTTTTAATAATATGTATTTTTAAAAAGGAAGCACGTTTTTGTTATAAATAAATCTGACAAAATTAGTAATAAAAGAATATTTGTGGCACGATAGCACTAAAGGCAGAATCAAAATTTTCCCAGATTTAGCTTCAAGTATGAAAAAATGAAAATTCAGTTTAGTTGCATCTCTTAAAGTAAACTGAGATAGATATTAGTATAATGTGATTTCTTTTGAATAGTTAAATCATACTAAATTTACACTGATATATTTTCAAGTTTAACAATAGTTTCCTCTCTCTCTGATATCTTATTTTATACGCCGAGAGGTGCCCAGCTTGAAAAAGGAGAGAAGCGAAAAAAATATTGTACATTCCGCCAAGTAACTAATGTATTTCGTGAAGACTTTTAAGCAGAAAATCTTAAATTGTTAGAAATCGTTTAAAGATGTAGTAATAGATGCTAGCAATGCGTAACTGCATCATTAATATTTATATATGTTCAGTTTTTTTATAATTTTTCTTATAATTTTTTATTTTGATGTTAGAACAATTCATGTCCACAAAATCAATCATTATTCTTCAATTAAAATGAATGTATTTCTTTTAAACTGCCGAATATTGTATGGCTAATTCGTTTATTCACTATTCATGAATTAAAGTAGACATAGATCATTTTAATTAACGAATTTGACAACGACTAATTTGCTAATGCAACATTTTTGTTCTCAACGAAGGGAAAAAAATAATCTATACAAATGCGAATATCTTGAACTTTGCTGATTAGGTAAAAATTACGTTATCTTAGCTATTAAGAGAAATTCAATAAAATAATAATACAAATTCTCTATCCTTTGACTTCGGTTCGCTTGTACTTGCTGTGTTAAAACGCCCCCATTAAATATTGTTTTATTCAACCATTTTTTCTCTTGAACGTTAACCTCGATACTAATAAACAACCACAAAACGACCATTGAGTACAGATGTTACTATATGATGCTTAATTTATTTCCATTTTTAGCAACAACGTGAAGCTTCAGATTATTCTTTACCTATTTTACAAATTCTTCGTACATGTATTCAGAATTAACGCTTATTTGTAACTCAACTTACATCAGATCTACATTACAACCGCTCTTTTATCAGAGTACTATAAGTTATCGAAGAAACTAGTAGTTTGCTTTATTAGGACACTGGAGGCTACTACACTGAAAACGAAAACAAAAATCTTATTTTCCTCTTTTGAAGAATCCAAGTTTTAACTACCCTTGGCTTTTAATATGTCCTTTTCCATAGTACTATCAAGAACAGAATTTTTTTTGTTTCTTTCATGGATAATTTTTTCTTTTTATTGTCATTTAAATTGCACTCGAAAGTTTAGTGATGAGGTGAATGTAACTTGTAGCCCCCAGATTATTTTGCTGCATGAAATACCGCCAAATATGCACAACGAGGAGTTAGGTCGAATTTGCAACCCTTGAACTTTGTAAATTTGAGGCATTACTTTTGCTCTCACAAGAGACTCACAGGAAGAAGTCCACACCATTAGCCTAGCATAAACGCTTGCCTTATCGAAAATTCCTAATATTGAGAATTTACTTGGTTTCGGGGACTTTATATGCATACAAATTGTGTTACCGGGGATTTCTGGTACTGTAAATTTTCGGAAACAGACAAGCCGACTTTCCTGCACTAAAGGACTCTAAGCGGTGAGGTCTCTAATCACTCAGTTCCGTTAAAAAATAAAGAACAGCTTCAGGAGTAATTTAAAGTAAAGCCATGAAGAGGAGGATAATCTTGTTGATATTCCCGATAGGCCACAACGTGAAGCTGTGGCCTAGTGGCCTAGTTGCGAGGACCGACGAGTGAGTCTGTCTGTGAGTGCTTCTCCATCGTATTGATATCGTTATTATCTACATTATTCTTTTTGAAATGTAATTGTTTCTCTTAGACAATCTTGTGTTGGCGAGCTATAGAACTTTTGAGGCAATATTTTGGATCCTTTATTAACTGCGTTGTGATTATGAACGTCTCTTGTTCTTCTAATTTTTGCAGTTGGCCTTACTACTGGAAATAAAAATTATTTCAAAGAACGAAATTCTTTGTTAATGTTTGATTACTTGTGTCAAGATGAAGATGAATAAGAATGTTCTGTATTAATAAGAATTCCCGGATTAAACCAGAACAGAAGAAAAATTATGGTTTCAAAATTCAGTAAAATACCGACAGTCATGTGTATAGGGAAAAGATGAAAACCCTGCTTTCTAATATAAATTTTCTAAAATTTCAAAACACATTTTGGAATTGTATTCTATAATTATATATTTGCGCACTGAGAACATGTTAATAATTTTTATGGATATATATATAAGCACAAAATAATATTAGCTTAATATATTGCTATGGATGTCATCAGTTATTCTGGATCATTTATAATCAGTCGAATTTTTGTGAATTTTCATTAAAACTGTAATGAAATCTTAACTGTAATGAATTCGTGGTGTAATTGGAGGGATTTACTTATTATCTTTCCAGGAAGGACCGCCCTATAGATGATTTTGATTTCAGAGAATTTTACTTACCTGAGTATATTTTCTTTCATTTCCAGCACGCGACTGGGCAGAACGTGTTTCAAAACCAAAACCATTCGATTCTCATCCCTAATGACATTCACCTGCAAAACAATTATTGATCATTATCACAAAAAATAATTTAAAAAAAAAAAACATTTTTGACTGCAGCTTATCCTGATACCATTTGAATCACACATATGGTATTATGATAAGGAGTATCATTTGCATTATACGATTTTTTAAATTTTGGCCTCATGAAAATTATGAATCTTCAAAAAATATCCGCTTGAAATTACTTTAAATAGCTTTAATTACTATAACATCAGAATAAATAATTTTAAGTTTATAGATAGGAATAAGAGATATCAATATGACCATTCTTCATGTGAACAAGACACATAAACCGAATCCGTAGAAGGGGGATCAATAATGCATAATTTATTTTCTCCTTCCTTTACGCATGTCTTCATGGTGTAACTGGAAGCACACTCCAGTTGCACGATGAAGACATGCGCATGTGTTTCCAGGAGGCCCAAAGTTCGAATTCCGTTGAGGGCATTGGACATTTTTCACGTTCCAGCATCGATACAACCTAATGACTCTACAGTGGTGCCCGAGCTAAAAAGGTGGGGGATGATAATTTGCCACCACTAGGATTTGGTAGCTGGATCGCCTAATCCCCAGTTAACCTTTAAAAGGAGTATTATATAAGGCATTTTCTCCCTTCTTTCAGAATCCCTTCGTGGTGTAATTGGAAGCACAATCGATGCGTATTCAGGAAGCTCGGAGTTTGAATCCCGGGGAGGGTACTGCACATTTTTCACGTTCCAGAATCGATATAACCTAATGTCTTTGCTAATGAAAAGGAATAAAACCATTGCATTAGAAAGAAGGGTGAATTCTTAACCCGCAATAATATACAGCAATCAAATACGTGATTCACACTTTTTACAAGCGAATCGGTAAAAGATCGGTAAAAGTGATCGGTAAAAGAACGAAATTCAGTGCTTTGTAAAATTGTTTTATTTAAATTTTATTTTCATTCTTGTTTTATCAAATGATTAGAATCATTTCAGAGGAGCTTCCTATTCAAACAATACTTAAGCAAAGTACTTCGACTGTCAGCATAAGGTTAATTGGCTAATTTTGTTAATAAAAATAGTTCGGAAGTTAGAAACTGTAAGCAGAAGGAATTAGGAAGAGCTTCGCTTTTGGTTCACGACATGATCTTTGCAAGAAAACATAATGATTTTTTGTACTTCATTATGTTGGAACAAAGCAGTAAAGCATGAATAAATAAAAAAATAAATAAATAAATGAAAAAAAAATCTGAAAGGTTTCAGATTTTAAATTACGTCCAAAGGGACTTTTTTAACGTTTTGTGTATTACCTTTATTTATTAAATATCATGTTCTTTGCACTTAAACCCTAAAATTCAGTTCAAGAGCAATGCCGCAAAATAATTTTAAAATGAGCCTTTCTTTAGAATTTCCGATACACAGTTCTGCACTTGCTAGAGATAAAAAGGTTTTTTCCCCCGTCGTAGAGTGTTGCCATTGCTCGCTTTTAAATCGTTGAGTTTGTTACTCAAAAATTTGTTAAAATTTTACAAAATATGAAATCGATACTAAAACAAATTCCAAATTTCAAATTTGGTCTTCCACATGCCCGTATTCGTAGGCGGATTTCATCATTCTATGGTTCTATGTACCGTTAATTAATCACAATGCGAGAAATAGACATACATTTATGCAGATTTTTCATTATTTAATTTCTTCAAATATAATGCAGGTCTCCAACATTTGGTGGCAACAGTTTGAAAAGTGAAACGGACATTTATAGTGATTCAACGCAAAATCGCAAAACGAAAACAATAGTCCTTCAGGACAAAGCCCGTTTGGACTAATAAGAAAAAGAAGCATAAACAATATTAAGAAGGTATATAGAAACATAAGGGAAAAACAAAAAAGAAAAACTTATTTTAACAGTATAATCAACCATGAGAGTGATTAATTAAGGTTGACCGTCATGTCGATACAGTGTTGGTCGTCATGTCATGACCGACCATGAATTGGAATCTCACTTTAACTCTGGATTTCTGCGTTATACAGAACATTCTACAGCGAGATTTCATAAAACTGAGCCTTTGCGAAGAGGCTAGTATTACGTTGATCTTTGGTGTAGGCAATTTTTTACTTTGACTACTATGCCATAGAAGAACATGAAGGTATGTCTTTAATTTCTTCGTGCTGCCTCTTCTTCTCCCTGCAGATGCAATATCGGTGGACATTCTCGGGTATGAGATGATAAAATAGCCGATTGGTACTTCTATCCTCTGTTAAATGTAACTGGCCACTGGTGAAAGTTTTTAATACATAACTATTGTTTTATGTACTTACCAGCACTTGAGTGCTCTGAGTCATCACAGCAGACCTAAGAACAGGATTATCCCTGGCGACTACTTTCAGCCTGATGGGTAATTCTTCATCGGAAACATCTTCCAGGGATTTCACATTGCTCACGAAGCCGGACTGCGGTTCTATGCGAAACCTCCGGAAGGGATCCGATTCTGGAGCTATTTCGTACGTTATGAGGCCATTGGAACCTGAATCAGCGTCAACAGCCTATCCCAAAAAATGAAAAGACAGCAAGTTAAATATGACATGACAGCATTGTAGTATTTTGCATATACAATAAATTTTCCTGCAATTTCGACAAAAGTAAGGTTTAGTCAAAGAAATTCGTCTTTCGTACAGAGAAAAAAAATGAGCGAGGACTAACTCAATTCTTCGGTGTAGTTCGCGTATCAGATTTATGTATATTTCGAAATTTATCAGTATATATAAAAAACAGGAAGTACCTTAAATAGGGATTTTGTTATAACCTACATTTAATGGTTCTCCATTTTTGAAAAATATAAAATCGTATTATATTTTATTATTTCTCTGACCAAAATTTTATTTTTTCTTTTTTATAACTGAAACTTCCTTAAATCCTAGTTTCTCATAACTAAGGATAACTGTATATGCACATTTACAAAGCATATGTGGTTAAGTATTTACAATATCATAAGCGGCTTGTTGTCCTTTATGCAGTCTAAAGAAATTAGAAGAGAGAAGAGGAGGAACTGCAGTCTAGGTTACCTTTATTAAAATTATTTAACTAATTAAAATAAAACAAAATATAAATTTTGCTAAAAGAATAGCAAGTAAATAAAGTGAATGGAAACAATTTTACAAATTGACAATTAATTAAAAAATTTCAAAAAAGGTAACCTAGGCAGCAGTTCCTCCTGTTCCCTTTTCTAATTTGTTTAAACTATATTTTTGATCAAAAACTGCCACTGCAATTTCATAAAAAGTTCAATTAAATAAAGATTTTTAATAACAACTATACATACGATTAATTTTATACTTATTTTCAGTTTTTGAATAGTTTAAGTTTACTTTTTGTTTTTTAGCAAAATATCAATGATTAATACCAAAATCGAAAATATACTGGTAAAAATATTCCTCATTCGTTCTTACGCTTACAAATCATTATGCGAATACATATTTACAACTTTTAAAACCTGAAAACATATGTTGTTTGCGATGTTATCATTATGCGATAACTAATTGGTGCTTGATTTTTTACGTCGATGTTTTAAAACTGCAACGCTTTTTCTTTTTTTTTTTCTTTTTTTTTTTCTTTTTCTTTTTTTTTTTTTTTTTTCCATTCTATGATGAAAGACGATATTTGCGACTTGCATTGTTTTCTTCCTGATGTTTCACCTGTAACCTTACAGGAATTTTTCAAACCTTCACCATACACCTGGAAAACTACTGAGATTACTACAACTAAAGATTATTGAGGAAAATTTAATATTTATAAAATTTATTTTCTTAATAATCTGTAGCAAGAGACTCCAAAAATGCGTCGTATTGTGCGAAGCTTCACCAAGAATCTATCCCCAAGAATCATCAAGAATTTGCCTATATATTATTCGCTTTCAATGATTCATATAATTGCCATTCATAAAAATAATTTATTTCATTTGAAGGGGATTTTCAATAAAACGCACCTGAACCTGCAAGAAGGCTGTTTCTATAGGAGCATCGTGTGCTAGAGCAGCCAGATATTTATCTCCCAAAGCTCGAGAGTAGCGAGAAGGCGTCATGAACTCCGGTCGGTTGTCGTTTTCATCCAGGACTTGCAAAGCGACGTCCGTGCGCAAACGAGAAGAGCCTGAGGGACAAATATAAACAACAAAGGTCAAAAGAAGTATTTAACATGCAGAAAACTTAAGAAATGTTACGTTAGACACCTATTTATAGTAAAAGGTTTTGACATCCGCGTATAAAATGTTAACCACACAAAAATGCATATAAGGTGAAGCAGCTTTGATACAGCGTATTAATAAAATTCTTCCATAAGCGAACAATAAAGTAACTATAAAAAGCTATTTATCAGTTAGAATTTGAATAGAACCCTATAACAAATGATAGCTGCAATCTGCAACATTATTCCATGCAACATCGGAAGTCATCCATTTCTCGTGGTAACATATCATTCGGGACACTGGCAGTTACACTTCATTTCCAGTATTGTGATCCAGTGTTATCGGAATATTTTCTATTAAAGGTTTCAGATTCATTAGGTTATACTGAAATGTGTAAATGTGCAACGCCTTCGGGAGGATTCGAACTCCAGACTTCTCGAACACGCGTCGAGCGTGCTTTAGTTACATTACGAAGACATGCAGAAAAGAGGGAGAAAATACCTTATAAGTTAATCCCGTAAGAAAGAAATCAGCGCATGTTTAGATGTGCTGATAATTTTCAGCATATCTAATCTCATTTCATTCTTCTTCCTCGACTATGATGTTTTTCTTACGAGATTACCTCAGCAATAGGGCCAGGACGATTAAGAAATGGAATCACAACGAGAAATTAATCACCGCGAAAATGTTTTGTTGCAGAAAAATTGCGTGGATTCTATAGCGCTGGACTCGGGCGGTTTTTCTTGTTGAAACGATAATCGGCTTAGAATCATGTTCAGCATCCATACCGAGGACGATAAAAATCTTACAGCCACGACCTTTATGCTTGCAACATTGTTAGGTAATTTTCATCGATGATAGTTACAGTTACATTCTCCCTGTCGATTCCAAAGGGCCAAGATTTGAAGGAGATGGTGCAAACATTAAAGTCCATAAATAGGACTTCATTTAATAATTATTTGATAGAGAGAATGGTGATTAAAAGCCAACTGCTGGATTCCGGTATGATATTATTAATACTCTATGAATTCTGTTCACCCATTGTTTTAACCACTAGTTTATTTCTTTAAGGAGCCGTCATGGTTGATGGAGGCTGGCTGCTAATTTAAAACCAGGGGTGTGGGTTTGATTCCAGTGCAAGGCTTGGTTGTACGTTTGCTATCGTCGCCCCCATGTTCTCCGTATTATATGGGTCATCTTCTGTGGATCCATCATCTTGAATAATGCTCTGGGCCATGAGACTGCTCAGTATTGAAGGATTCGGCTATTTTTGCCGAATGCTGACCAGCAAATATCCAGATATTTTGAAACGGGGGAATTTGTTATTTCGTTCTTTGTTTAGTTCTAATTTTAGGTGACTGTTATTGCCAATGTTAGCTGTTTTTGAGATATCAAAGAGAAGTGTGAGTTTTATACCATTTGGTTTGAATTTTTTTATTGTTTGTGCTGGATTTTTATTACGTTATAAACAATTTCATAGTTATGTTGTACTAAATAAACTGCACTTGTCGCTCACCACGAAATTTCACATTTCAGTTTGTTTCCTATTTTTTCCCTTTATTTGAAATATTAATTTGTTCAAACAACACTTTAGACAAATTATTCTGTTTTTATATTAGAAAAATTTATCCAAAATGTCTGTTCGTTGAATCGAGGGTTTTTTTTTTTTTTTTTTTTTTTTTTTTTTTTTTTTTTGTTACAGTATTAAAATAAGTTAAATTACAAAAATATCACTAAGTGCTGTAAACTGTAAGAAAAATAAAAAAGTTCGATATTAAAATTCTAGTGATTCTAGTTTAATTTGTGAAGTTTTTTGAAAAATTCTGAAAATGGAGCATGCGTATTATTTAAAAAAAAAAAAAAAAAAATGCATCAGCTCAGTTAGTTAATCTCGTTAATCTCACTTGATTGCATTGTTCTTACTATGGCAAACTATGTAAGGGCTATCTGCCAAAGAGGAGGGATGCCTTCGTACAGGATAACTAACTCGTACGCATTTCAACCTAAGGAAAACCATGAAACTTCCCATGCAATCAACCATTCACCGAGATTTGAATTGGGATCAAACTACCAGTATTTAGCGGAATTTACCACTCAACTACTGAGCAGATGTATGAGAGACGTAAAAAATAAATATTAATTATATTAATTTTCAAATACAAAAATTTCAAAGTAGCGGAATATGCCTGTTTTTAAACAGAAATTTCATTAATTGAAAGTTACAATGTTTTCTATCACAACATTCATATTTGGTGGCTCACAGTGGTTAGTGACTATCGTATAACACATCAAAGCATATAGCTCACATATTCATTTAATTTTTAACATTTTGTTATCTTCCTTAAAAACATGTTCTGGCTGCTGGATTAGGACTTGGACCTTATTCAGCACTGATGTCAATGATATACCGCTGTTAAAAAACCTCGCATTCTATAGCAGCATTTCTGAAATCATAGCATATAGCTCACATAGCAATGCGTTTTTGAGTTAATTTTTGGGTTTAACTTTCATGCATATAATATTACCTTAATTTACTCATTGCAGCTCACTACGAAATTAGTCCACCATTTTATCATATACTTTTCCAGCATAACTAAGAATGCTATTGAAAAAACGTGTCTTTGGTAACTGCAAATAGCATTAATGATTTTCCTTACCAAATAGGCCTCCTACAGTCACCAGTCTCACCGTAAGCACGTATCTATTCTGTCTTTCGTAATCCAAATTGCCAGTTTGCAGACGAAGTTCGCAGTCTCGCTGGTTCGTCTCCAAAACATAGAACAAACCTGAAATTGAAAACACCAACAATAACAATTTTTGTAAGAAAGTTACGCAACTTTTTGAGTAAATAAAAGAAATGAGAGTCTATCTGATTTTTACATAGCTTTTATATGTTTGCTTTATATGCACAACATATTTGCCGATTCAAATGGTCATATTTCTGGGACATACAAGAATTATTTTGATGTCAAATTTTATTTAGCACAAATATTTTAAATATAAATTAAACTTGAAATATATTTACTAACAAAATAATAAGACCTTTGTAAGTCTGTTTTTATGGCTAATCTCACTTGTCTTATTTAATTAGAACAAGCCCACGAATTTTATCCTGGTCAGGATAACCAGATTATGTCGGTCGTTGGCAAAACACTATATATGTGACAGCACGACTTTGCTCAGTTCCGCTCCAGTTTTGAGAAACAGCACCACGGGGAATGGGCCCGAGGGTTTCTCACCCCTCTTCCCTTACCAATAAGCCACACGAGAGGACTTGCCATGTACTTAGAATGCTCCTTTGCCGCAAAGACATTTTCATTTACAACATTCATGATTTCAAACCCGGGCCCTTGGTATACAAAGTCAGGGAAATAATCAGGGTAATTAATCACTATCCAGTTGGGCGGCCCTTTGTTAGTGTTTAATCGTTTTTTAGTTTTCCATATTCCCATTGTATTCCATATTCCATAGTAAATTGTCAACGATAAGCTTGTACCATATTATTGTCAACTGATTTAAGGTCTATTCTGTATCGATGTTGCTGCAATGTTTGTTTTAAGGACTGTGTTCAGTAAATTTTAAAACCATTTTTTGATTAAACACCTCTTATATTTTCCTTATATTTTTTCTTCTTATATTATTCTTGAATTGTTAAGCAAAGATTCATGAGTATCGGATTTATTAGATTATAGTAAAGCACACTAGAAGTATCTGCTCAAAGGAAGGGATTCCTTTGTAGAGGACCTTATAAAGGACTATCGCATTCGTGCTACAATAAATAGATCCATAAAGAGCATAGATACGTGGTTGCATTTTGAGAACTATTTTCAAATACAGTAAGTAGTCTTGCAGATATAGAGTCTCTTGAGGTATCTAAAATGAAGGTATGGGAAATATACATTTTTGCTTAGTTCCACCCCGAAGAAAATAGTAAGTTATTCCCTATCCTATTAAAAAAATCTTTAGAGAAGATAATCTGCAATATGCAAGATCGAGGTAATAATTTTCAAAATATGAATTAAATCATTTTTACTGAGGAGGAATGGTGTCGATTTTAAAAGCTGTATAAAATTCAATCATGTTGGTTTTAGGAATACTTCGTTATTGCATTCTCAAATATTAAATTTCAAATTTTAGAATTTATACTAATGGTTAATTTGCTGTGTAAATTCATATTTTTCTAATGTAAAAGATACCTAGAAATTTAGCACTCATAGCTGTCTATAGCACAATAGCTGATATGTCTGAGTTATGGGCTTACTATATAAATATGTCAAAGTATGTATTATTATTAACAGCTGATATGGTTATTTAAAATTTTATTTACAGCTGATCCTTGAAAAATGAGAGGATTAGGGACGTTGTTATTTCAAGCAATTAAAATCCGCGTTTAATTTTTGAATGCCAAAAATTCAACGGTTAATAAAGTGCTGTTAATCGGAAGTACATATATGGAAAAGTACTCCATTCATTAGTACTATGACTTTAAATCGTTTGCCTGCAAGATGCTTGTCAGCACATGCTATATTAACATTCTAGCTAACTGTCGCCATATACATTAATATTGCCTTATAGGTTAAAAAAGCTACATATTAAAAATTAATGTTAAATATTATATGTATTACTATTATTACACTTTAAATGTTTTTGGAACAAATCAAATGTTTGAAAATTCTGCTATACTTAGGCAAGTAATTCTAGTTTTCCCTTAAATATTATGACTAGTCTGCTTCTTAGAAACAATAACAATAAATTACGTGCTTATCTTGCTATAGTCTGCTATTTTTTTTTTTTTTTTTTTTTTTTTTTTGCAATGGCAGATTCTGAACAGTTATAGTTTTGTAACAGAGTCCATTAATCTATACTGAGTCCAGATGTAGTGGTCTCTTTATTATGGGGGCACCTAATAGTGGGCCACCATTGCCTCCTATGAAGGGATGGACGGTTGTAGCCATGCCTTCTCCGGGATTCGAACCCAGGCCCTTCGGTATCGCAGTCAGGCTTCCCTAGCCACTATACCGTCTGGGCGGCATAGTCTGCTACTTTAAAATAAGAGCTTCAAGGTTACCTTCAGCCGCCCAATTTCACTGGTAACCATGAAAACAACAGCTGCAGAAAAAATGCGAGTCACTTAATTTTTTCACCCACTTTATTTCCATTTAACGTGTGTCGCTTCCTGAAAAGTGTACGAGTAAAGAATGAATTGAATTACAGCCTCAAACGAAGTGGAGAAAATAAATTCTGTGCGGGGATGACAACGCGAGTTACGATCACAGATGGGGATCTGGCAACGGCCTAAAAGTGCCTGTTTATAGAGTAAAAGATTACATTCAAAGCAACTATAGGGTGGATATCCGTTTTACTCATTTTTATAATAGGCGGAAAAAGACGAGCAACAGAAAATGAATCTACTTCAGGGATTCTTTAAACACTGACCTGAAGACTGGCTAGACTCACCCAGTCCTTCAAAAGCAGACGTTTTCAGCTAGCTGAGGATAGAACGAGAAATTTGCATTCGAATTCTGATCACCGCTGTGACTGCGCGCCCTAAAGGATCTTAATTAAGAACCCTCCTCGCGAATACTTACCGCTCTAGGGCCAAGTTCCTCTCAACACAGATGTTGATGAGTATAGTAAAAAACTCCGAAGTGGATCTTGGGAGCAATGGCTAGCATAACTTGATATACTTCATATGCAAATTATTATATTTTACCTTAAACTAGAAATAATGTGCTAAGTATCATAAAAAGTAACTGCAAAGCTTAAAATATAACATTATCTGGATGCATTTTATACATTGCCTTTTTTTTTTTTTTTTTTTTTTTTTTTTTGGTACTTTTAGTTTTCTTGATATTTGCAGGTAACATAATTTATCTGCTATTTTTTAAAACTTTCTCTAAATATCCATAAGGTTTTCAACAATTCTTTTCTATGGGAACAACAAAAAAATTTCCTTACATTTTTTTTTCCATAAAAAGTATCTACTATCAACTATTTCAGAAGTATTTAAATACTTCTATTATTACTGCTAGTCTTTTAAAATGCCATATAATATATATGGAAGTAATAAAGATAATAAAATAAAAAGATAAAATAAAATTCGCTCTTAAAATTTAGGGTAATGAAGAAAAAGTTTAGAAATTTAAATAAAATAAGAAAAGTTAAATGAAATATTTGCGCCGTAATGTTGCAGTTATTGGTTAAGTAAAAGATTAAAAGTTAAACGGAAGAAAAATTGAAACCTAGTGATAAAAATAAACAGTTTGATTACAAAGTAAAAACATAACACCGGGTAGAAATGAAATAAAAACAATTAAATAGGCAAAGTTTAATCAAATGTTTGATAACTTGCTGAGCTGCTGTAAGAAAAAATATAGAGATAATGGAAAACAAAATAATTACCAAATTAATTTAAATATTTGTTCTGTCCATATAATTAAATTGAGAAAAAATTGCACTTTTTAACATTTTATTTTGCTATTTTTAATTTTATTTAAATACTTATGAAGAAATGCAAATACAAGTTGGTCATACTGCTGTATATATATCTAAAATTCCACATATAAATTCGCCCGAATCGACGAAATATACATTACCTTCGTCATTTCCTCTATCGATACGACATCCAATGGGAAAATTTCCCCTTGGCTTGTTGATGACGGGAAGACTTTTAATCAAAGTATTAGCCAAAGAATTCTCGGGTATCTCCACGCTAAAAGAAAAAAAAAATGTCATTATTAAAATTTAGCAAAACTGAATTCTCCTGAATAAGTTTTAATCTTGAAATACTTCTATTATGTACTTTTATTTAGTTTACATTTTAAGCTAAAAACAGTTTGTATTTAAACCAGACAACCAGACATCATTTTTTGAACAGAAATTTTCATTGCATGTTTAATATTTATTTATGATAACCTTTTAAGTAATCCTTCTCCTTCTATCCTTTGTTTAGTTTAAAATGCATCTAGAAAACTGCAAAAATAAATATTTTAAATGCTACTCAGATATCTGCATATTGTTTCAAATTATACTGTGAAAAATATTTAATAGCTTTAATTACGTATTTCACTCAATAAAATTCTTTTTTAGCTTCTTAATGAATGAAGATAGTATTTTAAAAACTTTATTTCAATATTTGTTCTTTATTAAATACAGATTTTAAATTTCATGTTAATAATAATAATAATAATAAGCTTTCATTATAATGTCACGTAAAGGATTTTTTCTCCTTATTTGAGAAACGTCAAGAATTTGGAATAGGATTGAAGAAAATTTAAAATTCGATCAATTTCTATATGAAATAACAAACTGAACTTTGAAGTGATTTTAATCAGTCAGTTTAATAAGTCTTGAAAATACAATTTTCATTAAATAAAACTGACAACAATTTCGAAATGCAAAACCAAATGACCAATATAAAACTTAAATGACGAAGATGATTGTGAAGATGATGACGATGAAGATATTCTGAATAATGAAACTTCATTTTCTTATTAGCTTTAGTCTGTATTTAAAGTTAGGCGGAGAACAAATACTAGAATCAATCTCGTAGATTTTGAATAAATTCTATCGATTTCGAGGACAATCAAATATAAATTCGATTTGTTTAGCATCAAAACATTTTTGCATCTGAATAAGACCGACTATACCAGATCGCCCTTGCAATTGATAGAGTTTTTATTCAAAGTCAGTGCCAATCTAATATTACATTTTTGTTTTAAATTTAAGTTTTACATTGGGGTATTTCTCTTGCAGTAAGATAGTATATTTTAAGCTGAAAATAATCTAATAGCATGATGCAGAATACAGGAAGCTTACTTATAGAGGGAATCAGCGAATCCCAGTCCAGAATCAGGTGCAACTGTCGCGATATGCTCTACATAAACAGTCAGTGTGGCAGTTGATGAGAGAGAGGGTACTCCCATGTCTCTGGCGGTGACTTCAATCTGGGAATAAAAAATGCCCATCAAGAACAGTTTCCTGTTTATTTTGAAAGAAATCATATTAACTAACCAATTTTAAATTTATTACTTCTCTTTTGGTATAATATTTTGTAGTTTCATCTCAACTCAGCCCTTTCTTCAGATGGTGCAGATTAGAAGAAAAGTATTACAGAAACTCTTATGTATACTAAAAAAAGAATATTGTAGTGAAGAAGATGAAAAGCAGTTCGGAAAACTGCTTTTCGCAGTTTTTTTGAAAAGCAGTTTTCCGAACTGCATTTTCGAGCCACGCTGTGTTAAATGTTCATTGGTCCAAACCGTTGAATGCCTAGACAAAGGATGACCAGAATAATGTTAAGTACAGTAACCGCCAGGGTCCTCACACTGCCTTACATAGGGGTTATCCAAAATTCCCCAAGAATAATGCCAAAATACAACCCCGCAAAACAGCCCCTAAATCGAGTACTGATGCACCCACTAATTTTGAAAATGTAATAGTAATAATATGCATTGAAAAAAAAACTTGCTAAAATACTGTTAATGTGAGCAAAAGATTTCAAGTTTCTGAATTTGACCTTTTTTTAAATAGACGACCGAATTCAATGAATTTTACGAGGAAAAAAATAACCATACCGAATAATATATTTACAATGTATATACGTAACATTAAATTTGAGATTGTGCCAATTGATAAAAGACCTACTTTTGTTTTAAATGACCAAATAAATTAATAATTATGGGTCACAGCAGTCAATGCAATTCAATTACCATAGTTACATGGAACACAAATGGTTTTATCCATAAAGCATATGAATATGAGGGATTTTTGTATGAGTACACTCCTAATATACTTCTCCTACAAGAGTACAAGCAAGCTTAGTCTGCAAAATTACTTCGGAGCCTGTAACTACGTTGCCTACAGAAAGGACAGATCGACAGATGGGCGTTATACACTCGTATAGACTCGGTAAAGGGCTACTGATTTCAGTGAAATGCTCCATTTCTCATTGTCCCACAATATTACCACAACCTGTAGCAATTAAAGTTCAGGCTACTACCATTACGCTAAACACCTCAACACTCTTTCACTTTTATCTCTATCTACGTCAAGTACGAAAATCTGTTGAAGATATGTTTTCAAATTTATTTGCTCTTTTCAACACTAGCAATCGACTGATACTAATGGAGATTTTAATGCATACCATCGCGATTAGAACTGCATCTAAAAGTTATGGATGAACAGTACGTAAATTTGCCCAAACGACTAACCTTACGATTGCAGCTGAAGATAAACCAACACACCGTAGTCATGGCCGTTCCACCAGTACTGACTTTTATTTACACAAAGGCACCAATGTTCCGACATGTATCGAGAGTACGAATAAACTTTTTATCTGACCATAATCCTGTTATTTTCGACATTAGTGCCAGTGACTACAATGCACATTTACCGAAGCTCTGAACAACATCCCGTACATAATCCCCTGCCATACAAACGAGTATTGAGTTAGATGTTTTGCCTAATGAGTTCACAAACGAACCGCCCAGAGCTCTTATCAAAAATAGCAAAGAAAGCACAGAAGCTAAACGGTACATTATTCGGGAGTTTATAAAGAGAAGTAATCGTGCAGGAAAAGTGTGGCAAGAACACGGTGCATTCAAGATAAAAAAATTATGAACAGGCTCAAGCAGAAGGTCAGGATTCTTAGCAAAGAACAAGCACAACATTATTGATCCACATACTTAGAATCCCTTTCCATTATGATGATTCCATCTGGAATGCTGTTTCTAAATATGAAAGACACCAGACAAATATTCCGCCCTCTAATGCCCACAACGGGATAGCACACACCAAAATTGAGAAAGCTGAGTCTTTAGCAGATAGCTATGCATTTCAGGTTCGCACTAACAACATTTCCCATCCACAAACAGAACACATAGTTTCATCATTCAGTACACAATTCGTTTCAAGAATACACACGAATAACATACCCTTAATTATGTCTTTGCAGGCAATTAGGTATATCGAAAAGAGGAAAAAATAGGAAACACCCAGGATTCGACAGGATTAGTAACAAGATTAGCAAAGAGATAAGCAACAATATGTTATGCAAATTTATGAAAATCATCAACATTATGATTAACTTCTCGATTAAGTGGAAGACAACGATTATCATTTCTTCAGTTCTGAAGCCTGTGAAAGACTAAACCGACCCTGCTGCATATCGGCCAATTAGTATGCTATCGGCCTTAGCAAAACATTTGAAGCTGTCAACCTTTATTGTGTCAACAACGTTATAAAGCAAAATAATGTTTTAATTCCTCAACGACTGTATTGTAAAACTCCAAGACGGAGTTTTGTTAAACCTTATTGGAATAATAAAGGGTTTTTAACCGTTTTCAAGTTTTATTTACTGTCTCATGAACTCAAGCGATTATTCCCTTACCAGTTCTTAAGATTCTTCACATTCAACTGTAACTTATAAGTACACAGTCTTCATAATTAACACTAAAATATCTGAATTTTGCAAATTGTGAAAACGACTACAGTTAAATAATACTGTTTTTGTTTTCTAATATACTATACTCAAAAAATGACAGTAAATACTTCCTTAAAATACTTGTAAGAAATTAATAGATTTTACAGTTAGTTGATTTCTAAGGAATATGAATGACAATGAAACCAAAACTTACTCTGTATTCAGAATCCGGTTCTTTTCTCAAATCATCTTTGACCGAGATGAGACCAGACTCCGGATCAACAAGAAAATACGTCGGTGCTTTCTCTTTACCGCTCACTTCGTACCGGATATCATTTCCAGGTGCCTGCAAGCATTATCAGAGTTAACACTTTCAATTTGGCAATAACAAACTGTTAAAATAATATGTAGGTACGGAATGAAGGCTGAAATTTCATAGAATCTCAACAAAGAATGCTAGATAAAATACAATGAAATAATATTGTATGAAATGGATTGAAAACTCTTCTGCTTAATTCAGTTATTTTTGGTGCCAAGCATTCTTACTAATACTTCCAAAAGGAAAAATAGGTATGAAGTAATAATACAGATAACTAATAATAATAAACATTATCTGTATAAACTTCATAAATAGAAAAAATTAGATTATGTAAGTTAATACTTCTATTCATAGAAGACTGGCACTTTAAAAAAACTTTAGACGATATCAAGATTCCTATTTAACCGAATGATTTGACATATTATATTTTACATGCATGGGTGTTCTTTTAATGCAAAGTATGATAAAGAAGAATATTATGCAACATTACAAACTTAGAAAAAATCGTTGAATATGGATAGCAGTTTGAAGGCACTCTTAGGCAACGCATGGCAGTTTCATATTGCTTTGGAAAACGACCATTTTCCGAACTCGAAAAATCCAGAAATGCTTCATTGTCACGAGATTCTTTCAAATCTTTTCAATGCACAAAATTTCACGCATTTTAAGAAGCAAAATGACAGCATTATTTTTTTCAATAAAGAAAACAGTTCGATTTGCTTATCATGGCGACTAAAAAATAAGTGAAAAACTTAAATTGGTTGATTTAGAAGTTTACGGCACAATTTAATATTCACTAAATCTCGGAGCATTCCTCAAAAACTCTTTGAAAAATAGTAACGAAAATTCCTGACAAGATAAAATTTCTGTCTTAACTATTGTTGTCCTTTTCAATGGAATTAACATTAAAGTTCATACTGACCGTTCCATCTCCATCCGAAGCCACAACCGTCGTCACAACAGTACCTAAAGGTACTGTATCTTGCAGTCGAATAGGTAGAGGAATGCTGGTGAAGACAGGAGCCACATCGTTTTGATCCTGCAACAGAAATCACTGACTGTTTATATGTATGCGAGTTTAACATAACTATCAAGCAAATAAAATAATCAAGAATATAATAATGCGTTCTAAAAATACTTTAGTTCAAATTGCGCGTTTTACTTGCAAGCGGAATTCTTTCTCCCTCCTCTATTGGTAAAACATTTGGAAATATAGAGCATTTTCAAAACTAATTAACAGATAAAATATGTAGTGCACAAATATCAGAATTAAGTGCAACTATAAATTCATAAAATGCAAGAGAATACTCTTCTAATTCATCATATGTTGCTATAAAACAAACAAAAGTTTATTATAAAAAATTATAATTTCCTCAACGTATTTGTACACACTCTTGACGACTTCATATGAGCTTATGGGGAGTACGTGAAACGTAAACAAACGTAAAGATGAACCATATAATTAACTGTAATACATATACTACTACTGAAATAATTCTTCAGCTTCTTCATACTATTAAAATAATTCTTTAGTTCTGCTGGGCATCGTTTCAGAACTAAAGGAAAACCACGATATTTCAAGAAAAAGGTTCAGTTCCTTGATAAGTACTGTACATGTTTTCGAGGAATAAAGTTCCGCTTCTTCAGCGGAACTTCTTCATCGTTTCAGAACTAAAGGAAAACCATGATATTTCAAGAAAAAGGTTCAGTTCCTTGATAAGTACTGTACATGTTTTCGAGGAGTAAAGTTCCGCTTCTTCAGCGGAACTTCTTCATCGTTTCAGAACTAAAGGAAAACCATGATATTTCAAGAAAAAGGTTCAGTTCCTTGATAAGTACTGTACGTTTTCGAGGAGTAAAGTTATCGTTTCAGAACTAAAGGAAAACCATGATATTTCAAGAAAAAGGTTCAGTTCCTTGATAAGTACTGTACGTTTTCGAGGAGTAAAGTTATCGTTTCAGAACTAAAGGAAAACCATGATATTTCAAGGAAAAGGTTCAGTTCCTTGATAAGTGCCCACCAAGGGCCGAGCGGTAAAGTCGCTGAACACTGGTAGTTCGGCCTGAGGTTCGAATCCCGCGAACGGGCTGGCTGCATGGGTGTTTTCGTGGTTTTCCCCATGTGTAACGTGTATACGAGCCAGTTTCCCTTAGAAAGTCCTCCACGAAAGGCATCCCTCCTCTTAGGCAGATAGCCCTAGTGTGCTTTGCCATAATTAAATACACCACCATCACACCACCTTGATAAGTACTGTACAGCGGAATAAAGTCCCGCTTCTTCAACGGTGCGGTATTCAGGGCATTTACATTTCTAGGAGAAGGAGGCCTTCAGGCAACTTCTTTTCCAAGGTAGTCCCATAAGTTGGATTAAGATCAGCAGATTTTGCTAGTCTAGGCATTCGTTCGATGTTCAAGGAATTCAACAACAATGTTTGTTCCTTTGGACAAGCACTGTCGTCCATAAATAAAATGTCGGATACATATACACATCTGAAAGTCTTATATAAGGTTCTAGGACCCCGTTATCTCTAGCCGGTCATAGATCCGCTGTTAAAAATGTGTAGGGGACGTACGTCCATCCATCCTTATATCATTACATTTACAGCACCGAAACGCTTCCGTTTTATAATGTTAGAAGAAATAATTCGTTTTTCTGATTCCATCCCATGTTTAGAATCAGATGTTAAAATAAACCTTGAATCATCAGTAAAAAGAAAATCTAACCATTGGTGTTCATTCCAGTTCTGATATTTTTTGCACCAATTAAAGCGATCCCTCTTTTGTTAGGATAGTGAAGCACATATCTTCGGGTTTCTTGCACAAAAGCCTTTATCTTTAAGCCTTTGATATATACTTTTCCGTGATACAACAATTCCAAAGGCGGCTGCAAGCTCTGAACTTATCTACCGAATAATAGATCTACTGTTACAACAGGAGTCCGTGGTGTCCTTTTACACCACGAAGGCATACGGAAAAGAGGGAAAAGATACGTTATATACTCCCCATTTTAAAGGGCGACTGGGGATGCGGGGACCCAACTGCCAAATCTTGGTGGTGACGAATTATTATCCACCAGCTTTTCAGTTCTGGCGCCAATGTCGAATCATTAAGTTAATTGATGCAAGAACATGTACAATGTGCAATGCCTAGCCTGGATTCGAACTCCTGACCTCCTGAATACTTGTCAAGCATGCTTCCGATTACACCACGAGAGCATGCGCGAAGGAGGGGGGAAAATATCTTATAAAATTTAAAAATTACAAATAAATATCAACAGTTAGCAAAGTTATAAATTACAAATAAATATCAATAGTTAGCAAAGTTATAAATTAGAAATAAATTTTATCTTATAAAATTATAAATAAATGCGCAAATTTATAACTTTGTTATTCAACTAATCTTTTAAGTATGCCCACTTATTGGCACTTTATGCATAGCTATTTCTTTGATAATGGCGAACTGCTACTCTAATTAAAATCAGCTTGCACACATTGACAGTTTAAAATTGAATCACGCTTTATTTAATCACTTCTGGTGTGTTACAGGTAGAGTGTACAACACAAAAAAGCCTTATAAACAATAAGGATAGTTTAACTGGCCTAATATTGAGTATGAAAAGTAACAATAACAAATTTCTCTCATGCATTACAGGCAGTCCTTCTCTGCTAAGTACTTAAAATAAACCAAATTGCAAACGGTAAACGCTGTAGCTTTCAGCAGGTACAGGCTGAAGGTAAATTTTCTGGAAAGTACAGCGAATGTTCACTAAAGTAGGTATTAGTTGCAATCGCGAGCTTTTTAAACTCTTTTACACATGCTCTTAATTTGTATAAACTTTGGGTATGAGCGAATATATATGGATGAGCGAAAGAAAAAGTATAACAATGCTTAAACTTAACTGTTAATTAGCATTAAAAATAATTGTTATTAGAACCTTTGACATTCGAATAAGATTATAATCAGTTGATAACATGTCTATTTTTAATAATGCATTTCTGACAAATATAAAAAAAAAACTTCCTAAATCTGGGCTGCAGAAGTTAATTTTTAAAATGCGTTGGTGATCGACTTAACTTTGATTGGGTTACAACAGATTCAACAAGTAGAAGCGAATACAAATGACATTTTGAAGTTTTAATCGCTGAACATAGCCCCTGAAATTCAAACATCATCAAAACTGAATTCATTAATAATCCAAATACGAATTTCACAGAACATTTGTTTCCACAAATTACTTTTTTTATAAGATCTTTTTTTTTTTTTTTTAAGTTACCTGAAACAGTGAAATCAACTTCTGTGCTGAACAAGAATAATGCATCATCCTTTATCCAATACCCTTTCTACAGTCATTTTCACCTACCTCTACATTGATGATGATGGTGGCCACAGCTCTGGGATCTGGTCCTTCATTTTCTAGGGTTCCCACAACTAGACTGTAAGAAGTCGTTCTTTCGTAATCCAGTGGGGCCAGTGTTCGGATCATGCCCGTGCTGGAGTCAACGGCGAACAGTGTCTGGTCGCCCTCTTTAATCACATAAGTAACGCTGCTCACAGAATCAGGGTCTCTGGCCTGTAAAAGATATAAAACAATTTATAAATATTTTTTGAAAAAAAAATAAAAGTGCTATATTCAAAAGATTTAGACATCATATTAGTTGAACATACTTTGGACTAATGCTCCTCAATATGAAATGGCAAGGCCTCATTGAGAGAGAATGCCCTTACTCGAAACCAATTTTAATGAGCCTGCTTTTAAAAGAAAGTCAAACATAACCGTACACAAGCAAATTAACAGACGTATTAGATACAAGAGTTTTAAAATATTAGAGAATGGAGTAATTTCGAAGAGAGAACGTTAAGACTAATTATGTTTTCTTCTCCAAGTAAGGTTGGATAAAAAGTTCTATTTTGTTTCAAAAGGGAAATAAAATACTCTAGCACAGATACAAATAAAATACACTGATAAAAATTCCAGCCTTCTTTTCGAACTACCAAATAAAGAGAGGAAGAGAAATTATATTAAAATTTTGAAGATTCTGCTTTTAATTAGATCACAAAGCACCATCAATATTAAAACTTTCTCTAATAATATACTCATCTTTAAATAAGTCAATTATGATTGCTGTAAAAAACTTTCTAAGAGGCAATAACAATAAATGAACCACCATTATCGTGTCATTTAACATAAGAATTCTGAAAGAGTTCAAAAATGAGATATTTTATTCCTTATAAATATAGGAACACAATAATCCTCATTAAACATTTCCAACATAAATTTTGTGGCAAAATTACATACGTAACAGATAGTATCCTAACTTAAAGCAGACATTTATAAGTTTTTATGCTTCACATAAATGAAAATGAGGATCGCAACCGATGCAACTCTTGTATGTACAGTAAAATCTCGATTATCCGGAAATGCTGGGGAAATGAGGAATTCCAGATACATGTAATTTCCGGACAGTTCATAGTGATATTCATTCAAGGCCATTATTCAGCTTGGCGATCAATGAGCTAGAACCTGAACGATTATCAATGGCATAATGATAGGTAGTACAGATCATAGTCATCATACAAAACCACTGTTGGCAAATTTTAACTAGGTCGAGGAACTTTTAAACTGTCATGATTTAGTTTTCCTTCATAGTTATGAAAATCATTTACGCAGGGAGAAAGATCAAGAAAGGTTTGGTTTATATTTTTACAGCAAAGTCTCAAAGGTTATCTGCTTAAGGGAGGGGATGCCTTCTTGGAACGCTGGCTCGTATACACGTTACACATGGGGGAAACCACGAAAACGCCTATGGCGCCAGCCCGTTCGCGGGATTCGTGCCTCGGACCGAATTACCAATGTTCAGAGACCGCTCTGCTGCTGGTGGGGAAATATAAAGAAAGGAAATATCCCGTAAAGCGTGTTTATTTGCTATAGAAATCTTAATATAAAAAGATGCAAATAGAAGTATATTCTGTACAGATATCAAGTTTTGTTACCTACCTTGACTTGTAGGATTTCGTAGTTGGCTTTATTCTCAGGCACGCTGCCTTCGTAGGTGTTCTTCTCGAACACCGGCTTCTCGTCTTGCACGTCGTTTACCAACACTGTCACAGAGGCCGTGCCATACCTCGAGTCCGGAGCACTGTCTCGAGCTGTTACTAATAATTTGTACACGTGGTGCGACTCAAAATCCAGGGCACGAGAAGTACGAATTTCACCTGACTCCGCGTCCATGTAGAAATCACTAAAAGAGAAATTCATTGCTATTAGGATTTAGATTACGACAAAACATATAAGGACTATTTGTGTAAGAATAGAAATGGCTTCATTAAGGTCTTTTATTAAGGAAACTGGTTGGTATTCATGTTAAGAATGGGGAAAACCTCTTACAGCCAGCTTATTATTCAGGATTTGAACCTGGGTCAAATTACCAGCGCTCACCCTATTTTATTTTTCCTTAGCTTCCAAAATAATTCATACAATCCAGACGTTTATGTAAATTTCAGTTACGTGAAGAATAAAATTTAATTCGGCCTTTTCTTAAATTGTAACCTAAACTACAAAATCATAGTAAATGATTGATCTTACCGAAATCACTTATCTCTATTAACAGAATGATCTTGCTTTGTGGTTGGCCTCAGATCGCAGATTCCACGCTAGAGATATGAGGAAATTAATGATTAATTTAGAGATGGGATATCTGAATCTTCAAAAGTTTAAAAACGATTTGAGATACAAAAACTGTAAGCTTCACGCTTTTTCTCTTCTCTGATATTTTTCGAGGTAATTGTCATCCACCGAGACACTGCCAATCATCAGATGGCGCTTTGGGGGATGAAATACATTTCCAAGGCAAGAGAACAATTAAACAGGCATTTTTTTATTATCAGGTCGGTAGTGTTTTGCAACAGTATTCAAAATCACATCAATCAGATTGTCAGTCTCTGCAGCTTATCTAGTATGTGTTCAGATGAATTCCGCTTGCAGTGAAGTGATTTCCATCGTAGCAATTGCCAATTCTTATTCTAACACTTTGTTGACAGTTTTGCTAACATCATATCCCCAGCGTGCATTTTTCGGTCTCGCGAACTTTCATTGCTCGAAAAGTTTTGGGAAATCTAGAAACCACGCGTTAATACGTGACGAACAAACACTATCCCGAGAAGTTTGTGCAAAAATAGGGTGACAAAAAAAAAAAAAAAAAAAAAAAAAATATTTATGTTCGCCGTAAATGACTTGAAGAGAATGTAGAAATATAAGAAGTAAGCCCTCTCCACCCAATCTTAGCCTTAAAAAAAGAACATTATAAAAATATAAAATTTGACCTTTCTAGAAGCATATAGAATAATTTGTAAAATTGCTGCAGGTTTCGTAGAAAAGAAAAGTCTTAGGACAATATATTGGCAGGTAACAGTTAACAGCGAAGTAGCAATTTAAGTGAAGATTTACTCACTCTTTTGCAAGAAAGTTACATTTGAGCTCTTTAATATAGACATAAAATGGATATCTTAATTTCAAAAGGCAAAAACGGATTTTTCGATGCCAAATATTGCAACACAGGTATAATAATAATATATTTCTATATGCTTCAGACGAAATTTAATATCGTTCATTTCCTTAGCGCGATATTCATCTTGCATTGTGGAAAACCACTTTCCTTTTCATGAGTTATTTTTAGCTGTTTGTCTTCATTTCTAAGAATTATTATTGCTTCAAGCTGAAATAAAGTTGCATATTTTCTTAGTCTTGAGATCTGGATTTTTAAATGTACGAATCACTTTTCAAATTATTGCCACCAAATATTTTTGCTCTGTGTTACATTTAAGGAAACAAAATAATAAAGAATCTGCATGAATGTATGTATGTTTCTAGCATTGTGAAAAAACAACGGTATCTAGAGTCAACAGATTCTGAATAACATAGTCCTCCACCAGAATATGTAAAATTTGGAATTTGCTTCACTGCCTATTTAATATTTTGTAAAACTTTAACGAATTTTTGATTAAAAACTCAACAATTTCAAAGAGAGCAGCGGCAACACTGTGGAAAAAAAACACATTTTGTCTGCAGCGAGCGAGACTATCTATCAGAAATTCTAAAGATATGCTGTTTTTAAATATTTTTAGTCCAATGCCGCTTTAGCCTAAATGCTCTCGAATGTGCATGTGTCTGCAAATGAAAAAAAGCTCGTTTGGGAATAATATAAAATCTGAAAGCTTTCAGATTTTTTTATGAAATTTTTAATTTTATAAATATAATTTTTTTATAATTTTTATTATTTAATTTAGAAATTACAAATCTTGAAAGTCATTATTTTTTAAACACCACGAAATAAATATTTATCGGTTTCAGTAAGCGGATTTTTTGTTCTAGACAAAAAGTACTGACACTCCTAGAAAATATTTGTTGGAAGTTTCAAAAGCAAGTGCTTGAAAGAAATAAATACATAACTACTTCTTGAATAAAAAAGGTCTTTTCTTTTTTTTTTTTTAAATAAGCGCCCAAGTCTTCCCCTGGTAATGAATTCATGACGAAAAAGTTGAGGAGCAAGCTCAATCTTCTTATCATTGGGCATTGCTATTTTAACACCTCATTTTAGATACAGATTTTGTGTTTTATATTTTATTGAAATTCTGAGGGATATATTCTTGAACTAGTAAGCAATTAATAATTGTTAAAGTTAAAATTGTTTCAAGCGTCAAATTATTGTAACCAACATACAAAAGCTACATTGATACTTAAAAAAGAAAATATTGATTTTGCTTATTTTAAGATTTTGAAATTTAAAAAATAAATTTTATAAAGCATTCAAGAATAATTTAGGATTTTTACAGCGGTTATTATAATGACTGTTATTATTATTATTACCATTATTTTAAAGTTATGTAGAATTGATGACAGGCATCCTTTTCGAAATAAGGTTTTAAATATTACCCCCAAATTACAAGCTGTGTTTTTTGCGTAGCAAGTAAAAGTACGAATTTTGTCAAAAGTACAGCATATCTCGTAGCAATTATTTTATGCACCGCATTATATATTTATAAATTTCAATGTAATTATTATAAATGGAAGTCATACCTGGATCCTGACAAAGAATAAGTGATATGCCCATTCATGGAGATATCTTCATCTCTTGCCTGAAATAAAAATATTCACCTTTGTTTCAAATCCTCAGGTATAATTTATAATAAATAAGAACTATTTGGTTAACAATCAAAATATTTCTGAAGCTGTTTTGAAATTTAAACAAAAAGCGGAGCTGAAAAGACTATTGTAAAAGAATTAAGAAAGCAAAAACCAAACGATTCTGTGCTAGTTCACTAGAAAAATCTCTTATTAATTTACAAATACAATTTTACATTAAAAATTTTCATGCAAATTAACAGTTGTGGTATAAATTAAAGGCATTTAAATTTCTGTTAATTTGATATATTGTTCAAAAATAAAATAAGGATTTAAATTAGTATAAAATGCCTTGTTAATTTGAAATATCTCTGTATGTTAAGCAGTTAATTTGAAATATAAAATAAAGATTTTATATTTCGCTGCATCACAATACACTCAGAGCTGTCCACCCGCAAGGCAGTGGCAGTTATATTCAAGAAATTTGTCCCCACATTAACTTTCGAAACCATGCGTTTATGAATTTCTTAAATAAATGGTGGCATCACGTAACGAACCGTATGTTTTCAACGTCGAAAGAGTATTTTGTTTTCAGATTTTTCGCAAATTCACAAAATTTTGCTTTATGAATTAAGATGTATTTCTTTTCTCCTAATATTTTACCATTTGCTTTGTGCTGAAGTGTCATCAATTTTTATCTTTTCTTAACTTTCTGCAGTGTATTTTAAGAATTTTTCTAAACCAGTAGTAATGATATAATCAGGTTAGTCAGAAGTTCAAAAATATTTATTTTAAAGTCATAATTATACAGACAGACGGGAAAACGAATGTACAGACTGAACTTTGAAAGTAAGCAAACTTCTACTTTCAATTCGCGTCACTTTTATTGAAAATGACCAGCCTGAAGCTGTTTCTTCTAGCCAGAAATGCAGTGTTTCAGTAGAAGAAATAAAAGTATAAGAAATGAAAATGCAATTAGTGGTTCTAACGGCAATCTATTGCATTATCATGTAACTTAATGCAAAGTAATTCAAAATTATAAATCAGACTTTTTTAAATTTCAGGAGGAGGGGAAAATTGAATTTGAAATCATTAATAAATTGGAAGATTTCTATAGATGTGAAAGAATATTTTTGATTTTTTTTTAAAGGAAGATCTATTTCAGTTACTTATGAAATGCTCACAGTTTTGTAAAATTAATCAAAGTTCAGCCTTGCTTAATTTTAAATAACAGATAACACATGTAAAGCATATTATTATTTTTTAATTCAAAGTTTTTGCTTCGGAATTTTTAATATGAAATCAGAAAACTTCTGTTAAACGAAATACAATTCAAAACACTAGTTCATAGAAATGGTGATGAAAAATAATTTCGAATCAACGAGTGTGGTAGATAATCATCTTTAGCTTTCTCAAACTAATGTTTTTCCCCTTCATTCCACTTTTCAGAGGTAAATGGATATTTTATTACGGTAATAAGCGATCTCTTGTCATCAAGTTTAAATATTGTGAACAAAATCGGTATTCAAGAGATAACTTCAAGATGCAAAGTTCGTTAATGAATTAATTATAGGAATAAAATTCGCCCTATAACAGAAAAATCACCTTCAAGCTGCTAAACTAGCAGAAGCGGAATTACCAAACATTCTGATGATCTTTTACCTTGAGTCGAAATATGATATTATTAGGATAGTAATTTTATCGAGGTGAAATAAAATAAAGTTCAGAGGGATACTGCAGGGAGAAAAGTGAATTTCGAAATATTTTCCACCTTGGATTAACAGTTTCGGGGCAAAAAATTTAATCTAAAATTTCAAGAAAAAAATCTCTTTCGTATAAGAAAGCAGTAACACAAATAACCGGATCATATTATACTTCTTTTTTAAATTTTAAATTTATATTTCCCGGGCGTCACTCCCAGACCACGAATCTACATAACACTTCTTAAAAACGACTCTTAATATCTGAATCTACTTAATATAATGTCGCAAAAACATACCTAAATGCACTTAGGATTGAAAAAAAAAAATTGAAATAAGTCTTTTACGCGATAAATCTCATGTATTCACGCCCCAGATTACATATTTGCTAATTTTAGCATTAAGTAAAATATCGAAAATGACGAAGAAAATGCATGTATAGTATATATAAAGAGTAAATATGAAGATCCGTGTTTTTGGCTTAATGTAGAGAAAAGGATTTATATTCGTTAACCAGTCACGTCCGAACAATGTAATTAAACGCTGTTACTTGAGGTCAAGATTTCTTGTTAAGAAGAAGGTGTTTTGATAAACTTTATAATAAACATATAAAGATATTTACTTCTTTAAACAGCAAGAATTTAAGCTTAACAGAAAAAGAACTTTCAACATCGGAACTGTTTTATCCGTATCTGTATATTTCATATGTCCAGAATTTTGTAACTTTTGTGAAATCTCAGGGAACCTTCTTAAATTCGCGAAACTAACAGCGGGTTTTAGGCATTAATAAAATTACTACCCTAAATATCCTATATTCTCGGTGGACTGCAGTGTCACAAATACATTTTATGGAATCTAAACTGATACCGATTTGCCGAAATGTTTCGTGTGTTTATCACCCAAATATTTTCGAAGGGTATGTCGTTCTACATTTCTTATATCAAATATTTTTTTAAGTAAAACTTATCTGAGAAATTTAAAAATTCATTTAATTTCATAAAAATAATTCATACACTAGTGACTATTTAGTTCTTAAACGCTTTTATTCATAATCGATGAATCCGGCTTTTCATGGATTACTCTGATGTGTTATGCCAATTCTTTTAGCTACATTTTTTTAAGACCTTGACTTTTCAGTAAAGCCAGAAATTATCTGTCTTTTCTGGAAAGTGACACGCATGTTTTTGTCACATATATCTGAAAAATGCAATGAAGCTCTAACTAGAGAGATGCCTGATTTTTAGAGAGGTTTTACCTTGTTAATATGCTTATATATAATATATGTTATATACAATACATATTATATACACTAAATATATCATCTGAAGAAATGCATCGACACTTCGAATTATATGCAAACGGATTAAAATAACTAAGCTCTTTGAGGTGGGGAAATAACCAACAATTTTATTTGTTGCTTTGAAACTAAGGATTTGTTAGAAACTAATCGTGGCTAAGATAGCTTTACAATATATTTGCATTCTGTTATAAGGACCATTATGATAAAAATTTTCTGCATATGATCAGTATTTCAAAGAAAGAAACATACCTGTACTGTACCAACGTATGCATCTGCTAAACCTTCCTCAACGCGGAAGGTATATTCAGGTTGCAAGAAAACAGGATTTTGGTCGTTGATATCAGTAATCCTTATATCCACGCTGGTGGTTGTAAACTAAAACGGTGAAAGTGCATAAGCTCAAAATTAATTTGTTGGAGAAAGAAAAAATAAAGAATTAGCAATGAAATGGAACTTACTACAAGTAAGTCATCATTTTGCAGCATTTCAATTTTAGTCAGTAGCATACTATGAACCAACATTAAAAGCACTCATTTTTAATAAGTTCATAAAATAGTTTTATAAAACAGTGGTGAGCAAGGTAAAATAACAACAGAAATAATTACCAACATGACAGCTGCGATGAATATTAAATTTATTAAACAATAAACTCTAGCTTAATGGCTTTTGATAAATCGTAACATTAAAAACTCCATTCGGGAATGGAGGCCGTTTACAGAAATCAAAAAGGATGAATGAAAGGCTAATTCAATAATGCAGCATTCCAGTGCTCCTTTGTTACTAGCTACATAGATGGTACAAATTAGTACATGCTTTCAAGAGGTGTGATATTTACTTCTCGTAAGATTAGGCGTATAGTTTCGTATATTTGTAAAATTATCTTCATTTGCAATGGAATCTTCGGATAGGCATTGGATAGTTAAATGAGTTAAGTTTGGCTGAAACCGGGAATCCGGATGGCCTTCTCCCAGTTTTCCTTAAATATCATTGTTAATGAGATTAATATTTAAGATGATAAAGTAAAGATTCATCGGAATTTAGCCTTTTGGGCTCTTTCTTTGCTGATGATAGTCCTAGCTGAGAAAACTGGTTCGTCATCAATGTTTGGTTTAGACCAAGACATATTTCATCCATGTTCTCAGTGCTTATTATATTATAAATAAAAATATCTTCAGTAGATTTTCAAAGATACATATATATATAAACTGCCTGATTAAGCGGTGCTAACCTTCCTGGGATGCGGCTGATATGGGACCAAAATTTAATTTTTATGGCAGGTTTGTTTCGTTGGCATGAATACAAAAGTAGCAAATGAGAAAACAAATGCTATGTTGGATACTATTCGACTCTAACTGAACTAGTCACTGAAATATGAAAAATGATGTACATAACGATTTCACTTGCCTTTGTTCCCACAATACTATCAATTTAGTATTAAAATACCATATAGAATATTTTTATTGTGTTATAATTTTGTAACTTCTAACTTATTTAATAAACATTCAACTGCAATATGATTCTGATAGCCTATCACAATTTTAACAATGATCAGTAAAGAAAATCTTTACAGAGCTTTCGGTATGAAAATTTTAAAACAGTTCTACCGCAAGAAAATTGAGCTTAATTAGAAGAGAATAAATCTGTCTTCTGCATTCGAGGCACAGCCGGACATAAGAAAGACATCGCTGTTTCATTCTGCCATGCCCAAAGCATGCGGGTACGACTAAAAAATTATGATACACGACTAGAAAACAAGTACTCTATAACTTGGCCTCACTTGAGCATTCCACGGTGTGCACGCAACCACAGTGCAACACTTTCCACCATAGAAAAGCAAATGCCTGCAAAATGACAACAAAATGGTGTTACAACTGGGATACCTACGAACTGGATCATTGTATTCTTGCTGGAACACAGCAAGAAATGTTTTGTGATTTCCAATCTCAGATTTGTACTCAAATAGACTAAACCTACGGACTGGATTGCACTACATTCCTTACTCATTGCGAAGCATGACAGCATTATCTTCCAAGATGTGAATATCTTCAAAAGGGAACTTCCTGCAGGAATTAGATCTCATTCACATTACCGACAAGGAAAACATAAACTTTCTTCAGCCCTGAAACATAATCTTTGATGAACTATCTCAGTATTGCAGTTTTGTGCAATCGACTACCGGTAAAACAGCTTAACCTAATAGAATAGTACATTTGATAAATGTTCGAATGAAAATGACAAAGGATCAATAAGCTTGAGATAGTTTTCTCGCACTACAATATTTTAAAATGTACAAATTAAACACTTAAAATGACATTAATTTTTTTTACCAGATTGCCTGGGTCAGCAGCTTTGACGATTAATGTGTACGCCGAAATTTCTTCACGGTCAAGGCGGCGAGCAACTGATATTGCACCACTGAAACATAAAGGAAAATTAGTTTAACAGTCCGTTCTGGCACTAATGAACCAAACAAAATCCTTTATCAATAACAAAAAATGAAATTATTATTTTGTAATTCTTTAGTAAATAAGTTAGAAAATGTTTAGCTTAAAACTCTGAAATGTTAAGTGTTACACTATAATTTGAGCATAAAGAACAGATTGCAATTTTTTTTAAATTTTGAATTCTTTAAAACTGGGATATTATCAGTATTTCAAATTTTTTCTAATATTTTATTCTTTGACCTGTTAAATTGCAATTTAAAGTTTATGGATTTCAGTTTTCTTCTTTTGATGTTCCCCTCTGTTCCTATCTTATACAAGCTTGAATGTTTAAAGAAAATAACTCACCTTTTAGCATCAATGGCAAAATCCCCATTGGTGTTACCTTCTACTATAGAATACGTAACATCGTCTTTTTCTGGGTCCTCCGCCTGCAAGAGGAATTTTACTTAAAGAATGTAGAATTTCCTGCCCAGATTTCATTTTTATGCTTAAAATTATCAGTATCACACAATTTTGTCTGCCTTATTACTAAATAAAACACTTTTATATAATTTTTTTCTAATTAGTTTTAGTAAATGGCACTGAATCTTGTTTCTTCCTACTATTCGAATTCAAACTGACCCTTCCTGTTATGTTGCTGGCACTTAAAAATCGCTATACATTCCAAAACATGTTTGCTTTTGCTCCAGTTAACATGTAATTATGTATTTGGGGTTTTATGCAGTGTGCAGTAATACCATTCCAAAATCCATACCAGAAAACTGAATGACACTAAGTTCTGTTCGATTTCTGAAATATGACGAAAAGTCATTTTCCGAAATAATATTGTTTTCCATTGCCTGTGAACGGCGAGAAACATTTTCGGTTTTAAAAAACATTTTCGGTACCGAAAATGTTTTTTAAAATGTGCTGTTTAATGAAAAAAATATCTGTTTATACAGTGAACTGTACAAACAGATCCAATCAAACCACATCAAAACATCATTCAATTATATTCGAATCCAATCTTAATATAAATCTAAAAGAACATTACTGAATATCTTTCCAAAATGTAATTTCAATATAATAATAATAATAAAATAATAATAATAATAATAATAATAAATGTAAATTTCAGTTTAAAATGTTTAACGAAAAATAATTGTCTAGTTACATTCAGTTTGATTTGTATCATTGCTTAGCTGCTAATGTAGATCTTACCCTCGCCCCAAAATATAAATGTTAATCCTTCAACACAAGTATATTGTTGCGAAATTGTTAGTGTAAATCCCAAACTTTTGTGAAAGTTTTATGAATTTTCCCAACCATCAGTGCAACCGCGCCGACCTTTGCTATATCCAATTAAAAAATCAACTAACGGTGAATTTCAGTGACTGTGCAGAAGTTCTAAACAGTTTTTGAATCTCATCATATTTGTAGTAATCGCAACGAAACCTGAGAAAAGTGGCATCGTTAAAAGGGTATTTTAAGTGTTTACTGTACGACATTGCTTGTTTATGTAGACACATATTATTGTTAAATGATTAAGAATTTAAAATGCAATATGGAATAAAATGAAACAATCAGCATTACATGGCGGCTTGATTCAATGCTTGTTAATGACTCGACACAAAATATTTAATTCTAAAGTTATGAACTGCTTGATGAAACAGGACTTTAAATTAACGGCTAGATGCTACCCTTAATAATAATAATAATAATAATAATAATAATAATAATAATAAAAACTATTTATTATCTGATATTGGATATTAGGTGCAAAATGCATCGAATGAAAGTATAGCGAAACCTTGAATCGCGATTTTCTTTCACTGCAAGCAGATCAGTTCACGAACAAATTATCTAAACAACAATAACAAACAAGCGAAAGAAATGTGAAATTTTCAGATATTTGAAATTGTTGAGTTTTTTTAAATTAAAAATTAGTTAAAGAGCTACAAAATATGAAATAGATAATAAAACAAATTCCAAACTCCAAATTTCGGGCTTCCAGGTGCCCATATTCGAGTGGAGGTCTACCTTATTCAAAATTTGATGGCTCTAGGTACCGTTCTTCTTTTTGACAGGGGGGGAAAATATACATACATTCATGCAGATTCATCATTAGTTAATTTCTACAAATCTAATACAGGGCGATAGTATTTGGTGGTAATAATTTGAAAACTAATTTAATGCTTTTTGTGATTTGAGACAAAATGCCGTTTCGAGACCAACAACCTTTCTTCGCTAAAATCAAAAGCAAAAATATAAAAAAGTACCAGATGACGAACGGTACCTTGAGGTAATCAAATACGCAAGTCGGCAATGGATGATTTTTAAAGGTGCTTTTGAGGCAGCCTTTAATACAGAATTTACACTCAGAGACTAAAAATATGATTTTAACATTTTGCGTTGCGTAACTTTCATTAACAAAGCCTGGCAAAATGCGACCATGAATTCATCTTGGAGGAAATTATGGCCAGATTCTGCTGCAACAGATATTTTGAGGGCTTTGACACTAAGGTTGATTTTTACTGTCTATGATACTGTAGCTAAGCGAAAACTATGGACTTACTTAATTTAAATTAATTTTCATCAATTCCTGATCTATCACCAGGCCACTGAAATGAAACTTTCAAATCCAGTATATTGACTGGTGCAGCCATCTAGTGGCATTTGCCCAAGTTAATATATCTACGCCAAGAGAGTTAAAAGGTTACGACATAGTTAAAAGGACGAGGTGGGTTACTGAAGGACCATAAAAATGCGTTCAATAAGAAAGAACTGAAAAACCTTCAGAAAGAATCAACAAAAGACAGTTATTGGAGAAATGTCTTCAGAAGAAGAGGAATGGGGGAAAGTTCTTTGATCCGCGACATTTGGGCAAAATGGCTCTTCATGCATTTGCGAAATGAACAAAGATACAAAATTTCGTGTAATGTCATCAGCCTTATAAAGCAATAGCAAACTATAAGACAATGTCTCACCTTAGAAATATTTTAAAACAAAGCAAGAACATATCGTAATGGAAAAGTTTTGAGTGAAACTGAAGCGTAATGAATTTCAAGCAGAGCCTAAGTGGCACTACAAGACAGAGAAAAGGTAAAGAATATACCATCGAAAAACACTTACCTGACGTTTTTACGAAAGAGGATTTCCCATCCAAATAATAACCATTTCTTCCTTTTCGCTTTCTCACCACTTTCCATTTAGGCCACCCGCTCTCCTTCGTACGGGTGATAGAATTGGATTAAATTTCCTTCTATTTTATATGTTTAATATTAGGTTTACTTTTATCAGGTCATCTTAAATTTAATGATTTAGATTATTTAATCTATGGTCTAGGAATGGAATCATCCATGTTACTTTAATTCCTATGGGGAAAATGTTTATGAAGGTTTCAGATGACGACTAGACTTCAAGAACTAATAAAATTTGTGAACCAAAGTTTCACTGTTGTCTTTAAAGGAGTTTAATAAATTGCCAAATTATTTAAATTATTTATACTGAAAAAACTGTAAATTAAAATTTTTATAGAGTAATATAAATCATAGGAGAAATGTTTCGTCACAGTTTTCTATTCTTAATATTTCTATTTAACATTACTATAAAAAAGGCTTAATCATAACATCGTAATATAAGTTAGATCAAAATATGTTTAATAGGAAGACAGAATAAAGACCAAGAATTTCCAAGCTAATTATTTGTAAGGATCCAGTCGTCGAGCAACAATCATGTTCAGTCTACTTACCGTCAAAGTGATCACCGTCGACTTGACAGCAGCTCCCTCGCTGACCTGAGTGTCATACCTGTCTTGGCTGAACACGGGTCCTCCTGAATTGGGGCCCGAAACAACGACTACGTCCAGTATGGCTTGGCTGAACCTAAAAATTAAGAAAGGTTGTTAATTTCACAGAACTCGGAAAAATAAGCAGTTAGTTCCAATAATACCGATAATAAGTGACGTCTAAAATACGTTCAGTTTCATAATTTTATTTCTGGCAGTATCAAGAAAAATAAAAATAATTTTACTTAAATCTAAATTCCAATGCAGCTTTTAAAATCTTCATTCTTAAATTTAAATTTTAAAAACATTTCATTTTCATTTCATATTAAATTCAACTTTTCAGTTATTTCACTCTAAAGAAAAATTCTATTAAAAAAATCCAACATCTGGAGGAAAAAATCGCCAATTTTCGGGTTCTTTTGTTATGATTATCTTATGTTAAATTATTAGTTATGATTTAAATAAACATTCAAAATGTTATTAATTTAGTTGTGTAGTAAGTGTTTTATTCTTGAGCAGAGATAACTCACCTAGAAACGTAAGTACTTCAAGTACACCATTAAGTTATAGGTAACTGAGAAGCTAAGTTAAAAATTACAAACATCAATCGGTATATTTTTATGAAATGGTTGCTTTAACTGAGGAAAGTATTTTTAGCTACTGGTAGAGTTTATGAAGGCTATGATGGAGTTGGTTCGATCCCGAGGTAAGTTCTGTTGAACCCAATTTTAGATAAAAGTATTCACTAAGACAAAAAGCAAAGAAAGTTCGTTTTCTCCTAGCCAACGGTTCTAATTTGGGGAGGGGGATAAAATTTCTTTTTAGTATGCTACAGGAGCTCAAATAAGTAAAGTTATTAAATTCGAATCCGTGCCATGGATTAATTTACAAGATTCGATTTTTGTATTTAACTCCTTTATTAAATAAATACATAAAACGGTGAGTATTGAAGCGGGTATCAAATCTACCTTAACAAGATAACTAATAATGTGCTATTATTAAACACTGTTAACGCTCAAACATAAACAAATGCAATATCAAGTAAGATGTTTTTAATTGTGTACGATGTATTAATAAATTTTTATGTATTCCAATATATGTAAAATATGCACATATAACGTCACCTGATAAAATCCGCAGAAAGATAGAAAAGTCAGTTTGGAATGATTTGATAAGAATTCAGCTTTAGAAAAGCTCCATGAATTTCAAGAGCATATGACACATGTCTCTTTCCTTTAGAAAGTAAGCAGAACTTCACAACAAAGCTGATTTCAGTCGCTGTGTTAAATTTTACCAATTTAAATGTTAATTATCTTATCAGTGGTCAAGTCTTGTCGGCGATAAAAGAGGTGGCCAATTAGTTGAGATTTGTATAGCTTGTTGTCGATTTTCTCTCTAAAGAATACTTGTATTCGATGTAATTTTCTTATTATTATGTAATTAAAATTTCCATCCTCTTTCATCCGATGTGCGCAGGAAAACCCTTTTGCCATGGAAAGTTTATTTATTTCCTACTAGTCAATCTTTAAGAGAGCGCAAAAAGTAGATTTTGTTAACAGCAGTTCGGAACTGAACGTTTTGTTACGTGGTTGAATTTACTCATACTGTCCTAAGACATAATACAGTGGATTCAATCTTTTACGACCTAGTAAGGATAGGAAAAAAAACAGGGTAGGTAATCAAAAATTAAAAGTTTGGAATGGGAATGTCAATAACAGGTCTCATTAGAACCATATCATCCTTCGTAAAAACGTGCGATTTTTAAAACGGCTTATCCATTGTATCATTAACCAACGTTGCAAAAACAAGCCAAAAAACTGGAATTTCTTCTACAGTTTTCAAAAGGGAACGGAAGAGTAATTTTGGTATTTTGAGTAATTTGATACAAATGGTAGAGAAACTGTCAATGTCACTTCTTTTACCTCTGTCAAACTCGATGAAAGAATTTTACTGACCTGCCTCCAGGGTCTGTAGCCTGAACTGTAATGCTGTACTGCTGTCCAGCCATCACTTTGTCGAGAACTTGAACGACTCCTGATGTTCTGTCGATTCGGAACTTAGACAAACCATCATTGGAAACGTGGTAAATAGAATAAACAATCTGTTCCTCACCATCTGCATCATCTGCATCGGTAGCATGAACCTAAAGTGAACATCAAGTATTTAACTGAGTTATGCTTATAATGAAAAATTTTAATTTTTAAATAAACTTCTGGATTAATGAATCACATTTTATTATTTTATGTTATTAATGTTTCTGCATAACTAAGTACAATATTTTCCTTGATTAAACTATTGGTAGTTGAAAACTGCACAACATTTCGAAGAAATGTGGCACAACCCTCTTTTGTAACATGGTTTAATACACGCGTATGTTTCAGATATTATGAGGGCGGTGTAAAGACTGAGATTTCAAAGACGGAAACACGATATCTTCTATGGGAAAAATGTAAGTGAAAAGCAATGTAATTTCATTCCTGGCAGATGGGTGGACTAGACGCGGAAACACAGACAAAAAATAATGGTAAATAATTAATAAAGACAAAAAATAAAGAAATATTCAACAATATCATTATCTCAATACTAGGTGCCTTTGATTCGTTGGTTTCGTTGGTAGTGTTCCAACATATTCAAAAGATACAGGGAATGGCGTGTCCCGTAGTTTTTTTGACCTAATATAATGTTACCTTCAATATCGCAGCATACAAGCCATAACGGACGTAGGTGTTTATTTATAATCTATAAGAAGATGCTGCCTTCATGAAGCAACCAAGTGAAGATAGCCGGTATACAGCTTATAGCTTTGCAAGCTGGACGCGGCGACCACAGCAAACGGAACGGAAGGTTGCCTTCAAGGACCTTGTTTGGGTCCGCTCCTGAGGAATCTAGTAGCTGACATGGCCTGTAATCTTTATAATGCGCATCATCACAAGGAAAGATTGGTTTATGCCAATGACATTTTGCTAACTACTAAAAGGCAAGCCGCAGCGCATATGAGTCTAGGGCGCAAGAAAATATGGGCACGATGTCCAAATCGGCCAATGACCATAAGTTATTTATTGCCAACTCAATTTCAAGGAATACTAATCTGCTCAGGTATGCGCCATCTACGAACACCGCGGTTTAGCCTTCATGGTAAAAATAATTAGAAGCAATGAGACACTTTGAGGCCATAGTTGATGAAACTCTCACTTGGATCCCACATCTAAGATCAATGTACTAACGATTTCACTCCATATTTCGGACAGCAGCTGCACCATAGGGAATTTCTTCGAGAATGCGCAGGACATGGTCCGAGCGAAATGCACTACAGGGGTCTCCATATGGGTGTAACTATTACTACTAAAATGAAGAAACTGCTAAAAAAAGAATAGATACTGAAATTCACCAATAAATGCAGATATGATTAATTATTTTCTTATACCCCGTAAACAATTAATTTTTCTTATCTCTACCGATATTTTACATTTATGCTTTTCTTAAATTCTTCTCTTTATCTAAAATTGGACTAGAACTAAAATATTATAAATAGTTAAGAAATTTAAAAATAGCTATTTTAAAATTGCCTAAATAATCGTGAATAATGCTACGAGTGGAACCTACCAAAAACTAAAAAGGAAACATTTTCAAATAAAAAGTAACAAATGAAATAAAAATTAGTTTTAACTCATACATACTTTTGCTACAGTTCTCAAACCATCGCCTGCAGGCAGTCGCACTGTGGGTAAAGGTGATAGGACAGGAGAATTATCATTGATATTGTTAAGGTGGACATTCAGTGCTACGGGAGCACTTGCACCTTTTCCAGGCACGCTTCCACTCTGCCGAGCGATCACCTAAAATTAAAGCAAAGACATACTGTAAATTCAGGATATCTTTATAATGGTTCTGGCACTTTGATAATGACTCCTTGCATCTAGACATAAACCCTCAAAAACTGCACCTGGCATAAAGGTGCCGTTAGAACAAAATGCAGCACTTGTATATATATATATATATATACACATGTGTAATCATATACATGTATACCATTTTGCAGATTATATGGAGGATTATATCCTTCATATAATCTGAAAAATGGGGTAAAATTTATGTTTAGTCTTGAACTTAAAAGTCTATAAACCTGAATCTTGGACTGATGAAAAGTACGGGAAAATTACGCATTTGGAAAAAATGGGGAGTACTTGAATATTATCAGAAATTTCTTTTTATTATTATTATCTTACCATATCTAATATTTTATTATCTTACAGTCTCTTTCCTCAATTTATACAGAAGAATGAATTTAATGGAAAATTAGTAGTACATTTCACATTTTTCAAAACAGTCGCAGTAGTAGTCTTTTTAATCATAGACCTCAGAAAAAAGACTAAATTAATAAACCCTTCTTTAAACTAAAACTGTATTTTCTTCTTAAGAGTATAAATAAAATTTCTTTAATTTATTTAAAATTTTACGAATTCATATACATCATTCTGAAAACAAACTTATTTCTTTTCAATATATTTATTCTTAAAATGATATATATGAAATCGGGATTACCAAATTTTCAAATTAGTGACTAAGTGGAGCAAATTTTTTATTAGGAACATGTGGCCGAATTTTGAATTTTAGCGTATTTTGTTTAAGATTTCAATTAGCAAAGAACTGAATTTCATATTCTGTGTTATTCTCAATGATCATGTGATAGTTTTTAGTTTAGCATTTTAAGTGCCCTTAGTATTGCTATATTCTGTAACGTAACAACAGTGACATAAATGAAACTTACTTGGAATGTGTATTTGCTAGGGTTCGGCGGGTCTCTGTCCAAGTTGGCTTCGTTGACAACTAAATACCCGTCAGAATTGACTCGGAAAGAGTTGGTTGTTACTTCGTAGGTGTAGGAAACGGGGCCATCTTCTTCACTCTGTAATGTGTAAAAAAGATTTTTTTTAAACGATGGCAGTACAGTATGATGGCAAATAAAAATTTTAGTGTCTATTAGTAATATCATTTGCGAAAGTTAAAATTAAAAAAATTAAACTTATCGTAGGAAATCTAAACTTAATGCAATAATTAAACCACCAGCTCATGAACACGACGTGAAAATAATAAATTAGACGGATAATTCAAGTTCGTTTAATAATTTGCTCAAATTTGAAAACAGGCTTAATAATTACGAATCGTACATTAGGGGATAAAATTAATGAATCAAATTTAATGAAATACAGTTACAACAGTTACAGTTTAACAATTTTTAATGCATTTCATCGACAGATTTCTGTACAAAATCAAATAAAATAACTTAAATAGTATTGGATATTTTCGATTTTTCATGCAGTTTGCTGTCGCTTTATGAAATTTCGTCAGATTTTGAAGCTACAATATTGTTCCGAATAAAAAAAAGTCTCGTAAACGGGTACAGAAATGGCCTTATTAAGATCTGTACATGAATATCGTCACACATTATTAATATGTTAGACGTGAAACATTTGTTTTAGCGGGGTAAGCAATATTTTGTCTGTGCACAAAACAATGCAATGAACGGAGAAACGAATAAGAAAACACATTTCTTAATACTACTAAAAAACCGCAAGCTCTTTTTGAAATGGATTATGAAGAAATCTCTGAGAAAGTTTTGGCTAGTGAGAAGGAAATGAACTCAATTGATACATGCTTAATGCAACCAGCAGGAACTCTCTGAATAAATGGCAAGAAGCCGCGGCAATAGCCGAGCAATGGCAACTTAATCAAGCTGAGGTGAACAGAGTAGCAGATCTGTTCAGTGACAACGCTATGAACTGTTCAGGGTCATCCTTGAAGAACATAGACAAACTCTTGAAACTTGGCCATTCCAAATGTGAAAGGAAGACGTCCAAACAAAAGTATCTTTAATACGCTCAGTGTGATTTTGAGTTAACGCAAGTCCTTTAGAACCTGTCTTAGTAATCATGACATGCGGTATATGCAATGAGAGAGCTATTAACCCTTTGGTCTATAACCACGAGTCTGACTCGTGGTAAAGAATTTGTGCCATAAACAAAAGCTACGAGTCTGACTCGTGGTAAAGAACTTTTGTCATAAGCAAAAGCCACGAGTCTGACTCGTGGTAAAAAAAATTGCGTCATAAAAAAAAGTCACGAGTTTGACTCGTGGTGAGGATTTTTTGCATAAAAATGCCGCGTATTATTATTAAAACAAGCGATTGGAGTTATTCTACAACGAATATTTTTCCTTTGATTGTAACGTCAGTATATATATATATATTCAGTTGTTTCTGACGAAACTGGATGATCTGTTACTTTAATTCCCCGTAAAGCTTCGTTACGTTCGCACGCTTCAAATATAATTTCGTATAAAGAATTAACTAAATATTTATTTACAAATTGTTATTAATTCATTATCTACTTTGAAATAATAAATTATTTTTGTCAACTGATCAATTGATTATGATTACACTCTAGACGTCTTAAAATTACTATTTGTACCTAAGCATTGTTTATTATTTCACAGTTCCTTTCGTTACACTGAAATACATATGCCATGAAAATTATACATTTTGCGCCAGTTCGGGTACACGGTTGAACAGTTGAATGACACGGTGCGCGACCGACTTTCTTGTTTACTATAGCTCACGCAAATGGCAGATATCCTGTAGGCCAAGGGGTTAAATGCGATAAATCTCACTTTATAGAAATAAAATTCATTTCTGAAATGTTCACTATCCAATTCACTGAATTCAGATTCTTTGTGCTACATTACTACTAAAAACTTTAAGCTGACCCACGATATGTTTGGCGGCGATGTCTAGATACCCGGACTTTTGCTGTGGATTTCAATATCAGGAACTTCGATCCCCCCCCTCACTGGATAATGCAAACTTCTCGAAGATAATTTTCCAGTGTATGATTACGTTCGTCAATATTTTTCAGTGCCATGCTTTCACAACTCATTTTCTTTATTCATGTTTGGGGGAATAAAGCAGCTATTTTCGGCAGTATTGAATAAAGGTGACGTCTTCTACAGAACGTTCATAGGACACAAACTTGTTTGTTGTAAATCCAAGTAACTCAATCTCAAAGCAACATAAGTAGAATATGTGGAAACCAATAGAATAAGACTAAACACATGATCGTCAGATTATTTTGAGGGTTGAAGATTACGTTACAACAGACAGGCAGGAATTTATTGCGTAGTTACCAACCTATCTCGAGTCAAGAGAGGTTTCTTGTAGCGGTTATATAAATACTATTATTTCTAATAAGTAAATACCTTTGTTTATGACTATAGCATTTAATTCCAAACGAACTATATTTTTAATTATAAGAAAGTTAAGAACGAAGTGCAGGTGAATCAAAATGTTAGCTGTGAATAGGAGGAAATCAACAATTAGTCTCTTTTAAGTTTGTTATATTTTTCCCACTATAATTCTTGCTGAAAATTGCATTTAATTAAAAAAAATATTAAATCACCTTCAAATGAAATTTTATTTAGTGAAATAAATTATGTAACTTTGGAGAATAAATAACCATTATCTAAACATAAAATGCGATCTGTTCTGGTCTTATTTGGATACTCGAGGCTGTAAGACATTAGTATGAAGAGAAAAATCTAATCTAGCGCTTATATAAAAAAATCATTAAATTTATACAAATATAGCAATTTTTTTTCCTAGCTTAACTATTCGTTCATAAATGTTCTGAATCAAATCGGCTACCATACCAGCGTATACTTTTACGAAAAATGTAAAATTTTGCCTTTATAGTTATTTGTTTCATAAGGAAAACATACCAAAGAAACAATTCAATTGCTACTCACCAGATCGGCATCTGTGACTCTCAAAGCCAGAGGAGATCTACCGTCATGATCCGTAGTGACGGTAGTGCCGATGGGAGAGTTCTCATCCACATAACCTTCTAATGCAGAAGGGGTCAACACCGGAGGGTGGTTGTCCACGGCGTCAACTTCTATTTGCAGTTTGGCGGTTGAAAATCTTCTGCCCTCTGTTAGCTCTTCAGCCTGTAATAAAAAAATATTATTGCATATCACTTGAATGTATAACACATAGCAAATATAGTCAACAAATCTGTAGCAAAGCAATTTTTAGTCAATCGTAGCTGTCAGATTTATGTATTTTGCAAAATAATAGGATATACAGAAACCATTTATTAAAAAGTGCTATTTTGTTTTTCAGTCTCTTATGTTTTGAGCAGCACATTTTAAAAAATATTCTGAGTCGTTTATACAACACAGTTTTATCACGCACATTTTGCAAGGCTGTTTGTATTTCTATAGCTACTACCGTATCTTGTCACACTATCCTCAGTTCAGCAAAGTTTATTGATTTATCAATGAGCATTTGAAACTTAATAACAATCCCAAAGAAAACTACATCCTGAGAACTCTGGGGAATATTTCTTTTAGAAATCACATGACCGAGAAGCATTTTGGGTAAAAGTTTACAAATGGGTGCCCTTTGGTTTTTGGCGATTCTTTTTTGATGCCAAGATCGGCGTCAGGAAGGTACAATTTCAAGATGGCCACTACACAAAACAAAATAAGAAGTCAAAAAGTTGCACAAACTCTGTGTCCATGTACACATCGATCTGTTTTCACTTAAAAAAACATCCCAGAATTGCACAAACTAGGCATTGCGCACTGCCTTAAATTTATCCATCAATGTATTTTCATTAAAAAAAAAATCAGGAAGCTAAAACAAAGTTAAAACTATCATGGTAACCAGAAATGAGGTTTCATTGCCGAAATTTAAAAAATTGTCGCTAATTGAAGGGGCATCCAATTCTACACTAGAGCCGCATTTTGTAAAGTACAAACATGATCACGGATTCTCTGCAATCAAGTGAGGTTGTTTCGTTTTGCTGGAAACACACCCTTTAGAGATCACCAATATTACCAACTTATACTGCTGAAAAATTCATCAGATTAATCGGAGAACATCCCAAAATAGGTTTCTCAAGAAAATATTGCTGTAGCAATTAGTGCTGTATTTGAATTAGATCTTGTAGTGTTGATTTGAATCTCAAAATTTTCAGATTCCCATGACCCACTCTGCGGAGAGACACGCGCATTAGATCCAGAAGAACATTTTTACAGTTATATTGCTCATATGATTTATTACTGTTTTATGCTTCTTTCATATTCCCTCATCATTCATATCCTAATGCAAAGCAACAACGTCGTAGCCTTCTTCTGCTTGATGATCTAATAAAAACAAATAACCAAACTTTGAATCCAAATAACCAAACTTTAAATGTAAAAAAAAAAAAAAAATTTACCTTGACTATGATGTGCAGGAATTTGGCAAGTTTCCTATCCAGTGCTTTGAGTTGGCGTACACGCCCGCTGTTTGTGTCGATTTCAAAATATTCGTTATAGACTGATGGAGTTCCTGTGAAACAATTCATGGTTCAAATTAAAAAGAGAAGCCCATTTGAAAATTATTATTTCTGAGCATTTTATAAAAATATGAGAAAAATTAGTACAGTGAAATATCAACGCACAAATTACCTATATATCATAAATCTAATAAATTTTGTTAAGAAATGTTTTGCTGTTAAATTTAAGCAAAACAAAATAAATCCTTTTGTTCCCATTATTATCCATTTATGAACTAAATACTGAAAATATTTTTAGTGGCTTGGTTTACTCAAGCAATTTGAAATATTTAAAATCTCGTTCAAGTAAAATAAAATAATAAAAAGATAAATAATTTATCTTCAGAGTTATTCTGTGTACATAATAGCATATAAATTCATATTCATCTTGCTCTTACAACCATTTGTGAGTACTTACCATTCACAAAAGAATATCGAATAGGGGAGTTGAGAGAGTCCCTGTCTTTGGCTAATATAGACTCTGGAAACACTTTCAGTAACCCAGACTGAAAGAGAAACATTTATAACCTGTCAATAATTGAATTAACGGTACCGATTAATACATTACACGTAACAGCATATAAAAACACTTTCCCATGGGAAATAAGTATCAAAATTCCGTTCACTAGATCCATCTATTAAAGTTCAGATTTTTCACTCTATCCATCTAATTATTCTGAGAATTTAATTTAAATGCAATGCAAAATCTTTTTGCACTATTAGTGTTAATTAGAAGCAGATTATTTTCCAAGTGATAGTCTAAAAAGTTGTTAGAATAATTGTGTAATTAATCTTATGCTTTATTGTGTTACTTGACTTTACTTAATAAGCCAGATCTGGTGTTATAATTATTATACACCATAAAGTCAAAGATAAAGCATTAGTAAAGTGAAGCAATCGATTTACGATTATTTTTATGTATTTCTTCGTACTCAGCACTATTTTAAACCGAGGAAGAAAATTTGAACATTTATTTTTCACTTCAGTGAAAAATTTCTGATGATAGTTCTCAGTTTTTTAAGGTTTTGTTTCTTCAATTTCAAAAAGATTAAAAAATTAGACATTTGTTTAAAAGCAGCGTTATCTGTAAACAGTCCTCAAAATAAGATCTGAACTTTTCTTCCCCAAAACAGAAATTTTATTGTAACGAATGATCTAACGGGAAAAATGTCAATATTAATCTAACACATTAATTTGTGTTTTTGCTCTGATGTCATAATAAGAGTTTATGAAAAATTGTGTAAAGTTGGGTAATTATAAAATTTCATGATTTATTTATCTATTGCTTATACCAATTAACAAATTTTTAGATCCTAAGACCTTTTAACTATGATATATTTTCGTGGAATATTTATTTGGGAAGGTGTATACCGCTCGATTCTTTTCAAGGCCAGCTTGCCGGAGAAGTAGATAAGTCCGAAAATTTAATTTTCGGAACGCACTTATGTCTACCAGAGATGAATAGTGATTTACTCAGCAGTTATGTAGAGTGAGAGAACTAGTTGGAAAGCAGTGAAAGAGTTTGTAAGGATCTTAAGTTTTACTAACGTTTATTTTATTTTAAATCTTTACTATCACTTCTTATTTTCTACTTCCGGCCAGAATTATAAGCGTGTAGGAGTTTATGCAAAGTTGTCTGGCGAACGCCAAGTATTTAAGTGTGGCCTTTTTGCCAAGCAGAAGAGAGGAAGCCGTGAGTTCGAAGCAGGCCGCTTACCTTAGAAGTTACGCAGTTGCTACTTTGCCTTCCAGGCCAGAGGTTTTAATCCTCTTGATAAATTAAACGTATTGTAGTGTTCACAGTCTCTGTGCTACATACGCTTCCTGTTATGATAAGGCCAATCTTATTCTAAAGTTAAATTAGAGTTTAGTTTTATTTTGATATCTTTTAAGTTAGACCCCGAGTGGGAGGTCATTGTATTCCGAAGTACGGAAGTCACTGTATATAAAGAAAAAATAAAGGGTTTTGTATACCCTTCGTCTGTATCCTGTCTACTTACTACAATTAGTGAACATAGCTTTAGTAAGCTCTCTGTTCTAGTCAGGTCATTGTATGTTTCCGAAGAAGGTTAGAAGAAACATTGAACCTGATAGTGGCGCCCGACGAAGAATAACCATGGCCGAGTTTCAAGAAGAACCTGTGCTGCCTGCAGAAAAAGCAGCTCAGAATCCAGAAATGCCAGCTGCCGCCCTGGAAGGATTTGGGTACGTTGTCCAGACCATGCGCGCTTCGATGAAACCAGAAGCAACGTTTAATGGAAACTCACAGGTAACCAGTTTTTTGGAAAAATTGGATGACCACACTTCATGCTCTACCCCGTGCACGAGTTTCAAAAAGTTACCTTAGCTACCAGCGCTTTGAGGGGCCAAGCGCTTAACTGGTTCAAATGTATCGGCAGAAGTCTCTTGGGTCAAGCAGGAAGTCCCACCTATACCTACGAAAATTTCAAGACTGCCCTACTAAAAGCCTTCCCTGTTGTAAGGGATCGTGCGAAATTAGAAACAGAACTTTTCAGTATATATCAACAAAGAATGGAAAACCTCTCGAGTTTTATTTTAAGAAAAATTCACGTTTTCAAGCTCTTGTATGGAAACCGTCCGGATCCTGAAATAATTCAAGTGATTTTGCCGAGGTTACTACCCCAAGTGCAAGACTTTATTGAATTGAGAAATCCGACTACACTGGAAAAATTATTTGAGCTAGCAATCCAGTTTGAAAGTAGAAGAACGGCGGACGTCGAAAGAAGACGCCAATATCAACAGCGAAACCAATTTGGTACGCCAAGACTACAGCAAACTCAAGCACATGGCTACGGAGAAAAAAAGCGAATCAGTGGGCAAGGAAACCCGAGCATTCAAAAACAGCCGGCGAACGTCGACAGTTCAATAGCAACCCAGGAAAAAAGTCTCAAGGCCAGTGGAGAAAGAAGAAGGAAAGCACCGAAAGGAAAAATAATTTAAACTAAAACGGATTTCTGCTGACGAGAGGGTGCGGAAATCCGAAGGCCACGAAAACCCCTCTTCCTACAAGTTAAATACAGTAATGGTGAAAAATTTAACTCTTCCGAAGATTGAAGTCTTGGTAAATAATATCCCGGCCACCGCACTCCTGGATACCGGCGCGCGCAGTGTTCCTGTGTGGCAGAAGTCTTTTTTAGAAAGTATTTTCGCAAATACCGCATACATAATGCGGATAATACAACAGTATTAGCGGCGCAAGGAGAACAATGTAAGTGCGTAGGTAAAGTACCTTTGTACATCCGTATCAAGGACGAACAAGTAAAGGTGATGTTTTTTATAGTAAAGAATTTGCAAGCACACTTAATACTAGGAATAGACTTTCTTTCAGACGCACAAGCTACACTGGATTTTAATGAAGCGTCTCTTAAGCTGACGATGAAACCAGTGCGTGTAGAAAAGGTTGAACCGCCGAGGTTAAATCTTGACCACCTGCCTAATGACGAGCAAGATAGAATCCGACAAGTGGTAAGTGAATTTGCTTCCTTATTTAGTGATATTCCAGGATTTACCAGGTTACTAACCATAGTATTGACACCGGAGATGCATTGCCGGTTCGTCAAAAACCATACCGGTATGATAAGAATAAGGAAAAAATTATAGAATGGCATATTACCGATATGCTACGTAAAAAAGATCGTAACGCCTATCTCAAGTAGTTATGCTAGTCCGGTGGTTTTATGTAAGAAAAATAATGATTATCCTTTGGAGCATCCAAAAAGGTGGAGATTCGCTATTGATTACCGTAAATTAAATTCCATAACGAAATATCCGGTATATCCGTTACCGATTATAGAAGAAATTTTAAGGAACATAAAATCAACCAAATTTATGACAACTTTAGACTTAACGAATGGTTATTTTCAAATAGGGATCAGGCCTGAAGACGTGCCTAAGACTGCTTTTATAACCAAGTCTGACACTTATGCATTTTTGCGAATGCCGTTTGGCCTTTCAGGCGCCCCAGCAACATTTCAGCGATGCATGGACATTGTGTTAAGACCTGTTCTCGGAAAGTCCACATTTATCTATTTAGACGATATCATTATTACTAGCGATAATCTAGACCAACATGTACAGGATTTAAGACAGGTGTTTTCTTTATTAAATGAGGCCGGTCTAAAAGTTAATGTCGAAAAATGCAAATTTGCAGCCCCTGAATTAAAATATTTAGGTTACAAAATATCGCAAAAAGGGATCGAGACAGATGAATCAAAAATAATCGCTGCACAAAAGTATCCGACTCCAAACACGGCAAAGAAGCTCTCTTCTTTTCTAGGACTTTGTTCATATTATAGGTCCTTTATAAAAGATTTTGCGGCTATCGCTGAGCCATTGTTAAAATTAAAAAGGAAAAAGGCAAGATTCTCGTGGACGGCCGAAGCCAATAGTGCTTTCGAAAAATTAAAACAAGCATTAACGCAAGCCCCTGTGTTGAAATTTCCTGAAAAGGATGAAAATTTAGAAATTTCAGCGGGTGCTTCGGATTATGCGGTAGGAGCGGTACTTTTGCAAAATCAGCAGCCAGTGGCATTTTTTAGCCGAACTTTAAATCAAACACAAAGAAACTATTCCGCGACCGAGAGAGAGGCACTTGCAGTTCTGTTAGCAGTGCAAAAGTTCCGAGTCTATTTTGGAAAGGCGCCGATAACAGTATATTCTGATCATGCGGCGGTAACTAGATTGTACTCTGGAAAAAATTTATCCCCAAGGTTAATAAGATGGGCACTCAAGCTGCAAGAATATAATCTGGTAATCAAGCATACCCCCGGAAAGGAAAATATCGTAGCAGATGCCCTGTCACGAATTAAATTAGACGAACAGGGTAATACCGTAAAAGTTGCAATGCTGACAGCGTGTACAATAAATTCCCGAGAAACTGTAATAACCGAACTGGGTAAGGATCCTGAGTTTGGAAGTATTTATGAGTATTTGAAGGATCCTGAAAATTTTAGCCACCAAGATATTGTGGCGATAAGAAATAGGGCGGCCCATTACGAACTAATAGATGGTCTATTATTTTATACAAAAAAAACTACGAATTCCAACAACGAATTTCGACCTGTTATCCCAGCTAGTTAAATTAAATTAGCTTAGATTAAATATCCTGCAAGAGAGCTCCATGACAGCCCTTTAGCTTCTCATGCTGGTATTCGAAAAACTATCCAACGCGTACGCGAGGCAGTCTACTTTCCTGAACTGCAAAAGTTAACAAGGGCGTATGTCCAGTCCCCAACATGCCCAACATGTCAAGCCGTTAATTATATTAATTTCCGCCCGGCCGGGTTTCTAAATAGTATTAAATCCGAATTTCCAAATGAAATAATAGGCATCGATTTATTGGGCCCTTTCCCAAAAAGTCAGTTAAACAAAAGTCGCTATCTCCTTGTTATAGTTGATCATTTTAGTAAATGGACCGAAATTGTTCCCTTAAAACGAGCCTCCGCGAAATTAGTTACCGATTCTATTTTAAATAAATATATTTTAAAATACGGGGCGCCCCTAAAAGTTATATCGGATAATGGTCCTCAATTTGTAAGTAATATATTTGAAGACATGTGCCAAAAACTGGGCATACGTCATTTAAAAATGGTCCCGTATCGGCCGCAATCAAATATAGCGGAACGGGTCAACAGAAATATAGTGAAAATTATCCGTAGTTATGTTAAAAATTTTCATAAAAGCTGGGATAACTATGTCAATGAATTTGCTTTCGCCCTTAGGACCGCAAAACATGATACAACGGGCAAAACTCCTACTGAGTTATTTCTAGGCAGAAAGGTTATAACACCGTTAGATAAACTATTTTATGTGCAACAAAGAGCCCCAGAATTTAAAATGGGTGATATAGAAAAAAACTAATAAAAAGAAGCAAAAAAGAATACGGAAGTAGCACAAAGAAAACAAAAATTGTATTATGACTTGAAACGACGGGGAGTAACTTATAAAGTAGGGGATGAAGTACTAAAAATTAAGCATTCACTTTCTTCAGCACCAGAAGATAAAACTGCCAAATTTTTTCCACGCTTTGAAGGACCATATGTTATAGAAAAAATAACTCACGCTGTTGTAGTGTTAAAGGCAAGAAATGGTGAAACCTGTTCCGCAAATATGGATCAAATCAAGCCCTACTTCGATCGTAATAAAATGCAAATCTTTTCAGATCTTTTGCAGGATCCGGTACGGCAGACACCGCAGGTACAAGTTCCAGAGGTGGGAAAACGACAAGTACAAGGGCAAGCCAATGAGAGACAGAAGCAAGTGAAAAGAAAATTGCCCCGCGGAAAAATTTGAAGGTACAAAGAAAAAGAAGCCGTTCCACCGTCCAAAAAACAGAGTTCACGAACACCCCCAGAATGAAGAAGGGAGAAGGACGACGTATGTGGAAAAGACCGGGAGAAAGGACGGCAACTATAACCCGGCTGTGAAACGGAAGATTGACTCATCCGACAGAACTCTCCGCAGCAAAAGTCGCCGAACTGCGGAAGGGCCATCAGCGGCGGAGAAAAAAAGTACAAGAAAAATTTGAACGGCCAACAACGAGGTCCAAGCAGGATCACGACAGAAGTTTCCCGGTTCCACCAAGACCAGCTGCCTTCAAACGGCCAAGACCACAAGCAGAGCACAGAAGGAAGATGTTCAAGGGTGGCCGTAGTGGTGAAAAACGGAAGCTTCCAGAGGAAAGCACTGAAGGGCGAGCCCGTACAAGAAGGAGGATCAACCAAGCTACGGTCTGCAGCACCTTTAAAGACTGGGCCCAGAAAAGGATGTCTGAATATTACAAAGATAAGTAAAATTTTATGTTACTTTACAAACTTAAGTTAATCTAGAGTTGAAATTAGGGTGTGTTAAGAGGTCTCGTATGTTGAATTTTAACACGTTAGTGTTTTGATTGTAGGAGGAAGTGTTGAACACATAGACAGAAACACATTCGTGTTTGGTGTTTTTACAACACATGTCAGAGAGCACGGGGAGAGATAATTAAAATAGTCATGAATGAAATAAGAATGTTAAGAAAAGTATATTCTATATGTTATTTGCAATGTCATTCTGTAACATTTCATTAAACTAGTTTTCCTTCCAGATCTCTGGAAGGAACCAGAATTGAATAAATAAAGCTCCTGTTTTGATGCAGTACAGATGAAAAAGAAAAAAGATTGTTGTATATTCCGGGAGCTGCTATTGTAACAAATTTCTTTCTTTTAAAATTTTCTAGTTTCTAGCTAAGTTATGATTGTAAAAGGTTGGCCTCGCGTTAGTTTCTAGAGCTAAAAGTTTTCAACAAGGTCGTTTTAGACCTCAGTTTCAAACTAATTAACTCTGGCGGGAAGTATGTAAGGATCTTAAGTTTTACTAACGTTTATTTTATTTTAAATCTTTACTATCACTTCTTATTTTTCTACTTCCGGCCAGAATTATAAGCGTGTAGGAGTTTATGCAAAGTTGTCTGGCGAACGCCAAGTATTTAAGTGTGGCCTTTTTGCCAAGCAGAAGAGAGGAAGCCGTGAGTTCGAAGCAGGCCGCTTACCTTAGAAGTTACGCAGTTGCTACTTGCCTTCCAGGCCAGAGGTTTTAATCCTCTTGATAAATTAAACGTATTGTAGTGTTCACAGTCTCTGTGCTACATACGCTTCCTGTTATTATAAGGCCAATCTTATTCTAAAGTTAAATTAGAGTTTAGTTTTATTTTGATATCTTTTAAGTTAGACCCCGAGTGGAGGGTCATTGTATTCCGAAGTACGGAAGTCACTGTATATAAAGAAAAAAATAAAGGGTTTTGTATACCCTTCGTCTGTATCCTGTCTACTTACTACAATTAGTGAACATAGCTTTAGTAAGCTCTCTGTTCTAGTCAGGTCATTGTATGTTTCCGAAGAAGGTTAGAAGAAACATTGAACCTGATAAGTTTATCCTTTGAAGTAAACAGAAACTATGAAGTTGTACTCCAATAGCGAAATTCCATTTGGTCTGTAATTATTACTTCATTAATTATGTGCCACATTCTGATTGCAATGCTTTTAATTAATCAAGCTATGATGATATCTCTAGAAATTACGACAAATTTTTTTATCGAAGTACGGAATTTTGTGTCGGGAGCTTTTGCTTAGGTAAAAGAGAATGGCAGCAGGCTTTCGTAAAATTTCATTAAATAATGCTTCTTCCGATATCCGAGAGGTAAAGACTATTTTGACATCAATAAGATGCAAAAACACTTTCCACAATTAATAATTATAATTAAACAGAAAAATTACAACAAAAAGGCTAAGAAAGAAAAGGAGAAAAACAGCCAGATTCTGACTACATCGAGTGATCAAGCTTAAGGTATCAAATTTTCGAGGCCTCAAAATCTTAGTGCAGTTTCTCATAATTCAGTCTCCCTCCTCAATAAAACGAGGGAAGTAGGCATTTTGGGCTCTGAAATATTGGGGTGACCAGGGTTGCAGTGTGCTTTGATTGAGGTCTAAAATTACCACGGGATGTTTGAAGAGCTAGAAGAGTGCTGATTATAAGTCTATTGTGTATGTTATCAGAGAAGTGTATCAGAAAAGTGTATGTTATCAGGGAAGGAATCAGATATGCTTAATGCATTCTCTGGATATTACAATTTGGGTGAAGAACAGGCAGTGTGCAGTTAAGTTCTAGAGCTTGTTAGACATCCCAGATCAAGAAACATAAAAAATGAACTCTTCCCCCGTAAGGATTTGAACTATGGATCTTCCACTTTCCAGCCAATAACAACACTAGAGCATACATGGAGGAATTCCTTACAAAATCACTCTCCAGAAAAGCCTCTTTGATTGTGGAAAAGAGTAAAAGGGAAAAAATGAGCTATTTAACTTTTACCACATTTAATAGTTTCATGCTTAAAAATTTATACTAAATAAACAAGAAATACAAAGTGTCCACAAGATCCCTGAACAAATTTACTTTATAATCGTGAGCACCCTGTAAAAGATAGTGCTGTAAATTTTTATCATGTTATTACACGCACATTCAAGTTTTCCAAACAATTCGCTTTGGCTTAATATACATATAATATGAGGTTTTGTATATCTTAAAATCCTCATGCTATATAACAAGGGAGTTGAAGCTAGACAGCCCGAAAGTGAATTTTTTGGTGTGCGATGCTACATGACAAGTTTTCAAAACCATTTCTCTTCCATGAACAGACAATAAGAGCCGGAGTTTACCTCGATTCTAATTACATTTGCCCACAGGTCGGAGGACCTCAACCAGAGGCCATTTTTCGGTAGGATGGCGCGTCGCCACATTGGACATTGTGTGTTCGCAGGTTTTCTTGACAAAATTTTCCCAACAAATGGATCGGAACCGATTCCACGGCCACAACGTTTCCCTGACATAAAACCCGTTTGAACTTCTTTTTGTGGGGATATGTTAAAGACATTGTTTACCTCTCAAAAGCATCAAACATTGCAGACCTGAAGACCCTAATTCGCAAAGCCATTGCAACCATTGATCATGCCCTGTTTCATCATACATGGATGTAGCTGAAATATAGGCTTGATATATTGCGCGCAGCCAATGGTGCGTATGTAGAAGCTGTGTAACTTGTGTTACTTAACATAAAATCATTGAATTTTGCTTGTAACATATAAGTAAGCTGTTCCATTCCCGAATAATAACCTGTTAAAGTTGTTCAAGGACTTGCTGGGCACATTTTAGTTTTATATTAAGTAAGCATCCATTACGTGCACTTACATTCTTTAGATTTTTTCAAATATATATCTGTTACTATGTTATGCAGAAAAAAAACATTATTGCAGTGTAACCGTAAATGCCAATAACAGAAATTATTTGTCAGTAAATTACAAGCTACAATTATTTATTTTTAATATGCACTAAATTAAGAAAATCCTACCATAATGCCACTAGTCACGTGAGCTTTATACTCCGGGTTGACGCATGCTCCATTCACCAGCGCGCAGGCGTCGTATACGAAGGCTGGATCTTGGTCATCACCATCTGCCACGTGAATTGTGAGAGTAGTGGTGGAAGTTAGCCTTTGAGTGGTGTCTAAAGCTTTATCCTAGAAAGAAATCATTTCGTATCATTCGAAGACGAAACTGATAACATAAGAAAATTGAAAATGGCAGTAAATTTAAAAATTCTTCTCATTAAAAAAATACCTGATTGTTAATATAATTTTCGTTCAGAACTCAGTTTTAAAAACTGAAAACTTTTAAAAATAATGACATGATTACCCCAGAGAAGTATTATTATTTTCGCTTAATGATGTTTACCCAAGTAAAGGCTCAGAAGTTAATGACAGTTGACGAGGCTTATCATCTTCCATTTATTTCCCTATTATAAATGTGTATTGCCAAACAGTGTAAATAACATGAATAATTTCAGAAAGGATTTTATTTGCAATTCTTTAAAACAGTTGAAATATAAGAAAGTCTCGTTTTAAATCTTAACTTTAATAAATAAAGTAGTGATAATCGTTTGTAATAAGTAAAATATTACTATTACTAACTCCTGTTTCCTCTATCCACTCTTTAGACTGTGCATGCTAATATACTACACTTATTAAATCCTATGTCCGTTTTTGAAAACAAACACTAGAGTATCTTACATTCATATGTAGAAGAGTGAAGAGAATAGTAAACTGTTTTTCTCCTCGCTCTACTACATATACTACAAATTAACAAAAATCTATTAGTTAACAAATATTTGGTTATATTATTATATAGGTATATAAGCTCACAAGTCTTTTATTAAGTCTTCCAAGTTTTCCCCTGTAAGAGGAAGATTCAACTTCCTTTACTTTCTTAAACTTCCCTGCCTATGATTTTAAAGGAGATACGAGTTTCAGGAAATTATTCAAAATAGTCTCCCTCTTCAGAAGCATCCTAATAATACAGCGTGGTACTGTAATTGAAGAGATCAACCACTTTCTTCATATCAGTTAACTCTTTATTCTCAGCTTACGCTATTTGGCTGTGATATGGGCTTCTTCTCGCTTCTGATTAAATAAATTTTCGTTTTGAGAGTTGTGGAATTAGTTGAAATTCCTCTTCTTCAGAAGTTGCAGTAAACATGGTTGTAGTAGGGCATGGCTACATTGTTCTTCTCTTCAGCAGAAGAAGGTTTTATCTGAGCTTCCTGATGTTTCTGACAGAGAAGTTTTGCGGTAATACTTGAAAACAAAAAAACAAAAACAAAAAAAAAAAAGGTTTATTTGTTTGCATATTTGATTTTGTTATGCCTGAATAATGTTTTGAAAATAAAGGAAATTTAACTCCGCATTTAATGTGTGAAGAAATTTCTGGGCGGTTCGTTAGGCAAAATATTTTCGGTCCATGCACATGTTCATCATGAGAGGTACCATTATGTATAACTGATAAACTGAACTGGCAATTGCATATAAAACGGTGTTTATATACATTGATTTCTAGCCATTCAGTTAATATTGAAAATGGAAAGAGTGCATTTTTAAATGTTCGATCTGATAGCCTCTTTTCTGGACTGGAAAGTTTGCATCGTGATTTCCATTTTCATGAAATTTCCAGAGGTACTGGTTTCCATTCCTTTTTCATAGCTTTACAGAGTCCATCAAGCGTAATGGGTTTGCGCTAAGAAAGAGCAACCTTCAAAAGATGAAAGACACAATAATCCATAGATCAAACGTTACGGTACTTTGAAGGAATAAGTAGAAAAGATATATATGCAATACTTATTCTTAATTTTTCAGGTAACGCAGTGATACGTTTTGAAACACGATTTTTTGTTTTGTTTTGATGAAGTTTCACTCTTTGAAAGCTATTGGAATAAATAAATAGAATTTATTTTGTAAATATGAGGTAAAACTTTTCTCTTGATAGTACATTGAGTTGATTTCAACATTTTCCCGATTGTTTTTATTTTTAATTATTTTACTTTGTAAGAGAATCCTACGACGGTCCTAAACCCTTTATTTAAACTTCCATTGCATTGACAGAACCAGGTTTGTACACTTTTTTAATTCCTTTTCGATAATAAATAAAGCCTTTTTTTTATTGAAGTCATTTAAATAAATCCATGATTAATCAAGGGTTATCAGTGTATTCCCATTTGCTCCTGCTAAATAGTTTTCATACAGGGCTCTACAAATTGTTCTCTATTGAGTCACAGGTTAGTGAAGATCATGATTTTAGCCTTTTTAAGTTGTAAATCTTAGTTTATATTATTATATTTATTGTTGATATAGAAATATATGATATATTTAAAGATATATAATATATTACATATTTAAAGACTTTGCAATTGATTTCTTCATCTCTTGTTACAAGCGATTTAACTTTATCAGAAACCGTTGGTACCTTCTTCAGGTATTCATTTGGAATCTCCTTTTCATGTAGAGGTACTGATTTTCCAATTAATAATGTTGCTTTTTCTGCGCTTTGAAGTTTTAATATCATGAACTTCCCAATATTTCTGAATTATAGACTAGGAATATTTCTCTTCGGAAGCGCAAAAACATATCCTTCAATTCATAGCTTGTTTATATGCGACATTTTGACAGAAAGATAAATTTAAAGGTAGCAGACGATATTTTTCCTTTCAAATAATAAACTGTTGCGAGAAATTTGCATTCTCAAACATTTACTTTTTTAAAATTCTTTAACGAAATCGTTCTAAAAGTGTGTAATCACACTCTATAACTGAAACTTTTCTTTACCTCGTAATTAGATGAAAAAGAATGCAGTAATTACCTTAGCGAGTACTGTTAAATAGTAGATACTTGATTTCTCGAAATCGAGAGTCTTTTTGACTGTCACTAGCCCTTGGTGAGGAAGATTTATGGAGAAGAAAGGATAGCCATCTCTCTGCAAGAAAAAAAATCGAAAGCTTAAATAATGAGGACAGAAAGCAAACATCTATGTAAACAAATTCACTCTATATATCAAAATAAACTAATGTTGAAGGCTAGAAATTAAAGTATCCCAAAATTTATTGAAAATTCTTTTAAAATTTATATTTTTTTCCTGTTTGGGAGGAAAATCGTAAATTTTAAATTTTAAAAATATACAATTTTTTTCAAAATTTATTAATTTTCATCGAATGATTATTAATCGAAACGTATAAAGTATCAGATAGTAAATAGCTTGTCACGGAGAAAATAAGCATGAATGAATGGCATAATGAATAATGAACTCAGAAGCTGAGATACAAAAACCTTAATAAAAACCGTTGCTTAGTATTTAGTTATAAAATCATACATCTATAAAATGTAAGCCACAGCCATGTAAATGCTACACATTAAAAAAAAAAAAAAAAATCAAGGGGGGGGACAGTTCTGTATCTCCCTTTCTACTGGGCTGATTGAAGAAATTTACATGTCTCGAGAGAGCGACTGAGGATATATATTAGATTTATATATAGCATTGTTCTGGCATAGATATTTTGTCATACAATCAGACTTTTTCTGAAATGACATAACGATTTTGTTTCATTATTTCGATTCTACGGTTCAGAATATACCTAAATATTAAATTTTGTAAAATTTGATAAGAAAATAAAATTTTAAAATAATTTGAAATTAATAAATAAAATTTATTTTAGAGCACTTTTTTTAGTTCGGGCAAAAACAAATTTCATTTGGCGGAATTCTTAATTTATGGCAATTTATTTCGCTTCCTTTTCATTGTGAAGGAGTGAACGATCAGTAAAGTAAAAAAAAAAGGGCATCGATTATTCCTTCAGATAATTTTAACAAAGTGCATAAACCATGTTTGGCATTAGTATTAGTATTTCTTATATCAAATATGCCAAATTTTGCAATGCTCCAATATATATATCTTGGAAAATTTTGAATAAAAAACTAATTTTTTGCAGCTATGCCTAGAAATACATCAACTTTACGGCGATGGTAAAAGTTTTATAGGTTATAGTTTCAAAATGTTTTAAAAAATTTACAAAAATTTCTAAAAAATACAAATATTAAAAATAAATCAACAAAGCGAATTTTATTTGAACTAATCCTAAATTTCGATTTGGAAAAGAAGCAATCAATAAAGTTTAATAAAATAGAAATATTAATGAATATATATATAAATTATAAGAAATTCAATTAACACCGAGGCCCTAAAATTTTGAGAGCTAATTTTAAAAACTAATTGTGAGATTTTTACAAAACTTGGCACTTTGTCATAACTTTAGTCGCAGAAATGAAGTATGAGGGAAATATCAGTATGTGGTTTAAGAAAATGTCCGATTTTATGTCAAAATACTTATGTTAGAGTAATGCTGTGTGTAAATGTAATATATATCCTAAGAAGCGCTTTCGAGATATAAAAAACGCAAGTTAAATTACGTCAATCGGCCCAGTAGAACGAGAGATATAGAATTGTCACCTCTTTTTGTGTGTGTGCAGAGTGTACACAATAATATATAAACAGATACACAATTATATAAAATACTATATGAATCAAAATTACATGCATAAAATAATATATATAAATAAAGGTCACATTATGGTGACAATTATGTTATACTTCTAATAATTGTTACGTTTTCCAACTGATCTCTTCTTTCTCGGCTACCATGGGCGAATGCAGTAATTACATTATGTTCCGAATAATTAAGTTTCTCTCTCTTAAGTTCTTACTTTGTTATACTGTTATCTAACTCATTAGTGTCCTTTATTATAATTCATCTAATTCAAAAGCTGATATAAATCTCAGTTACTCGAAAATACATTTAAAATTCTGTGATTTTGTGCGACGGCTTCTGCTAAAGCCTAGCCAGATGAGTTAGATTAGATTAGTTACTATCACTGTTGGGAATGTGTTTCCTGCTGTGCTTAATTGGGCATGACTCTGGAATAGCCTAGTTTAGGGGTAAGTGGAAATTTGAGAGTTATATGATTTCCAGGTATCCAGTTGAGTGAAGAGTTGGAAAGTGTAGATAGTTATTTTTGAACGGTAAATATTAGTTGTTTTTCCAAGTTAGCAAAATCTTCAAGTTTTCTGTTGCACATTATCTTGTATTATACAGTATGAAGCACGAAAAATCGGCCCACGTTAATATGCAGATAGATGCTATCTCATCTCATCTGTTGCGAGCACTTCAGATTATCTCACTGTCGGTACAAAAGCAGTAAAAGCGTAGGAAGGAGCTCAGTGATATGTATTCAAAGAAGAATCGAAATAAGTTGCAACTCATGGCGGGTAGATGATTTAAGTGTAGCAAGATTTTGTGCCTACTCTACTATATGGTATAACTAAAAATAACAATTAAAATAAAATAAAATAAAAGTAATCTCAAAGGTTTCAGATTTTAAATTACGTCCAAAGGGGCGTTTTTTAACGTTTTGTGTGTTACCTCTATTTATTAAATATTACGTTCTTTGCACTTAAACCATAAAATTCACTTCAATAGCAGTGTCGCAAAATAATTTTAAAATGAGCTTACCTTTAGAATTTTCGATACACACTTCGGCGCGCTGGAGATAAAAAGGTTTTTTTTTTTTTTTACCCCCATAGAGTGTTGCCATTATTCGCTTTTAAATCGTTGAGTTTGTTACTCAAAAATTCGTTAAAGTTTTACAAAATATGAAATCGATAATAAAGCAAATTCCAAATTTCAAATTTGGTCTTCCACATGCCCATATTCGTAGGAGGATTACGTCATTCAAATTCGATGGCTCTATGTACTGTTGTTTTATCACAATGCGAGAAATATACTACATACACTTACGTAGATTTTCATTATTTAATTTCTTCAAATATAATGCAGGACTCTAACATTGGGTGGCAACAGTCTGAAAAGTGATTCGCCGTTTATAGTGATTCAACGCAAAATTGCAAAACGAAAACAATAGGGGACTAAGCTCCCCTTTGGACTAATAAAAGTGTAGTTACTGTTTATTTAGCTGTGTTGTAATTTTTCTTATTCTTATGAGCATTATAACTCGACACTGTAACTTAAGATAATCCGTCAAATTGAAGAGATGGTTTGACAAGTAAAGAATTAAACTTAAGACGCACAACATTAGAACAAATATAATACTAGATTAGGACAAGTACAATACTAGATTTAATAATTGTTAGCTGCATCATTTAATAAGAAAACACAAAAGTTGTCCAAGAATGAATGGTGAGTTTTTCATGAAGTCCAATGAGCACATGAATTATTTGAGGTTCTCTTTAGAATAGTACCTGATATGGCTTAAAATGGAGATGGACTTTTTATTCCTGTTGGAACAAACATCAATTTCAATACATACTTGACAACTTCAAAATGTATTTCGCATTATCAATAATATACTTGTAACTTCTTTTTTGTTCCATTATATATCAAACAAACGAAAATGGAATACGCATCGTTGAGCCGCAATTCTTTCACAAAATGCATCATCAACCCACTTTAAATCTTGTACGAAATGAGTTAATTTTTGATTTCCAGAACGGTGAATTGGTATAATTGTATTTTCATGGCCCACAAGAAGCCCTAATCGCCCTCCTTATATCTTTTCTTCTGGGTATTTATTAAATCTGAGAATATAGTGATGAAAAAACTGATCTTGACCGCGTTAGGGACAGAATCACACGAGCAAATGCAAGTGTTACAGCAGAAGCATTTCCACAGCATGGATTGAAACTAAATTTCTCTGCGACGTCTGTTCTACCATTAATAATGCGCATATTGAAGCTGATAAATTTTGCACCTAATATTTTTAATATAATGAATTAAGTAAAAGTCCTGTGTTTTTGAAAAAATACATACATCACGCAAACATCGTGAAATATAACCATTCATACTCGAAGAGCCTGTACGTTTTATTAAAATTCAACACCATTTCATGAAATTCAGTCTATGTTAACATGTAGAATCTTAAGGTTTCTTTTATTTTATTTTGGAGCAGGAAAAACTAAAAACCAGCAATCAGGTCCGAGATTTGAATTTCGGACCTTCCGATTGGTAGCCGGACATGCTTTCCAATTGTAATATACACGAAGACAGGCGGTGAAGAAAAAGAAAATTCCATACAAACTTAAAAATACACTTGGGGACATAAAGCAAGCAAATTATTTTTCTAAAAAAGAACAACGGTTGCAATAATACATATATTTAATTAAGAAACTAATTAAAATAATCCCAAAGACTTAAAACATTTCTCTGACTATTTAATGCCATGAATATAAATCTTAAAAAAGAAATTATAAAACTTACCTCGGTGGAATCCCCGGGAGCTGTTGAATATTCCACAAGTCCATTACTGTCTGAATCCGCATCGCTGGCCGACAGATCCCTAAATATTGTGGTACCGACCGGAGTCAGCTGCAACCAGATATACATCATTAACAAAGCAATTTAAGTTTGAAACTGCTTGTATAATTTTATACTGTTTTATGTGCAATATTTAACAAAGTTTTTATAGTTGCTTTGATGTTAGTGGCATGGATATCGGCATATGTTTTCTAGATGTTAACAGGAGAAACCTGTACGAAAGTTAATGTAGTAATGAACATATTCTGCGGTGTTTTTAAAATTTTATCTCAGAATTACTCTTTCGTTCTTTGCATTTTTTAGTATATTTTTTGTTCATTATGCGGTCAATACATTTCTAGGTTATATGCTCCAAACGCAAACTGCATTATCGTCTTGAGCCACTCTAGCAGTAAGTAAATTTAAGCAGTATTGGAGAGGAATTAAGATAATAACAAGCAGCAGAGAATGCCGAGATTAGATTCTCAGCATTGGTTGCTATTTTAGTGTGATTAGATTCTTGAGACTTTTCAGTATCTGCACTCACCATTCAGCTGACTTCTTAAATTTTGAATTTTACGTACTTTAGAATTCACACCACAAATAAGGCCGTATGTTAATTTAATTTGCTGCCAACACCAACAATATTAAAACAGATTTTATTATCCTTAATTCAAGTGTTGTTCGAAACGAAGTGCTTCATTATCTATCTTCAACCTGTAAAGAGCATTCTAATGCCTTCAAATATCGCAAAAATTTTCTAGTTGCTGTTTAATTTCATTGTTTATACATGAATAAATTTTATTTAATATTTTAAGCTGGTTACATTTCTGTTGCATTATTATTGTTTAAAGTGTGGTTAAGTTTTACATGGACAATATATCGCCAATGACGGCAAAATTTAATCAGCAGGTTAGCTGATGGTAGTAAGGAGCTAAAACTGCAAATTTGTATATTACTTATTCTTCATTTCAAGTTGTTTCTATCTAATACGAAATAAGCTATTTTTCAACTTTGCTTGTTCTGCTTGTCATCACGTTGCAATCTATTGGTGTTTTTGCACCTTCAAAAGAATTGCTTTTTTGTTTTTCACAGATTTGAATGTATTGAAAAATTAGGTTTGTTATTGTATTATTCCTCATATTCATCATATTCATTCGAAAAAATAAAACAGGTTTTCCGATGTCCAAAAAATCTAGGGTCCAAAAAATCTAGGGTTAATGTCGAAAATAGTTACTTTACTTCAGTTTGAAATTTAATTATTACATACCTCGGAGACCGTTGTTTCGTAGGACCTTGCTTTGAATATGGGTGGATTGTCATTGATATCTCCTATCCTTATTACGACAGGAATATTCCTCTAAAAGAAAAAATGACACATAATTAGAATTTTGATACAAATATATCGCCGACTGCACCTTTTAGTTTGCATGATAAGTCTAGCTCATAGATGACACTAGTAAAGCCACTATTGGTGATGTCGGTACAGAAGGATTTTGGAGGGAGGGAGTAATTTTCATTTTTAGATGCTTCGGATGCCTGCGAAATGTTTAATGATTATTTGAATTGCCTAAAACTAAAAGGTATTTGCATACCTTTTAGTTCATACAGCAGCAGACGGATAACTGATGACTTGTGATTAGCTAGCCAGAACCACAAACCGCTATTCAACAAATCTTCTCAAATTCCATCTTGCATCCTTTAAGATTTGGGCACCCTAAGTTGTAAGTGAATACTCTAAGTTTTTAGCACTGTAAAGTAATCAAAAATAGAGAGAAAATAGAAAATAGAACGAAAAGGTAATCCAGAGTAAGCGACGGCACTTAACCCAAAATCGTTGCTCCAACAATTAGGCATCTGAAAGTGATGCTGAAATAGCGTATGATGTCTGCAGCGTATATCATCGTGCAATAAATCCGAACCCCTCATCTAACGCAGAATATATGGTAATAATTTCTAGAACCTCTTCCCAGAGAAAATCAGAGTTTCCTTTGAAATATCTAAGCAGTACAAAAACTGATGATTTGGCGATACTGCTTCTGTAAAGAATTTATTTGCATGATGGCAGTAGAAGGTATTCATATTTATTGATGGCAGTCATCAGACATGAGTCAATTGACATATTTTCAAAAGTTATCACCGCTGGAGAGGACAAATTTCTGCACAAAAGAAAAAAATCATTGGAGCTATCTACATCCCCAAAACTCCTTGCTCATTCTATCCAGCGTTTTTAGAGACATAGCAAAATATTACAAACGAATAAATAATTTTGAAATCCAGGCTTGAGCATTTAGAGTAAATAAGGAACTAATCTTTAATAATCGATGAATGTTTTGCTTATAAACTTTGTGAGGTACTTCTGTAACTAAACAGTTAATGTTACGAACCTTGCTGTCACTTCTCTTTTGCATTTTCTGAGCCACCAGCATTCGAGGGGTAAAATCGCTGAACACTGATAGTTTCGAATCCAGGAGAACGGGCTGGCTGCATGGGCGTCTTCATGGTTTTCTTCATGTGTAACGTGTACACTTAGTTTACACGTATACTTAGTCTTACCAGTTTACCTTAGAAAGTCTTCCATGAAGACATTCCTTCCCTAAGGCAGATAGCCCTAGTGTATCTGCCTAAGCCATAAGAAACTAAACCAAACCAAACGCTTTTCTTTTTCCGCCAGAATGTAAATTTTAGCTCGCGTGTATTTAAGTGACGGTTTGAGATTGCTTTATTCAGAGCCTGTTCCGCCTGCTGAAGGCGACGTACTTCTTGAATACCACTGTAGCATTCCTATCTAGTGCGTTGCTTTATGTTTGCAGATTCGCCGGTGTAGCTTAGAATGAACTTGCGAGGTTAATTATCTCTGCGTAACCTTTGGCTAAATAAGACTTAAATTTAGTTTTAATTTAAAATTCTATATTTTTTTTTAATTTCACGCAATAATTTCTGGCCGGTTTTGAAAGCACCAGAAGGCATCTTCTGCTCAATTTATTTCAGTTCTTAATAAAAAAAGTCTTTTGAACCCGTAGTACGTTTCAATTTGCTTACCTAAACATAGCGATAAGTCGTTTAGATCTACAAAGGAGTCTTAATTGATAAAGTATTTCTTCCGCCTTCTTAGCATGCCTTCGTGGTGTAGTGGTCAGCACGCTCGACGCGAATTCGAGAAGTCCGTGGTTCGAGTTCCGGCGAGGGCATTGTCATTTTTCATATCTCCTGCTTCGAAATAACCTAATGACTCTACAAACTTAGCGTATGTTACCAAAATAAGACTCTACAACAAATTAGTTTTCTGTTTAAGTGGAAAGAGGGCTGGTAAATGTTTTACCCTCTTGCCAATCTAAAACAGCTGAGGTTATAAGGTATTTCCTCTAGCATGACTTCGTAGTGTAATGGTCAGCATACTCAGCGCTTATTCGAAAGGTCCAGGTTCGAGTCCTGGTGAGGGCATCGCTCATTTTTCATGTCTCCTGTTTGTCTCTACAAGGTCGTGTACTGCATTAATTATTCAGCATTTAAAGTGAACAAAATGGCAACCCTTATCAGTTTGATCGATTATGTTTCTAAATTAAAAGTTATTATCTAAATTGGTTAAAGTACGCTTGAGATGCTTTCTAATATCATACATACTACTGTTGTTTACCACAATATTAAACAATTATCTATTCATTAATAAGAGAAGTCAACGACTGCCAGAAAATTAAAAAAGAGGGAGAATTCACAGCAAAATGCATGCTTTTGATACATTAATATGATGCTACTTCTCGTCTCTTGCGTTCGTTTTGCAGTGAGAAATCGTGTAGAGTTTCATATTAGGATCTTTTAAAACTGCTTATGTTCTTCGGAGACGTAAGAACTCTTTCAGTCAATTAAACACGTGGCTTTAGGAACATTTTTTACTAATTACAATAATGCTTCAAATGTTAGTATTAAACCAAAGGATTCTATCCTGCGATGTATAATACAGGATGCTCAAATCATCTTTCATTAATTAAAATAATGCTATGAATATACATAAAACTTATAAGTTTGAAGTATTATAAAATAGATATATTATTAAAATAAAATTAAATTGCATGCAAATGTGACCATCAAGGCAGTCGGTACCCAATGACCTCCAAGTTGATGATCACCGATGTAAGGTCGCGAAGTCTTATCAAGAAGTAAATTTAAATAGCTCAATTTGTTAAGAAATCACAGATTTCAGGATCCTGGACTTTGCCGAGCAACAACAATTTATAAGATTTCGTTTGGTTGAGCAAACTAAAATTATATTAAAAAAATGACAGTGTAGATAAAAGAAGAATAAGCATTTTTAGGTAGGATCTGGTTGATCGGTAGCTCGGTTTATTTGTTCCCGGTTAATACAGAGTTGATAGTGTAACATATCAGAGTCGCTCTGTAAAAATTTCACTGAGGATATTTCTAGTAGCAGAAGTCTATGAGCATGTGGTTAAAAGTATGGATTTACTTGTTTGTTTTGTTTTTTTTTTCGGTCAATGATTTAAACAACAACAAAAAAAGAAAAATTAGACAGTAGAAGGAACATAGACTTATATTGTGCTTTTCAGAAACATACGTTAAGACGCATCTTGAAGCATTTTCAATTACGAGAGAATGATAACTTAATTTTTTAATTTCTATTGAGAAAGTAATTGTTAATCTTTTTACAATTTTACCTGTTCGGAAGAGAACACATCACGGCAAGATATCTGTAGTCGTACCATGGTGAGTTTTTCAGCCTAAAATAAAATATTCTGAGTTAAGTTATTAATTCCCAAAGAACATTTTAAGAAAATATTAAAGAAACTCAGTTAATAACTTTAAAGGTATACTTAAAAAATAAGTATATGTTTAAAAAATAGGTAGTACTTAAAAATACTTAAAAAGGTATACTTAAAAGATACCGAAAAGAACAGATTGAGGCCGAATATTCTAAGATGACTTAAAATATCTAAATAAACAAGTATGTAACTGCATTTGGAAAAATATCAAACAGTCTTAATATTGCCTTACTGATCTATTGAAAGTTTTAATTATGATAACGAAAGTTGTTTAAAAAACTCAAATTGGACTTTAATTTTATAACTAAGAAAAGCGTTTCTTTTCTTTCAGAACACTTAATTAATTTTTTAAAATATCAAGATTTGCATTTAAAAATATTTTTTATTTTAAAGGTGTTTTTCAAATAAACTACTATTACACTTAAACAATCAAAGTACTTGCTAATAAAAATTTATATTTTTATTAGCAATATAGTCATTTTTCGCTTGGGGGAAAAGAAAACTATTTTCAGTAGACACATTAAGAAGTTTCGCAAACTATTTCCAGAAGATATATAAGTATAAAGAAGTTTCGCAAACTATTTACAAAAGAAACAAAAGTATTAGGAAGGTTTCCAATAAGTTGAAAAAAGGCAATAACGGAAAAAAACTCAGTTCAAAATGTCCTATCATGTCGTTTCAAAGTGAAATCTTTAATGAGGAAACCTATTTTTTCAGTGCTTGAAGTAAGTAACGTCTATTTAAAAATTGAAGAAAATTGCCTAATTAGTTTTATATTATCAAAATTAAATACATTATACAAACATATTTCCTAACATGGAAGTTTAAGAGTATTGCAGGTGTAATAATTGAAATGTGGGAAGTGTTTGAAAAAGAAATTACGAAAAACCAGTAAATTAAGTTAAAGATTCAAATGCTTAATAATATCATTTCTGATTTATTAAGTCAAAGAATATGGTTTTTAGATTGAAATTTTAATTATGTTGAAAAATATAATTTTGTGATTTTTTCCGATAGGGTAAAGATTAAATATCTACTATAGCCCGTTACTTAATTAGCAAGAATATTTGAAAATAGTCATTAGAAAAATTAGCTTCAACATTAAATTCTTAAAAACGAAATATTTCTTAAACCTTTGCTTCGAGGTACATAAAGATTCAACTGGGGAATCTGAATGCCAAATTTCATAGCACTCTGAATATTTCTGTGTATATATAATGGATATGGAATTCCATTCAAGAATATTCATAATATGGAATTCCATTCAAGGCAAAAATACTTATTTTTATAAGTAATAAAAGGTGCTTAGCGAAAGGCAAATGCTTATTAAAACCTTTATGATAATGTCGAGATGAAGTAATTGCGTTTAATGTTCATCCGTTTAAAAATACATAGGGTTAGATATAAATATAAGAAATACATGCCTGCACGACTCTAATTAAGTAACGTAATTCACAAAAAATTTAATCCGTCGATTATTCAAGAACGACTTTAGTCCTAATCTTATGAAGCATTTCAGCATTTGTATGGTCTGGCAGATTTCAAATGCGTTATTAAAGATCCTCACAATATTTTCACAACTCTTTTGGGCGACAGTTAAAATATTAATCATTTCAGAATTTTCTTTTTTTTTACAGCTATTTTATTTCGTTTTACTTATGTTCATATCTTTCAAATAATGGGTGATCTTTTAAATTATATGCAATTATCAAATGTTAAGTTTTATCAGTGTTGCGATGTTAAATGCTACGATAATATGGAGAATTCCATTCAAGATATAAAAAATACTATTAAAGAATTTTTTTTAAAAAACTTAACTTTTGAATTACTACGTTAATATTACAGAAACTGCTGCTCATAACTGCACAGTAAGAAATGATAAAAGTTACATAGAAGTATACTGACTGTTATATTTTCTTACTACAAATCAAATAAGAAAATTACCACTGTTAAACTATTTTTTCAGTCTCTCTAATTTCATTAAAGTTAAAAAAATAAGAATAATTGGTAATTATGAATTATAGAACAATATTAATACTGTATAGAAAAATCTCTGAAATTTAACAAAATACGTTCGGATTAAAAACTGTGGATTTGATTGATTAGTAACTATAACATTGTGTCCTGTATGACATATGTTACTTATGGGATTCGTAACACATCTCAATATTTTAAGTTAATTAACCCAACTAGCGTGTTACCTTGGCTTTACCTTTTTCCCTACTTTCCTCAGCTTTCACTAGAATGCAAATTAGTTATAATGTATAAATAAGCACAGCTTTCTTAAGTTTAGAAGGAAAGTGCTTAGCAGAATAAGCTTTCTATCACTCAGTTCTTCTGCTTCGTACATTTCATTCTTCAATATTATGAAGGGTACAAATAAAACTTATAAAAAAATTTTAAACTCACATCTCTGTCAATCGGTCGCTTCAACCGTAGCCGCTTTCCATCGATTGCGAAGTAATCCGCTGTGGCAGTTTGAATTCCCAGTTCTACTTGTGGAGGTGTTCCACGGATGGGAAGTTCTGATGGCACTGTTGTCTGATTGACCTCTGCGTTTAAATAAATAAATCAATCAATCATTCTCTAGTTTCAGTGTCATAGCATTTTCAGTAAACAAACGAGAACATTGATCTCGTGTTGACTCGTGTCGTTCAATCATATTAAACGCGACAGCTCACCGAACGAGATCGCGTAAAAGCGAACTCCCTTAGAAATTAATAATAGTATTTCCCATATATTTACTAGCAATATTTATGTGTTATAAATTAGATATGTCTATTTTTTAGCATGCATTATGCATTTCATTCTTATTTTGCCTTCCAATTCAGTTAAAACCTTATTGGTCGAACTGTAAAATTATAAATAATCTTCTTTCTGAAAAGATAATATTTTAAAATAGGAATTTTTCTCCCCCACAAGCTGAAGTTTCGTCATGTATTTTGCTCGTTCGAAGGAAAACGAGGAATAAATTCAGTTACAAATACTCAAAATAAAACAGACACTTTCTGTAATAATTTCTTTGGGTGCTAAACAGAAGAATGGAGGAGTGAATTGAAAAAAAAAAAAAAAAAAAGTGATTTAATATGCTGTCAACAAGTGGAGATGCCGATCGTTGTAATGGAATGGCCACTATGAGAGCACTGTCAGTGTTTACTAATTGCTAAAAGGAATGTTACATTACTAATAGAATTGGTTACTTATATTGTGATTCAATTTCACAATAATATGTCACCTGCACAAAAATTTTGGGGCTGCTCAGCTGTTATATTGGGTAGAAATGCTGACTGCCCTTTCGATGGACCTGGGCTCGAATCGTGGAGAAAGCAAAAGTATAGTGTCTCTGCAAGGGGGCACTCAAAATGAACGGGGAACCAAAAGTCCTTCTGAGAAGCTGTGATAGGGAAAAAGGGTGGGGGGACATTCAAATTCACCAGGGCTTTCACCTTCAAAGCTGGAGTATATCTGCACAGTTAGTTCAACGGAACTATACCTGTGCGATCAATGGTGAATTTCTGGTGTTCCGCCACTTATACCTGTATCTGTGCAACTACAGTACCATAATTTCTCCGGGACTCCTGTGCATTGCATCCATTGGAATTACAATTTCATTCAAAGCCTAAGAAGTACCGTAGCCAGTCTCCATCTTGAGTACTGGAAAAATATGTGCATAAATCGTGTTTCAGTTTTTACTATTGTCTTTAAAGCTTGTAAAGAAAGCGAATCATTTAAAGCATCCATAAAGGAATAAATCCTCTAAGAAAAGAGTCGAAAGTATGCATTCGCAAGTTTGAAGTTTTTTCCAGTAAATGTACAAGCAATTTAGTTCGTAGATTTATTTTGTAATAAAAATGAAACAGAGATGAATACTGCACTGGATTTCAAGAGATGTGCGTATTCTTTTATGGGTATTGTCTAAAAACACAAAGACTGTTTTATTTACCTTCAGGAACATGAAAAAAATAATAACTGAATAAAACAATAAATTGAATGATAAAAAATGACTAATTATTATAAAATATAAAGAAATATAAATATCAGTAATTTTTTTTAAATTTAAGATAAATGTATAATAATGAATTAAATTAAAATAAAATTGTAGAGACATTAGGATTTTTTTTTTTTTTTTTTTTTTTTTTGGAAGCAGGCAAGATGAAAAATTAGCAATCGCCTTCGCCGGGAATCGAACCACAGACCTCTGGAATACCGTCCCAGAGTGCAGAACCACTACACCACGAAGGTATGATAGGAAAGCGGAAGAAATACCTTATAAAATTATCACTGACAATTAAATGAAGCAATAAAGCAACTGGAAGATAATTAGACTAGTGGTAGCGAGATATTATGTAAGCAGTAGAAGAGAAGTAAATATTTTAAACAATATTCTTTTGAATTAGATTACATTTCTCTTTTATTTTGACATCTAATCTATTCAAAGACTCCTTTAGCGAATGTATACAGCCCACAAATATTCCACATGTTGAAGGGGTAACATTTCAATGCCAATTTTTTCCCACCAAATGCTCAAGTGAGGCATAAATTCAGTTGGAAGTATCAATAACATTTTTACTATCCTCTAAAGAAAATGTTGCAAGAATAACATAACTTTCTATAAAAGTGTCTTTCAAATAAACAGCAAAATATTAAAGACTATTTTATTTCGAGATTTTGGTTAGAATTACAATTTCTATTGTGTTTAGCAAGTGAGATTTAACGTAATTTGTTGTTCGATCTGCATTTACTGTACGAAAGGTTTCCCGGCAACGTAACACCTAATATAAAGGAAACGATTTTGATCTTCTTCTAACTTTCTGAAATTTTTTTATGATTTCATCCTGATAATATTATTTTGTATACAATAAACTAGTTTGCGATATGACAGCTAATACACAAGAACTATTCTCGACCTCCACCCTGATTTTTCTAAAATATGCATACCCTTTCGATGGGCCTGGGCTCGAATCGTATAGTGTCTCTGCAAGGGGTCACTCAAAATTATTTCATTTGACCTCTGTTGGTAAGATTAAGCAAAAACACATTTTTTTGCATCTAATATTTTTAAAGTTTGAAAGGAAAAAAGAAGTTTCATGAACTGCAGTCAAAATTTGTATACATGTTTAAAATCCGTAGGTTTTTCAATTACAGTCGGGCCTTTGTGTCTGCAGTTAATACATTCTATGATTAATTGAGGATAATAATGAGCGCTATACGAAACAGATTATTCGTGTAACATGCAATTGCATTCGTGTTACAGTGAAGTTTAATTGGTGAGATATATATATTGCTAGACTTAACTAACTTTAAATACGTGCATACTATACTACTAAACTGAGTGATGCAAAATATACTATTCGCTAGGTTACATTCTCTTTTTCTTGTACGTATGAAAACAAAGGATTTTGACAGTTTACTCTAGCTCGTTAGATATAAGGCAAGTTAGCTATGTAACTGCTGTAATGTCTGAATATCCACTGCAAATATGTTCCAAGACCTATTGCTGTTACATATCGTACGATGTGTTCAACGCGTTATTCACGTGACGTATAGATAAAGTTCCATTGAAAAATATGCCCACTGAGAATAAATAAATTAATAATAAAAAGTAATGTGGGCAACATTTTAAATTTTTAGTAAACTTTCTCAACCTCAGTTTTTTAGAATAAAGAGTTTTGACATTTTAATCTTACTTTGAAGAAAAGACAATTTGATGAAAAATCACTTGTAAAAATCCCTTGTACAGCGATAGGTCTTAAACTTATTCTTAACAGCATCAAGCACAAAAGTATTGTATTTATGCTGTATACGTCTAAGAGCCTTCGCAAAAATTAATATTTTAATTTCCGTTAAAGCTGCAGAAGAATCAATAGAACAATAAAACATTACGCACGTGTATTTATGTAGTACATTATCGAAACCTACAGGGGTTGGACAAAAATATGGAAACACCTTTAAAAAAACATGTTTCTTTGCTTAATATGGTGTAGGAAACCCGTTGGCATCCAAAACAGCTTGCAGTCTTCTCGGAATGGATAAATACAGTTCCTGTATGTTTGCCAAGGGAATATTATCCATTCTTCCTGCAAAACGGTGGCAAGTTCAGATAACGATGTTGGCGGTGGATGACGAAAACGCACTTTCCGTTCCAATGTAGACCACAAAGGTTCGATTATATTCAGGTCTGGCGACTGTGGTGGCCAGGGGAGATGGGACAACTCATCCTCGGGCTCAGAAAACCAGTCCTGGACAATGTGAGCTGTGTGAACAGGGGCTTTGTCGTCTTGGAAGACACCATCACCATTGATGAACAAAGTTTGTACCATGGGATGAACTTGATCGGCAAAAATGTTCACATAAGTCTTGGCAGTCATGTGCCCTGACACAGTTATCATGGGGCTAGCAGAGAACCACGATATGGCTGCCCAAACCATAACAGAACCCCCGCCATGTTTCACTCTTGGCAACAAGCAGTCTGTATTATAGGCTTGAGATGGCGTTCTCCAGACGTAAACTCGGCCAGAAGTGGGAAACAATGTGAAAGAAGACTCGTCAGACCATATTACTCGCTTCCACTGCTCTATAGTCCAGGCTTTATGACTTAAACACCACCTTTTCCTGTTACGGGCATTAGCATCACTGATGAGTGGCTTCTCAATTGCAAGACGGCCAGCAATTCCCTGTTTATGAAGCTCCCTTCTAATTGTTTTGGTACTCACAGGGTTCGGTAACACAACATTCATTTCAGCAGTAACTTTTGCAGCTGTGGTCTTCTTATTTTTCGTCACAATTGCCCTTAATGATCGTCTGTCACGATCACTCAGCACACACTTTCGTCCGCGCTGGGATTTAGCAGATGATGTTTTTCCGCTTTTCAAATATGTGGAATAAATCTTCGATACAGTACCTCTTGAAACACTAAACACCTCGGCTACCTTGCTTACGGAAGCACCTACCATACGTGCTCCAACAATTTGCCCACGTTCGAAGTCTGTTAACTGTGACATAATGCAATAACAACTTTACATAACAGTACTCCGACAACAACTGAACTGTTTAGCACATTTACGAAGTTGTATAGGTGGCGTCAGTAGTCAAAAACGCCAGCGCCACCTACATATTTCATTAAAATCAATCTTTCTTTTCAAACATGCGTTTCACAAGGTGTTTCCATATTTGTGTCCATCCACTGTATAAGAAGACAATAAGAGGCATTATTGAGCTGCCGTAAGTCCGTTCGCCATTTTAAGTCCATTCTCACTTGGCAAGTATTATAAAACTTATAAACGACTTATTTCGGTTTTCCCCAGTCTGTACTTAATTAGCATTTACGGGGCAACAATAAATACAATTAAATCAATTCCCTTTTTCATATAGCATGTATACAAGAGTAAATATAATGTAATGAAGAATTTTTAAATAATTAACCTTAATTTTTTGATTAATTAAGGATTTTTTCCCTTAGTTTCTTTGTTAAAGAATAGGAATATACTGTATTTTATCAAGAAATCTCAAATGATACTTACGATTACCCCTACTTTCTAGAATATCCATTATTATTACACTTTCTCCCGTCTCAATCTCACATTCTGCAAATATATAACAAATTATTTCTTAAGTAAAAGTACTTCGAAATTTTCATGAAATGACTTTTCTAAATCAAAACTGTTTTGATACTCACGACTTCTACAGAGACATAACAACAGCCAAAAATACGACAGGGTGAGCAGGAGCCGTTCTGGTGCTGCCATCTTGTGACTCTATCTAAAATTAAAAGAGGGGGGGAGTATTAGTGTCAATTAAAATTGCATAAATCGTAGTCACAAATTAAGCTCTTCATTAAGGGTCATTTTCAGTACGATATGTTAAATATAAATTATATGAATATATTACTTATAGGTCACATAAAGATTTTCCATGTAAATCTCGAATAAATTATTTTAATCGAAGGAAATGAAGTGGGTGTAATGGAACATATTTACAAAGTTCCTACTAAGAAGGAAAAAAATATTGACAGAGTTTAATAAACAGCATATGAAAGGTAAATAACTTGAAAAGCAAGAATGATATTTATAAAATCATATTAGTAAGTTTCGCTTTCTAAAATTGAAAAGATACTAAGCACACGAGAAAACTGAGATAATGACACTGATGATTGTGCTCTTGCTTGAGTGATGGGTACTGTGTGTCTGTTTACCTCAAGAGTTCCCAGCAGGATCACTATATATCCTCTACGGATTGATGAAATTTTAGAGGGGGGTCGATGATGACCAAGGAGTCAAACGTGTGTAGGTAGTCGGATATGCATCAGAACTGATCGACATAATCCAAATCTCACTGATTGAAAAAAAAATTAATAAAATTGATAATTAATTATTTATTGATATAAAGATCTATCATGTAGTATGGAAGAAATCGTGGACCATAAATATAAGAAAAATTATTTAATATACAAAATGAATAATGTTTTTTTAAAAAAAAAGTATAAATCTTTTAGGCAATAAATGCAATATAAAACAGTAAAACACAGGAACAAAAGAAAATGCAATTAAAAAAACATGAAGAAATTCAAATTAATCAGCCATAGCAAATTCTAAGCCTATTTTGAAACATGCTGTCAAAAATTATGCTAAAATGGAAATTATATCGTCAATATATAAGTGGAACCTTTACATTTGACAAGACTACACGCTAACTGCTGCTCTCCTGTCACTTGCCACAGCGGAAGGAAACTTTACCACCATGTTAATACATCCGCTTCGGAAACTTCAGTTCAAGAAAACAAAAATCCACAGTATTAAATATTATATTTATACTGTATATGTCTAACAGTCTGCGAAAGAATAAATATTTTAATTTCCGTTAAAGCTGAAGAAGGAGCAATGGAACAATAAAACATTATGTACTTTTATTTATGTTTATTCATTATTATTCTGTGATCGTACACCGATCACAGAATAGAGATATAATTGTATTCATGGTGTATTTTTATTTCTTGGCTTAGCTGCATGAACTTTCACGGCGTTATAAACTTGGTAAGTCAATTTTAATGCTAACATTTTTAAATTTTGGCTCTTAAATTTGTGGGTTCTAAAAAATTAACGATTTCACATGATAAAAGCAAATGCCTATGATATCCAAGAATGTTTAATGTTTGGCTTTATTTCGTCTCCGGTAAACAAAACGTTATATTTATGTTCCGTTTGCAAAAAACCTTTTCACAAAGACGCAACGCAGCTGTCAAAAATGAAACATTATTTTATAAGAATGCAGGCAGATAAAAGCGAAGTACATTAAAAATCTTAAGACAAAGTACATTAAGATAAATTTTAAACGCCCTCAAAGAAAGGAATTACATAATTTTTTACCTTAAAGACATATAAGAATTATGAAGGAGGACTTGAAGCTACATGTAATATTTTCTTATTAATTGCAACAGATGGGGAGAATTTATTATTACCAGTTGTTCGAAAAGTAATAACTACAGTTACGGAAATGAATCCCGAACCAGTTTGACAAACTTTGCTGCTGAGTAACAATACACTTCATCGTCATAAAAATAAAATGGCCGAAGCTATTGAACGACAACTGATCTTTGAACTAAGGATTAATAAATCTGCCATACACCTGGATGAATCAATATTTGGAAGGGACAACGTTTTAATGAGCTATGTGCATTATTATACTAATTCTAAATCACAAATAATAGAGGTGTTTTCTTTGCGCAAAGCCTCTCGAGACATACACAGAAGGAGAAGACATATTTCATTGGATTTAAAAACTTTTTCTATCAGTATGGTATTCCTCTGTCCAACATTTCTGCAGCTTCTTGTGACGATGCACCAGCAAAGGTTAGTAAATATCGCGGCTTTTTAAGTTGTATCCAAAATAGGTCACCATGAGTGTTCACTGTATTTTACTCGGCCAGCATTATATTGCGAAAAATATTCAGCAAAAGCTTCATACTATGTTAAAGCTACGTACCAAAACAATAAATGCAATCAAAGCTGAAGCTTTGAATGACCATCTTTCTGAGAAATATGCTATTACAATGAAGGCTATAACAATTTGCTTCCTCACATGCAGGTATGCCCCTGGCTTTCCAACGGTAACTTTTTCCAGCGTTTTATAGGCATTTTTAATACCGTGTTAGAATTTCTTTCTTGAAACTGGCGACTCTATGGCCATATAATTAAAAGCATATATTCTACTTCGTTGATATGCATTCATTATCACCCCATTCAAAGGAAACTACAATAAAGAGACATTAATCTCATTAAAGCTAGAACAATTTACTTCGGATTTCATTCTATAATTGATTTATTTATATCAAGACTAAATCAAAAGAAATCCCATTACTTTAATGACTTAATGCAATGGTTCCTTACTGAAAAGTATTGTATTCCCTCAAAAGATAGATTATTATGCAGAAGCTACTTTCAAAATTTAAAAGATTCTAACGTTCGCTTCCAAGTCATTGGAAAATTGAGTGTACCAGCTTTCTTTTAGAGCCAGAGGTAATGAAAAGCGATGTATCTAATCCTTATATTATGATGCAAAAACGACTTGATTGCATTGAGGGGGAATTTAAGACGCAAGTCTTATTCAAAGCACACGGGTTCTTATTCATTTTATCACAAATCTTAATTACGTTTTAGAGATATGACAAAAATGTGCAGTTAAGTTGTTATGTATTCAATAATCAAGTACTTGAAAAAAGTGTAAAATTTTTAAAAAATTCAGTTTCTTTCAATCGTCATAAAAACCACTTCTTCTAATTTAATAAAATTTGTAATTAAGATACCCATAAATGTTTACATATTTTAAGTACTGTAAGAGGATGTAGATGCCTTTTTGAAAACGGTGGCATATGGCATGTACCCTGCTGGGCCCTGAAGAATTGAGGCATTACGAACAAAAAAAATCTGTAAGGTTTCAGATTTTATATTACTCTCAAAGAGATTTTTTTTTTCATTTACACACACAACTATACATTTCGTGAACATTTGGGCTAAAAATACTTAGAAACAGCCTGTCTTTAGAATTTCGTATAGACAGTCTCGCGTGCTGAAGATAAAAATATCGTATCCTGTACAATGTGATGCCACCGCTCACTTTGAAATCGTTGAGCTTCCTAATCGAAAATTCGTTTAAAAATTATAATATAATCATAAATAAAAGTTTAAAAAATATGAAATAGATAATGAAATAAATTCGAAATTCAAGATTCAGACTTCCAGGTGCCCATATTCGGGTGCAGAACTACGTTATTCAAAATTTGATGGCTCTTAATATCATTGATTTTTCAAAATGCCAGAAACATACATACATTCATGTAGATTCTTAATTATTTATTCTTTAAGTATAATACAGAAGGATAATATTTGGTGGCAACAATCTGAAAGTTATATAGCCGCTTATAGTGGTTCGACGCAAAATGCCGTTTGGAGTCTTTCTGGGCTAACGACCCTTTTCTATAATAACTTACAAGACTGATGAGAAAACAAAGCTGGCGGGTCTAATTATGATTGACTCAAATTTGAAGCACTTCTTTAAGAAAATATGATTAACATTTTTTATACATTCCGAAATCCTGAAACTTGCATTTTTAATTGATGTATACTAAATTAATGTATGATTAATAGGTAAGGAATTAGGCTCAGCATAATTCAGATCAATTTATTTAAATTGCCTCTTTTTTTATTATCTTTTCGCCTTGAAAGTAACAGAAAGAAGTTGTACAAAACATTCGCAGGTGAGATTTGATTAGTTTTCATTTCACATGTTAGTTCTTCCTCTATTCTCACAAATTAACTCGTCTAAGATCGGTCTTTATAATCACGCAAATTTTATCCTATGGTGAATATAAGTTAAAAAATTTTGCGAAACTATAAGGAAACATGAATCTGTAAACACAGATGTAACGAAAAACTGCATAAAAAGTATTCTAAATATTCTATAAGAAAATACATTTAAAATATTGTTATATCATGTTGATAAATATTTCGTATTTTTAAAAATATCATAATTGCTTTTGTTGAACTTTTATTCGTTATTGATCAAACGCGTGAAAGTACGCAAACTTCACAATAGAGTAAACTGGAAATTTCAGTGATACATAAATCATTCAAAAAACAAAAATTGTAAGAATGAATTGGAAGGGAAAATAATGTTTTAAGGATTTTAAAAAAGGGATTTATCTCATTCCATGATATGAATAAAATATCTTCTTTTACTGATGTAACTATTGATGGATGGCGCAAAAGAGCAGTCCTTTTTTAAAACGCTTAAGATTTTATTTAAAATTGCTTAAGAACTAAGACAAAAAATTAGCATTTCTGACATTTCCTTTCTTGAGCTTGAAGAAACATTAGTTTTGCATCTAAGATTGGTAACATCAGTACCTACATACTACAACAAAAGGAATAAAACATGAATGATTTATCACAAGGAAAAAAGTATCCATTGAATGCACTGAACAAAATAAATGGTCAGAAAGATTCTGAAACACTGACAATGCAAATAAGGAAAAGAAATTATGCGAAAGGTGGAGTAACATTAAATTCAAAATGAAATTCAGAAAAAGAAGGGTATAAAACTTATTGCTTTGCAAGACAAATAGCAGGAAAAACAAACGCAATACACAAAGGAACGCTAAAAAAACTTCAAGGATTTTTCTAAATACAAATGCAATTTGATAACAACATTTCTGTTTTTCGACAACTTTTAACTGCAGAATTTAACTTTTATTTACCTCAATCTTG